GGTTACCATGACGTCACAATCAAATGACATCACTAATGGCTCTGCTACTGAAGCTGTTAGCAGTACTTTTTTACAGTGGAGACACTGCTAATTACTGTCTACAAACTGAAAAAGTCATGTTCCCAAGAGAGTGTAAAAAAACACTCTCTTAGGATGTGTCTCTTTCTCGCACTATCATTCGTCCAACTCTATATCTGAAATTCTTGTGGGATGCTTATCGCGATTGATCAGGTCACGACTTCTAAGACTCCACACAAGACAATTATCTTTTAAGTCTCAGCTACAACATAATAAGGTAGACACAATTTTATGGATAACAACGTCTTTAATTAGGAGATAAACATACTGTGTTTTCAATGTAGAGCTAGTTTATCTGTAGATTTAACCGCGCTAAGTTGAATTTGGAACCGAACGCGCAGCCTGAAACGACCGCTGGCAGCAAGGGCTGGCCGATTCTTATGTTTTATCTTAAAACTATACCAAACACATGCACACACGTACACCGACAAACCTTATCAAAATTACAATAAAAATGTTTTTTCTAAGTACTACAAATACCTAAAATTCGTCTTTAACAAACGTATTACTGTATAAACAACACAATAATAACGAACCAATCACCAATTAACATTTGCCTGGGTAAAATGTGTCAATGTACACTTTTCTTTGTTTTAATTCGGGGGCACGGGTGGCCCAGTCGTCTAAGGCGCCGCGATTCGCTGTGCAGAGTTGCGTCCCTTCAGCACGCCAGAAACCTATGATTGTGGGTTCGAATCCCGATTCGCCCCGATTATGTTTCTAGGTCTGTCAGCACCATACCCGTGCTCGTGGGTTTCACCGAAGTGGTAAACGTGTGAGACCTGCATCACTTCGGGCTTTCCTCCCACATTAAGCTGACACCGTGATAAAACTGGAATACTGTCCAAAGCGGCGTTAAACCCAACTCACTCACTCAATTTGCTATAATTCCATCACAACGGCCCCAACTTTAACAACAGCCAGTCGTATATTGAAGCGTACGTAAAATATACGTTTCCTTACCGTGTCTTACACTGGCGCGGAGCACCAGAGTGTTATGTACAACATCGGCAAGAACCCGGGGTGCAATAGTCTATAAAACCCTTAGTAGATCTTCGTTGCAGTTGGTAAATATACCATTATTGAAAGTATCTTTAATTCAACTTTGTCCGATGACCCACAGCGTTCAATATGTTAAGGGGCGGTTAAGGTGGTGGTAGTTACAGCGTCCGCTTGTCATCTCGTTTCCAACCCATAACTACCACCCCATCCCCTTAAAATAACATTGGACTCCAGTTAATAAAAGAATACTCGGATAAACTGTCAACTGCACCCACCCAAACTAAAGGTTAAAGTGGAACGACGATGTGTGTTTTCTGAAATCAGATGGGGAGGGGTGGGTCGAACACATTAAGACCACCCTTTCATGGATGGCCCCGACACTGCAACATGCATGCTTTGGTTGGTTGGTTGGGTTGTTGTTTTGTTGTTGGTCTGTAAATAATCGAGTCTGGACCAGACAATCCAGTGATTGATATCATGAGCATCGATCCACGCAACTGGGATCGATGACATGTATCAACCAAGTCAGCGAGCCTGACCACCCGATCCCGTTAGTCGCCTTTTACGACAAGCATAGTCAACTTTTACGGCAAGCATGGGTTGCTGAAGACCTATTCCACCCCGGATCTTCACGGGTCGCAACATGCATTCATTAGCCACTATTTATTGTTTGGTCGAAATACAAGATACACATTGATGCAGGTTTACATAAAAGTACTGTTTATAAGGACAGTAAAGGTTATCAAAGTGATTTGTATAATATGCCATATTCCATTAGACTGAAACTCACAACCTCAAATTGAAGAAATCTGAAGATAAATATGAAACAAAATGAGGACTAGTACTGTTTGTAAAGATTACATTACATAACGGTAATATATACTCGGACCATGCAGTTTAAACACTACCGCGTGTTTATTTCAGAGTCCGAGTTAGTTGGGTTTAACGTGGCATTAACAGTGTTCAAGTCATATCAGTGCGTGTCAGCACCCCCCACCCCCTTCAAAAAAATAAAAAATAAAAATAAAAATAAAAATAAGAATAAATAAAAGTAAATAAATAAAATGAATAATAAATAGATTAAAAAAATATTTAAAAAATATACAAAACCCAATGACTTTCAATTATCTTGCGTAGACAAACCCATGCATTAAATGAAAAACTCAAATGTGCACGCGTAAATACCCAATGAAGCTTTTTTAGCATGGGTACAACAAAGCTAATTTCCGAAACAAATATACTGGAGAATCAGTGGAAATCTATTGTTCTTGGTGTAACCATTATAGTTACCGGTATTTTGCAGAAATAAAAAATAAATACAATATTTCTTTCGGTGTGTTAATGTTAACTGATATTTTACCTCTGCCTAGAAAAGAAAAAGAATCTCACTTTAATATCACCACATGTTAAAACCTGGATTATCACTCTTTGTGAGAAATAAAAAAGAAAAAATGATAATTTACTCTTCTCTGTGTCCCACACATTACCAAAATGATCAACATATTCCATGTACTTGTTGAAAATCATGCTATGAAGTGTGTGTTTACCTGAATCATCTTCAGAATTTCCTCTGGTTGCACCAAAGACAAAACGGTTACACCAAAGACAAGGCGTTGACACCAAAGACATTACCATTACTCATGATGATTTATCTTTCACATCACAATAATCTGTCAGTAGAGAATGATGCACTATACTTGGTGTTGCATATTTTTATGGCATCAGACATTTTTGTTTCACGTTTTCTTTGAAGTTAATACTGCTGACTTATGGTAACACCAAGCACATATTAAGTAACACCAAAGACATTTAGCTTCATCCGCAGAGCTCCAGATAAGCTTTAGGTGTTGCGGGTATTTTACCCATGCATTTTAAAATCATTGGGTATCAGTAATTCTATCTGGGTATTCAAATTTCTGTTACCCACTAGTTTTTACACATGTGGGTATTTAAGTTAAATATTTAAAAACACTATTCATCTAGTCCCAGCAAACTGGTGTCGTGTTGGTTCGAGAGCTTTATAGGACTAAAAAATACCACGATACTTCCACAAGAAAGTGTGATGGCAAATGATCATGATGTAACTGTCATCGTGGAGTTTAGCAAGGTTGACGGAATGCCCGTTTATAATTTCAAAATAAGTTGCTGATTTGCTAATCGAATAGGCAGGGTTACTTCACAATATTTTGATGATATGCACAAGTTATATTTTTGTAGCGCATCTGTAATGTTCGTTGCGTATTTGATACGCTTGGATTTTATTTTACTGCATATTTCTGCATTTCTGATGCGTATTTTATGCGATACACAGCTTATCTGGAGCTCTGTCCTGTATTCGACGTAATAAGCGCCCAGGCTGCTCTCAAAATTAGAAATATAGGGGCTGTTATTAAAATAAAATTTTAGTGGAAAGATCGTAAATTTTGTGGTTTATGCTGACAGCCTGAAATGATACAAAAGAAACGTCTGTACTTATTATATGTATCATATTTATCCAGAATGTAAATGTCAATAATTGAGGGTGCATAGTACACACGAGTGCGTATTATACATGAATAAATAAGTATTGTGTACATTGATCAATTGGAAGGGGTGCTAATTGGGATTGTTCACTAGCCATTAGCAAATATCGCTGTGGGCGCTTATTAGAGTGGGGCGCTTATTACGTCGAATACGGTAATACAAATTTAAGTGTTAATATGATTCAAGTGTTGTAATTTCAATGTCACAAGACATGTTTAACCATTGCCCATTCAAAGTTGAAAATTGCTGACTTGTGGTAACACCAAGGACATATTAAGTTACATTTTGTTGAGATTCAGGTTACACCAAGGACAGTTACACCAAAGGCATATTTTCATTAAACATGAAATAAAAATACAGCTGACTGCTCCCTGTACAGTAGCAGACAACATTCATTACCAGTGCATTTAACTCTTCTATTTGCATGAAAGGATGTTTTGTAAATGAAATAGTTTTCTTTGTAACAAGGTTACACCAAGGACATTGAACTTTCACATGGTGATGCTTGGTGTTACCTTTTTCCAGTTTGAATAACTTTTTCTTCAGTTGACTCAAAAACAATTTTCTCCATGGAAGACAGGAATTGATATGATAAGAGAGCATTCATTTACCTTCTTTCTACATAAAGATGGATAACTCTTACACCTATTGAAACAAATGGTTACACCAAGGACAGGAACCTTTAAGACAGGCATGTTTTGCTTATTTTTCATTATTTAAAGTTAGAAACATAGAGGAAACTGATGTTTCTTTTAAAGATTATAATCCCATCAGTAAAATAACAACATAAAAACTCATGTATATGACATAAAATCTTAAATATGTTCACAGAAAAGTGCATTCGGTTTCTATTGACAGTGATATTTCAACAATTTCAGACTATATACCACTCCACAAGAAAATTTAGCACTGTCAAGGCAAATGTTTGATGATATATAGTTCTATGTTAATTTGGTTCCCCACTGAAATATTAGGGATGAAAGTTAATTAAAGGGCTATCTCAAACTTTATAAAAGATAGAGATTACTGACATAAAAAGGGTACATATTTTGATAATGACCCGTAAACATAATCGGGGCGAACCAGGATTCGGGTGTATCGACTATATTTGACCATTTACAGGCCACACACCTGCTACCCAGCGGAAAGCCGCGATTAGGTCCAGAGGCTCTCGCCTCCTGCTACCATCCGTGCTGTTTCAAAGACAAAGTGATCAAATGACAGTATTGTATTCACCTAATATTATTGTCATCCCTCGTTAGTAAGGGCCCTATTCCGCTGTTAAAACATTACCGCGAAAGATTATGAGCTTTCGTGGAAAAACCAACGTAAATCATCAAAGTGACTTCCCTTGTCCCAGGTGGCGTTGAAAACCGGAAGCGTTGCTAGTACAGTAAAATGGCCGCCCCCACGAAACCCTCGGCGACCTTTGGCCAACTTCCTGACCTATCAGGGCTATCCGAGGCCGAGCGGGCCCAGGTCATCGCAGTCATGGAGCGAGCACAGGTGGGAGGATCCCCTAGAACACATATTTTGCCCCTCGGATACAATTCCTATCTCAGATTAGTGTTACGATATAATTTTGACAGCTCTAAAATTGAAGTTTATCTCACAATCTCGTGACTGACACATCGCTAATTTCAGTTTGATCGCATTGATATTGATTAATATTATATTTCAATGCTGCCATCTTGACATCGCATATCAGTTAACAACATACTAAAATTGTTTATGTTTCGGTGGTCATCGGAAATTACTCCATGATTATATTCCTGATATCATGTGGATGGCCTTTATGAATGTTGCACTCTAAAGTTAGTCATCGTGTATTCTTTTCGATCAGTCATAGGAAAATTAACGATTTGGTACGAACTAGTTGTGTTGAACATTCAGGTGCCTCAATTATCTACCAGCTGTTTATCTAGCCAATAAATGACCTAGAAACAGCATTTGATGTTGGGGCGGTATATCTTTGTTTCGACTTGTCAGCATCCCTTTGACTGTGCACTTGTCAATGATAATGCTACTGGTACTCATTGCCACAGTAGACATTCATCCCCACCCCCTCAGACTGTCCTTGGACAAATAAAATCATGTAACCAAAATCATTTCACGTAGGCCAAAAAATATAGAATCTATTCATAATGCTACTGACAAACTTTGCTTGTCTGATTCTTAACATGCTTAACTCATCTATTAATTTATAATGCCTAATTCATTTTCATTGTCAACATTTCCAAGTAAAAGTGAAACTTATGTTTAGTCCAGCATATCAGCATTATCTGGAAATCATAGTATATTAATGCTTAATACTCATCAAAGCAGAAACTATGTATCTTTGACTGTAGCTAAAATAAAATCAACCCATGTCTCGCCAGTCAAACTGAAAGGCTGGCTAAATGATTTAGCATCAGAGTAATATCATATGACTACCGATGCTGATGCTTTTATATTACCGTATTTGACGTAATAAGCGCCTAGGGTGCTCTCAAAATAAGGAATAGGGGGGGGCTCTTGTTAGAATAAAATTTGAAAGATGGTAAATTTCGTTGTTTATGCTGACAGCCTGTAATGTTTATACACGACAGATATATTTTCCAGAATTTAATTGCCCATAATTAAGGGTGCATATAACACACGAGTGCGTATTATACACGAATAAATAAGTCTTGTGTATATTTATCAATCGGAAGGGGTGCTAATTGGGATTGTTCACTAGCCAATATTTTAGCAAATATCACCGTGGGCGCTTATTAGAGCCGGGTGCTTATTGCGTCGAATACGGTATGTCATGTAACTGAAGTATACATGGTAAATTTTATAATAAAATCATTTGATTGATTGCAGGAATTTGAACGGAAAGAAGATGTAAAAAATACCAGGTAAGTTCTGCCATATTTATGTCATTAAATACTGCAGGGTGCGCACAGAGCTTGAAAAGGCCTTGAATTTGTCTTGAAAGGACCTTAAGGGAAACAACACTTCACCTTTAGTCATCTAGCTGGCGCCATTTTAATTTTCCCACGTAATCACCAGATTCCAATCAGCACCAGCGACCCAACAAACTGGGCTTCTGACCAGCGAGGGCCAACTGGAAAACCTCATTGACAGCGAGGGTTAATCCCCATGGGCGTGAAGTGCCGATGTATAAACAACATATATACTTTGTTCAAAGGATGAGCCAATAAAAGGTTGATTGAGTGCTCATTGTTATCTAACTCTATGAATTTTTTAAAGAACCTTGGACATCATGAACACAGTTGTCACGTGTGCTTTCTCAGCTGACAAATGAGACTTGACACCTATGTGAAACAACTGAAACAAACTTACGTGGTCAGTTGAGAAACGAACATGGGGCATAATATCCCAAAACGCTATACATGTTTTAAGATATTAGCTTGTTACAAAGATATGTGACATCGAACAAGTTTCTTTGTACCGCTTCAGATGTATGGGATATTGTTCCTATATGTAGTTATTTGTGGATATGTTCCTCGAATAAGTTAACTGCCTGATATTATACATATAACTTTTGTCGGTTGTCATTACAATATTTGCATTTTGTTTTCATTCATTTGCTCTTGCAAGAACACGGGAGGCTTCAACGGTGACTGATCAAATTGTTTCAGTGGCAATCAGTTGTTCAATGTCAATCACTGGATTATCTGGTCCAGACTCAATTATTTAAGACCGCTGTCATGTAGCTTGAATATTGCTGAGTGTTGCATTGAATAACAAACAAACAAGTGTCAAACATCTGTTGGTCCAGAGCTGTGTTCACATATTGTATCATTATGGCCCTACCATATTCGCTGTAATAAAGGCCCTGGCTGCTTAGAAAATTGATAAATTATAGAAACTGATAAAAATTATACCCAAGTTAACTGTGTTGTCAGAGATGTAGAGAAATATATTAACAGTAAACTACGTTTATAATGGACACGCTTATAACAAGCTGACCGATATACCAAACTTATGTTTTAGTCCTGGACATTTGTTGAAAAATGCTGTATATATGCTTATGACAAACTACAGTTATTAAAAAAACAAAATTAGTGGTCCCTTTGAGCATGTTGAGTTTGTTATAACCATGATAACCATAATTTACTGTAGTTCAAATGTAGATGAAGCTAAAACCTGTTATTAATAATAGTTACTGGGCAGGTTTATGCCCTTACTTTATGGCTCCCTTTTCTGTAAGATCTGTAATACATGCACGAAAATATGGACTTTAATGTACATTTCCAGGCTTAGGTGAGAATTATAAAGATTACTCTACAGATAGGGCTGGAAGTGGGTCAGGGCTCCTATTACAGAGAATATGTCGTAATTTGTTTATGTCACTTAAATGATGATTATGTTCAATGTTGTTTCAGCGGCCAGCCATCCAGAAAGGCTCACGAAGGTCAGCTGTTGAAGTACACAAATGTGATGAAAGGCTGGCAGCCTCGGTTCTTCGTCCTGGAGCCGGAGTCGGGGATGCTGGAGTACTTCGAGGCAAGTTCTCTCTGGAAGCATGCTCACCCTCATGGCTCAGCCCGCTACATGTCTTGTTTATATGTTGGCTTGTCAGCTGATTAGTGATGGCATGGGATCTCGCTCAAAAGATTAATCACTGGATTGTCTGGTCCAGACAATATTGCTGAGGTCGCTGTTAAACTTTCTTTGCTTCTTTCTCTGTTGTTTAATTCCGCACTCAGCTATATGAGCGGTCTGTAAATAATCAATTCTGGGCCAGACAATCCTGTGATTGACACAAGCATCGATCCACACAGTTGGAATATGGTGACATGCATCAACCAAGTCAGCTAGCCTGACCACCTGATCCCGTTAGTTTCCTTTTACGTCAAGCAGTCACCTTTTACGGCAAGCATGGGTTGCTGAAGACCCATTCCACCCTGGATTTTCACGGGTCTAGCTGTTAAACAATAAAGAAACCAAACATACTATAAAGTGCGTACACTATTAAACATGTGAAATATATTTGTGCTTCAATGACATAACAAGGAAATCTTTGGGATTTTTGTCCTTGTGAATTTAAGTGCATTTTCATCACCATTTTAGGGGCGGTCGGGTAGCCTAGTGGTTAAAGCGTTCGCTCGTCCGCTGAAGATCCGGGTTTGATTCCCGACATGGGTACAATGTGTGAAGCTCATTCTGGTGTCCCCCGCCGTGATGTTGCTAAAAGCGGCGTAAAACCATACTCACTCACTCACTCATCACCATTTTGATGAGAGCAAATTCTAGTGAAATACTTCTGGTGTACGAGCATTGTCAAATGCAAGAAATATAGTTTCAGCTTTGTTGATAGAAATATTTTGACAAACATTTTGTTGAAATTACACTGAATTACATCTTCCTGATATCTAATAAAGTTTTTCCTTTAATTCTTTTTTGTAGAAAGAGGAGCAGAAAAAACAAAGACCAAGGGGATCGGTTCATCTCGCAGTATGTTTCCATGGTTACATGCTGATTATTATAATGATTATTGTACGCATATCAGGGCTTGGATTTGAAAGGTGTTTATTCATTACTTTGGGTGATATGTGTCCGAAAAACTGAAAATTCATGTTCTTCTTGCAATTTCATGATCAATACACAGCCCCAAATTATGTATCTATGTTCGTCAGTACCGTAGGCCCTTGATCACCCCAGTGTTATGGGTTATAGGTTCAGGGGGTACCTAGATTCAAGTGCTATGGGAAAAAACCACAAGAACCTCCTACATTTTTAAATCTGATGTTTCTAGGTTTGTCAACACCATACCCATGCTTGTGGGTTTCACCAAAGTGGTAAACGTCCAAAACTGCGTCACTTTGGGCTTTCCTCCCACAAACTGACATGCCATGATATGACTGAAATACTGTTCAAAGTGGTATTAAATAGAGAATCTCACCCGAGTGTCTTTTGATATCAAATATATCAACACAAGTTGATATATTTGATATCAAAAGACACGAGGGTGAAATTTTATTTATCATCCAACATCATTCTTCCAACTTTTTCAGTTTGAAGACAGTAATAAGCAGTGTCTTAAGTGTAAAAAGTACTGCTAACAGCTTCAGTAGCAGAGCCATTAATGATGTCATTTGATTGTGACGTCATGGTAACCAATGATAAATTAAACTCACAGATTCACGGTGAGATTTATTCTGTAGAATTTTACTTGAGTTTTAAAAGCAAAATGATGTTTTTTGATTGTAAGTAAATATTTTCAGATGTGTTTTTGAAAATGATATGGTAGATACCCACCTCAGGTTGAGAAAGTCTATCTATTGACCAGAGTAATTATTATTAGAAGAAAGGAGTGGTATGGGGTTATCATGGAGACTGTTGTACAACACTGCCACAAGATGTCAGTGTGAAATGTTGTGTGGAACATGTTCCAGGCTGCTGTCATATCCCCATCAGATGAAGATGGACAGACGTTTACAGTCAATGCTGCTAATGGGGAAATATTCCGACTTAGAGGTAGGACATGAAGGAGCTTGTGGTGATGATGATGATGTGGTGGTGGTGGTGTTGATGATGATGAAGTGATGGTGGTGGTGATGATGTGATGGTGGTGTTGATGATGATGGTGGTGTTGATGATGATGAAGTGATGATGTGATGGTGGTGGTGATGATGTGATGGTGGTGGTGATGATGTGGTGATGTAATGGTGGCGGTGATGATGTGATGGTCGTGGTGATGATGTTATGGTGGTGATGATGTGATGGTGGTGGTGATGATGTGATGGTGGTGGTGGTGTTGATGATGATGAAGAGATGATGTGGTAATGATGGTCAGGTGGTGGTAATGATGATGATGTGGTGATGATGTAATGGTGGTTGTGATGATAAGATGGTGGTGGTGATGGCGGTGATGATGTGATGTGGTGATGATGTAATGGTGGTTGTGATGGTGGTGGTGATGTGGTGGTGATGTGGTGGTGATGATGTGATTGGGTGGTGATGACGTAATGTTGGTGATGAAGATGATGTGATGTTGTAAAGGTGATGTGGTGATGATGATGTGGTAAGGATGATGATGTGATGGTGGTGATGAAGATGATGTGGGGATGATGTGATGGTGGTAACGATGATGGTGGTGATGCTGTGATGGTGGTGGTTGTGGTGATGATGATGGTGGGATGTGATGGTGGTGGTGATGTTCATGTGGCGATGATGGTGAAGGTCATGATGATGTGATGTTGGTGGTGATGTTGTGATGTGGTGGTGAAGGGGGTGGTGATGATGTGATGTGATGGTGGTCGTGGTGATGGTGATGAAGATGTGGTGATGATGATGGTTGTGTTGATGATGATGGTGTGTTGTGATGGTGGTGGTGATGTTCATGTGGCGGTGATGATGTGTTGATGATGATGTGATGTTGGTGATGATGATGTGATGTGGTGGTGAAGGGGGTGGTGATGATGTGATGTGGTGGTGGTGGTGATGATGATGTGATGGTGGTGGAGATGTTCATGTGGCGGTGATGATGAAGGTTATGATGATGTGATGTGGTGGTTGAAGGGGGTTGTGATAATGTGATGTAGTGATGGTGGTTGTGGTGATGGTGATGATGATGCGATGTTGGTGGTGATGGCTGTGTTAGGTGTCATCGATTCAGTCCTGTGTCCAGCAATTCTATGTTACGTGACATCCCTGTTCCTTTGTTTGCAGCCCTGGACCCCAGGGGGAGACAACACTGGGTGGACCGACTGCGGGTAACTGCTGAATACCATACAGCCACCATAGCACAGGTATGCCACACTCACACAAGACAGTTACACAGGCAATCACAACCGACAGTCACACAGGCAGTCACACCAGATAGTCACACCAGACAGTCACACCAGATAGTCACACCAGACAGTCACACCCGACAGTCACACAGACAGTCACATCACACAGTCACACAGGCAGTCACACAAGACAGTCACACCAGATAGTCACACTAGACAGTCACATCACACAGTCACACAGACAGTCACATCACACAGTCACACAGGCAGTCACACAAGAGTCACACCAGAGAGTCACACCAGTTAGTCACACCAGACAGTTACACAGACAGTCACACCAGACAGTCACACCAGACAGTCACACCAGACAGTTACACCAGACAGTCACACAGGCAGTCACACCAGACAGTCACACAGACAAGCACACCAGATAGTTACACCAGACAGTCACACCAGACAGCCACACCACACAGTCACACCTGACAGTCACACACGGCAGTCACACCAGACAGTCACACCAGACAGTCACACCCGACAGTCACACCACACAGTCACACCTGACAGTCACACCAGACAGTCACACCAGACAGTCACACAGACAGTCACACCAGATAGTCACACCAGACAGCCACACCAGTCACACCAGACAGCCACATCAGACAGCCACACCAGACAGCAACACCAGACAGTCAAACCAGACAGTCACACCAGACAGCCACACCAGACAGTCACATCACACAGTCACATAGACAGTCACACCAGATAGTCACACAGACAGTCACGTCCGACAGTCACACAGGCAGTCACACAAGACAGTCACACAGACAGTCACACCAGATAGTCACACCTGACAGTCACACCAGACAGCCACACCAGTCAGCCACACCAGTCACACCAGACAGCCACATCAGACAGCCACACCAGACAGCCACATCAGACAGTCACACCAGACAGCAACGCCAGACAGTCACACCACACAGTCACACAGACAGTCACATCACACAGTCACACAGGCAGTCACACAAGACAGTCACACCAGATAGTCACACAGACAGTCACACCCGACAGTCACACAGGCAGTCACACCAGACAGTCACACCACACAGTCACACCAGACAGTCACACAGACAGTCACACCCAACAGTCACACAGACAGTCACACCAGACAGTCACACAGACAGTCACACCCGACAGTCACACAGACAGTCACACTAGACAGTCACACAGACAGTCACACCAGACAGTCACACCAGACAGTCACACAGGCAGTCACACCCAACAGTCACACAGGCAGTCACACCAGACAGTCACACCAGACAGTCACACAGGCAGTCACACAAGACAGTCACACCAGATAGACACACCAGACAGTCACACAGACAGTCACACTAGACAGCCACACCAGACAGTCAAACCTGACAGTCACACCAGACAGTCACACCAGACAGTCACACAGACAGTCACACCAGACAGTCACACCAGGCAGTCACACAAGACAGTCACACAGACAGTCACACCCGACAGTCACACCAGACAGTCACACCAGACAGTCACACAGGCAGTCACACCAGACAGTCACACCAGACAGTCACACAGGCAGTCACACCAGACAGTCACACCAGACAGTCACACCAGACAGTCACACAGACAGTCACACAGGCAGTCACACCCAACAGTCACACAGATAGTCACACAGGCAGTCACACCAGACTGTCACACCAGACAGTCACACAGACAGTCACACCAGATAGTCACACCTGACAGCCACACCAGTCACACCAGACAGCCACATCAGACAGCCACACCAGACAGCAACACCAGACAGTCAAACCAGACAGTCACACCAGACAGCCACATCAGACAGTCACATCACAGAGTCACACAGACAGTCACACCACACAGTCACACCTGACAGTCACACCAGACAGTCACACAGACACACCACACACTCACACCACACAGTCACACCACACAGTCACACAGACAGTTACACCTGACAGTCACACCACACAGTCACACCTGACAGTCACACCAGACAGTCACACAGACACACCACACAGTCACACCACACAGTCACACCACACAGTCACACCACACAGTCACACCTGACAGTTACACAGACTGTCACACCTGACAGTCACACCAGACAGTCACACCTGACAGTCACATCACACAGTCACACCAGACAGATAATACCAGCCTGGAGGTGGTCTGACTGGCTTGTATTCGTCTGGCAGTTGAGATTAACCCAAACCCCGTAACAAGGTAACAATGTTCCACACACTTCAACAGTTTGTCCCTCGCCTGACTGACAGTCAAGTGAGCTTACACTATGGACTGTTTGTCCGGCATCATGCATCGTAAACATCTTCTCAGATTCCCTTCTACAAAATGCAGCTGAAACTGCACCTCAGTTTGTTGAAGAAGTTCGAATCCTATTTTCAATATAGCCCAAAATATTTTTTCAAAATGTAATGAAATTTGATAACTGTAGTTTGTAGTGACGGTTAACATATATGTTGAGGGTTTTGCGATGTTTAATATTTTAACTTTAATACGTTTTTCTGTGGTTTATACATTGTCAATATACACTCCGACATCATCATGACAAGAAACACTGGACCCATGAAGATGAAACTAAACATGCTTTTTACCACCATTGACGAAACCTGAAACTGTTCAGAAGGTTTGAATCTGATTTCCAATATGGCAGCCAAAGCAGCCAGTATTTATGGTCAACTGTTTTTTGTTCAAAATGTAAAGACATTTGTCATGTGTCATTAGTAGTAGGACTCAACCCATGTGTTCTGTTTTTCGCAATAGTTTAAATTTGTCCTTGATTTGACCTTTATAATTTGACGATGATTTTCCAGGAATGAGAATCTGCAAATGTCCGCGAATTTTAGTGACCACAAATTTGTTAAAATCTGATGGCTTCCCCCACAAACACCCCCAGGCTATAGACCACACTCAATTGTAAAGATGTTTCAGCTGAAAAGGAAAATATCCATTCTCATCCCAGAATTCCTCAAAATGAATATTTGGCTCTAAAAACTTGTTTTTCTCTTAATTTAGTTTTTGGTCCTCAATGTAACTGCAGACAATATTCAAATATCAATGCTGCAGAAACTTGGTAAAGTGTTGACTTTTTAGACTGTTAACTATATCACCAGGTGAGCTACAGCTTGTGGACTCTGTAATACATGAAAATACATGAAGAAAATGAACATTTTCTGGTAGCATCTACACTGTCTTTTGTTGTTTCCTGATGTTTATACTGTTGTCGTGTAACTAATCATCTTCAGTTTCTCAATGTGTCCTTGTGAACTGCTTCGCACACGGCACCTGTCACAGGGATGACTGCTCGGTCGACTGATTCGGTCACTGTGTGGTCAGTCCCCAGCTGTGTGGAGTTGCTCACCGGCTAGATTGTCAGGATAGGCTGTTAATGTCGCACTGGCTTTGTTTGTGAATTTGTAACGCGTGATGAACTCTTTGAAAATATGACGGAAGTTGCTTTGAATGTTAAGGTCATGTTACATTACCATGGTTACCATGGTTACCATGGTTACCATGGTTACAGAGGGATGAACAAAGTTCATCCCACTCTTGACCCGTGAAGATCGGGTAAGAATAGGTCTTCCTCAACCCATGCTTGTCTTAAAAGGCGACTATGCTTTTCATAAGAATTGGGTAACGGGATCGGGTGGTTAGGCTCACTGATTTGGTTGATGCATGTCATCGTATCCTAATTGCGTGGATCAATGCTCATGATATTAATCGCACTATTATCTGGTCCAGACTCGATTATTTACAGACTGCCGTCATATAGCTGGAATATTGTTTATTGCGGGCGCTAAACAACAAACAAACATATCGCTCTGCATGGACATCCATCTGTCCAGGATATATTGAAGCATACGTTGGATCTTAAGCCAATCAGATTTTAGCTTTCTTATGTGATTTGGCTTCATATCCTTTTCACCTTGATTTATTAATTTCGATCTTATTAAAAGAAACGACACAGAACACATATACTGCCTTGAGTGAGTAAATGAATATTGTTTTGCACCGCTTTTAGCAATATTCCAGCAATATCAAAGTCGGAGAATTGCATTTACTTATGTTGGGAATCTTCAGCGTGACGAGCGAACGCTTTAAACACCAGGTTATCCCACAGCCCCAATTTGCATGTAGATGCCATGGCGCAGGTGTAGAAATTATCCACAACAATATTATAGCATGGCCTTGAAAATGACATGTATTTGGCCAAGGTAAAAATTGTTAATGCACTCTTAAATGAAATGTGTTTTCTAAACTGAAAGTTTTTTCATTTTCTGAATGTTCAGTATTTTCATTAGTTCATCAGGTTCAATGTAAACACCATCAGGGGTCGATTTAACTGCTGGCCCATTGGCCCATGGCCAGTAAAACTTACAAAGGGCTTGGGAGAAACGTAAAGTAGATAGCCCGTCTGGCGAGTCAAAATTTCATCCCTTCTCCGTGTATGCTTATTTGTGTACTTGGATCATCTCGGTAGAATGACAATCGGCCGCCATTTTGTAATATTGTGTGCAACAACATCTTCAGATGCTCACAAATCACCTCAAAATGAAGTGAATCGAAACCAAGATTTAATCAGAGTGCAGGAAAATACGTTTTAGGGGTGAGGAGTTCTAAAATTTGCAGATCCCCGCTAGATGATGGCTACGCTACCTTAGGTTCGGCCATTTCTTGGCCTCCACCATTTAGTTGTAGGCCGGTTAGTTTGGCGAAGGGCCAGTAACTCTAAAAAGGAGCAAGCCCTGCTTTCTACATACAAATTTGTTGTTAAATCTACCCCTGACCATGTGTTGAAAAAGGTTATTTTACACTTGTGATTAGATATTGCAATTTGCATTTTTTAGTTTCTTAAACATATTAAAATAGTTGTGACAGTTGCACACCTCAATGATGCAATGTAAAAGCCTTATTGAACATGCTGCGACTGTGTTCAATTTCAGAAAAAGAAAAAAATTCCTGGTCTCCAGGTTTGTATAGAAATGGGCTGGATGATTGTTCAGAATTATGTTAATTAGCATTTTGTAAATTTTCATATATTTATTATTAATTTCATGTTACTATGGTTCGTGGCGGTTAAAGTTTTCATTTTGTTTAAATGTAAAATTATATTGATTTAAGTTTTGACATGGATTTTATCAGTTTGTTGCAATTAGATATGTTGTTAGACAATATCAATCAATTCATTGCCTGCCCATGTTCGAATGAGCTGTACTTTTGTGATCTATAGACTTCAATGTTGTGTCTTCCTTATTTGTTTTTATTTTGAGCGCACTTCTCAGCTTTGTGTTGCACTCTCCCTTCTGTCCCTCCTCACCTCATGATTTTGTTGGTGCTTTTTTGAGAGTCAGGGATATTTACTATCTCTTATATTAAGCTGTTTATTCCTATTTGATACATTCCTGCGTGAAGATCTGGGCCCACTTGCACAAAGCGATCTTAGCGCTAAGATGATCATAACTCCCATACTTTAACATAGGCTTACGATAGTCTTTGCTCTAAGATAACTTTGTGCAAGTGGGCCCTGAACACATCTCCATACAAGCCGTGTCAAACGAACACTGAGGTGACTGACCGCCCAAATCTTAAAGCTGACCGCCCAAATCTAAATGCTGACCGCCCAAGTCTAGATGAAGGATGAGTGGGCTCTTGAGAAAAATAGATGTCAGCGTTCTAACGTGGATTCATTTCTTTCCCACCTCCATTAAGATATTTCTATCCTTATATTAGAAACGGCCACAGCGTACAAATATACCATTTATTGTTTGTCCTTTTGGGTTAGAAACGCTGCATTCCGAAAAAATAAATATCCTTACTATTATAAAATCACAGCTTTTTTTTTCACCTTTCGAAGTCACCGATTATGTTTGTTTTTGAGATACAGAAATCAGATCTAAATGCTTTGCGAGTTCACCTGATGCGACCTGCTAAGGAGGTGTCCTTGATCTTCACACAGAAAGCCATTCTATTGGACTAAAAGATCTGATTTTAATGAGATTGACACAGTCCAGTCTGCTGATGGGTATTAATGGTGTTCAAGTAGTGGTGATAGCAAATTGATGTTCCTTGTTTTGCTAAGTGTAAAGAAAATCTGACTGAATAATGGTGCTGCTTTCAGTACAAGTTTCGGGTAAGCCCAGATTGAGTGTTTCAGCATGATAACCTGGCATACGATAACCCAGAACTGATAACCCAGGACTGATAACCCTGTGACTAATTGTACACAGTTCCCTGTCACAGCTTGTTGGGTGCTGGATCAGGGCAGCCTTCAAACTTCACGCTTGTCCACTAGCCCGCGACTACTAAATTGTGCTGAGGACAAGTTAAAATCCAATGATCCTCTTTGACTTGTAGTTATTGAGGGCCATCATTCTGAACCAGTTCTCAGTGCTTCAATTTTGCTACGAATTGGATCTGAATAATACTGACAGAATATGTACACAAGAACATTTTTGTCTCGTTCAATTTTGCTACAAATTGGATCTGAATAAAACTGACAGAATATGTAAATGTGACCATTTTTGTCTCGTTCAAGCAGGACTAGCTACAAACTCGAAGGACTAGTGAAATAAGGTGTCCACTAGTTCTCTGGACTAGTAATTTGAAAGACCTGAATTTCTTAGGCTGCAGGGGGGCTTCCATCAGTGTTTTAGCCATGTTGGTGAGGTGGTGGCATGCGATCTGGCAGAAAACCCTTTGTTCAAATATTTGGACACCAAACTTGTATGACACCTCAGAAATATTTTGCAATTTTCACATTCTGTGCACATCCAGTGTCATGTCCATGAAGATTTTGAGTTCCCCTGACCAAAAGTCAGGTGAGCTAATGTCATTGAATGCTTGTCCTCCATTTTCTGCATCAGCATTTGCAGACACCTTGCGACACTGGTGTAATGGATGGCCCAGTCGTCTGAGGTGCCGTAATTCTCTGTGCAGAGTTGTGTCCCTTAGGTGTGACAGAAAACCATGATCGTGAGTTTGAATCAGAGATTCGCCACAATGATGTTTCTAGGTTTGTCAGTACCGCTACACAAGCTCGTAAAGTAATAAACGTCTGAGACCTGCATCGACTGTCTCCGTGGTCTAGTGGTAGAGCGTCAGCTCGGAGAGCGGAAGGTCCGGGGTTCGATCCCCGGCCGCGTCATACCAAAAGACGTTAAAAGATGGTACTTGTTGTTACCCTGTCTGGCGCTCGGCATTTAGGGGCTAAAACAAAGACTGGTCGGCTCGGAGTCAGTATACTGTGTCTGAGTGGGATATTCATGTTAAACTGCGGCATGGTATCTCAGTGAGCTAGCACTATAAATCGGCATCAGTCAGGACTAGTACAAGCAGCCACACACACACACACACGTACATGCACATCGCTATATAAGTGCAATAATCTTGGACGCGATGTTAAACCCCATTTCACCTCACCTCACCTGAGACCTGCATCACTTGGGGCTTTTCCCTTCCACTAGCTTGGAAGCCACAGAGAGCAGTCAATGTAGAGTTACTTCCTCCCTTGCTTTGGTCCCTGGTGTATGATTCCCCAGCCTGCTTTCCATCACACAGACCTGCTGAGCTTGTATGCTGGGGGAAGGATTATGATTACCTTAAGTGTAACAATAAACAGAATTTCTGGTATATTAATTTGCAAATAATAATGGTTTATTCACCAATTGCAATAAATTTCAGCAGAAAGAACTCATGTACTTAAATTCAGTGAAAACCTGTTAATCTGGATTGGTCCCTGGTGAAATTGTCCAGATTAACAGGTTTTAGATTAACAAGTCATGGGTCTGGCCTGAAATAACTTTAGTTACATATAGATGTCGCAAGCACTTATTGTCCAGAGACGTATTCTAGAAGAGAAATATTCATTTGATGGATCACCAGTTCAGGTGTAGATGCCATGGCGCTAAGAAACAACAGGAGATTTAAAATACCCATGACAGTATAATGACATAACCTAACTTATTTACATTCCGATCTGGTCCTTTAAGTTCGTTTTTAGAGACAGAAATCATATATACCAGTTTGAATACTTCTTTCGTACCGTGTGAAGCCCATTTCTGGTGTCCCCCGCCGTGATATTGCTGGAATATTGCTAAAAGCGGCGTAAAACCAAACTCACTCACTCACTCTTTCTTACCGAGAATTAAGAAGCTCTTAAGCTGATTGATTGATTAACAAATTCAAAAGTTCACTGCTAATGGAATTTTTGTAAGAGACATACCGTATATCACTTAAAAGATTTGATTTTAATGAGATTGGATTAACTGGATCCAGACCTTCATGCTTTCACTGTATGAGATAAAGACTTAGTGATGAGTGAAAACTGGTGGTAATTATAACAATTAATTCATAAGCGAAACATGGTTATCTTTTGTTATATTCCTTAAGGCTTGAAATATCAGTTATCACTGTGCACACAATAAAACACTTGTCAACACATTCCAGTCAGTACTGGGTCCCTTGAAATTATTATTTCCATACTACGATAAAAAAGAGGGAGCTCAATACCAATATTTCTCTCCTACTAAATACTCTGCAAGTTGCTGTGCAGAGTTGTGTCCCTTATATGTGCAAAAATCCTATGATTGTGGGTTCGAATCCCATATTCACCCTGACAGCATTTCTAGGTTTGTCAGCACCCGTGCTCCTTGGTTCACAGAGTGGTAAACATCTAAAACCTGCATCAAATGCAATCAAATATTGCTCACACATGAACATGACATTCCATGATATAACTGAAATACTGTTCAATGGATCGTTAAGCAAAACTCACTTATTTCTGCGTGATTCAACTGATGATAAATTACAAATGTCAAAAAGGTCATTTTATGTATCAATGCTATTGGACTGGCAGCTTTCTTGCAACAAGCTTGCATCCCCGTATAAACCCCAAAGTTATATTTATCATTTTCAGTGATTTGACAAGAGAGGTCAAGATGATAAACAATAAAAGTTATGATGCATATTTCAGAATTTTTATTGTAGTCAATGATATATAAAATATTCAGTATTCATTTTGCATGCTTTAGCCATTTATTTTGATAACCAATATTGTACTAAGATAGATTATTTTGTTACACTGTTTATAATAAAGGTCAGTAAGTCAGTAATATGAGACATCCCTTTTTACCCTCGACCAATTATGGCTGTCGTTGGCCAATGTTAAAAATATGGGAGTTACGACAATCTTGGCGCTGAGATCGCTGTGTGGTACAGGGCCCAAGACCCCCTTCCACAAAGCAACCTTAGTGCTAAGATGGTCATAACTCCCATACTTTAACATAGACTTCAACAGTTGTAGTACTAAGATGGTCATAACTCCCATACTTAAACATAGACTTACGACAGTCGTAGCGTTACGATCACTTTGCGGAACAGGGCCCATTTCCACAAAGCAGTCGTAGGCCAATGTTAAAAGTATGGGAGTTACAACCATCTTAGTGCTAAGATGGCTTTGTGGAACTCATTTCCCATGAAGCTGTTCACAGGGTTCAGGGCAAGTTTACTGTTGTTTTTCCAGCAGGCGCCACCTGTGTCTCGACACGACTCTGGTGGCATGCCAATTGTGACGCCCCCGGCCAAAGACAATCTCCTGGTGAGACGACTCGACAACTCCCTCAATAAGAAGTCACCCGTAGAGGCGGAGGACAACCAGCCCACTTCAATGACTGTCAGGTGGGTACTGCTTGATGATAATAATAATAATAATAATAATAATAATAATAATAATATTAATATTCTCGGCTCCTTAGGGAGTATGTAATCAGGTGTTCTAAGCACATTACTATCTGGTCGTGGGCCCATTTGCTGTTGTGTGAACAAATGTTGATTTCGAACAAATTGACTTGAGGACATATGGGGGGAACCCAATGTTTTCTCAGGACGGAATCCTCAGGGAGCTGTCACCCATCCACCTATTTTCCACTGCTGGCATTGCTTAACTTGTCATGGGTTCATTTGATGCCACTAACTGGCACTATATTTAAACAGGTAGACATGGCTGGTAGTGTATCACGGTACCCTGATGACGTGGGAATAGGAATGTTGCTCATGACATCAATCACTGGTTTGTCTGGCCTAGACTGGTTGCTGTGACATGGCTGGAATATTGCTGAGTGCGGCCAAAAACAGCAACAAGGAAATGATGTCATATGCTCACATTACTACAGAACTGCCTTGTTAGCATTCGCAGAATTGTCCGAAGTTCATTTGTTAAATATTAAAGGGGAAGTGTACACGCAAAAATCACTTTCTTTCTTTTTCTAAACAAAACGCAATTTTAGAATTAGTTAGTATCTGTGTTTGAAAATATACACTCATTTTTTTCACAGTGAAAGTAGGAAGCTCACAATAGTGTGAAAATGATATGCCGTTATGAGGCCTTCGTTTTTCGAGCTAAACTGGCCTGAGTTATCCCCCTTAGATTATGACGTAATTGGTGCCAATTCAACTGGGTCCCTGTCTATTCTGGACGCAAAAGATATCAAGTACAAGTTTGCGGTAAAACAACATGGCCTACGACACACTCCGGCGCAGTGGTGACTCAGCATAACACTATGCTGGCTGGCATCTGAGACGCTAGAATCACACATCTGTACCTACAACACGTGAAGCGGCTCTAACAAAGCATGATGACGTCATAATGTTTATCAATTGGCACCAATGACGTCATATTGCAAGGGGCATAAGCCATGGTGTTTTTGTTATGGAAATAGAACACTTGGTAAATGTGAAAAATATAAATCGTTTTAATGCAAAACATATGTTAATTAATTGTGATATTTTTATATTTTTGTCTATGACACTTCTAGGTTAACACTTTTATTGTGGAAAAAGTACAAGAAAATTAGGTTCATTTCCGTGTGAACTTGCCCTTTAAGGAAATGGTTGAAGACTGAGCACAATGGCAACAATGGTTCTGATGAAGTGTCATTGTTTACATTTAGGAATTGCCCATCTTTGGGTTTGACATTTTCTTATGTTGAAATTAACATATTTTCAAAGTACTCTGGTTGTGATGCATCTTCCCCAGGCAAGAGAGTTAACTTACTTTAAAAGTCCAGTTTCGACCCTTGCTGAAAAAGGCTGGAATTCCTGGGCTCGATCGTAGCGCCACAAGTGGTTATTACAAGTTATGTCCCTTCTTTTCCTCTCCTATGTACCTATTAGATTCCAACTCGTAGTATCGCTTGCATTTGCTTCAAACAAAATGGTGAAGCCCGGTCAAGACGATCTGATCGATCTTCAAGATCTATATTGTGATAAAACGGGTCTTACATCGTGAAGTGCATCAATTCACGTGAGCACCTTGATTAAAAAAATGAAAAGATTTGGAAAATATCTGTTGACAACGATATGGCGGTGCACATGCTTTGCAAATCCTGCAATTCACCGAAATCTGCAAGACAGTTTACGAACCATATTTTGATTTTTGTGCACGTTTGTTATTGGACTATGCATAGACTCGTTAGTCCAGCCATAATGTTACTCCATAATACCAGCCTAGTTCGGCAAGGGTGGAAACTGGACTTTAATAGTCAGTTAACTCCCTTGCTTCGGGAAGATGGTTGTGATGTGAATTGTGCATTTTTTTCTCCCCCTGATTGTCAGATCCCAACACAAGGTAGTGCAGCCTGGTAAACAGGACTCGTTCAAGGACGTGAGGGAATACATATCGGAGGCTGACGATTACAGTAGGCACCTAGCCAACAAAATAAGTGTGAGTTCAGTACCACTGCTGTCATAGCCACATGTGACTCACTGAACAGGTGGCCATGTCATTTAATGAGCTGCAACTTAGAGCTCAGAATTGCGACCTGTGTATGTGCCTGTGATCATGGGTTTGTAACCACCGTTCATGTGAAGATTCCGGGGTAGAATAGGTCTTCAGCAACCCATACTTGCCGTAAAAGGTGACTATGCTTGTCGTAAAAGGCGACTAACGGGATCGGGTGGTCAGGCTCGCTGACTTGGTTGATACATGTCATCGATCCCAATTGCGTGGATCGATGCTCATGATATCAATCACTGGATTGTCGGTCCAGACTCGATTATTTACAGATCGCCGTCATATAGCTGGACTATTGCTGAGTGCGGCGTTAAACAAACAAACCCACCAAACCCACCTCACCCTGCTGTGCAGAGTTGTGTCCCTTAGACATACCAGCATCCTGTAATTGTTGCCCGGTATCCTAGAACCATGTTACATGATTTGTCAGCACTATACCCATGCTTGGTGGTAAACACCTAAGACCTGCATCACTTTGGGCTTTCCTCCACATCAAGCCGACAGGCTGTGAGATAACTGAAATAATATTTGAAGCAGTGTTAAACTAAGCTCTATGTGCTGTGTTAAATGTTTGACATGTTGATATCCACATGATTGAATGTATAATAATTGGGAAGTGTTGTATCTTGAATGCTGTAACATGATATGCTTAGCAAATTTACAGAGTATGGAGGGGCGGTTGGGTAGCCTAGTAGTTAGGCGTTCGCTTTTCACGCCAAAGACCTGGGTCCGATTCCCAACATGGGTGCAATGTGTGAAGCCCATTTCTGGTGTCCCCCGTCGTGATATTGCTGGAATATTGCTAAAAGCGGCGTAAAACCATACTAACTCACTCACAGGGTATGAAACAAATAAGAAAAAATCGGGTTCAAGTCTGGCAGGAAATTTGGCAACTGTTGTTTAATATTCTTTATGGATGATGATGATGATGATGATGATGATGATGATGATGATGATACTGATGATACTGATGATGATACTGATGATGATACTGATGATGATGATGATGATGATGATGATGGTGGTGGTGGTGGTGGTGGTGGTGGTGGTGATGATGATGATGATGATGATGATGATGGTGGTGGTGGTGGTGGTGATGATGATGATGATGATGATGATGGTGGTGGTGGTGGTGGTGATGATGATGATGATGATGATGATGATGATGGTGGTGGTGTAATGATGATGATGATGATGATGATGATGATTATGATGATGATTGTGATTTGCAGAGTTTACCATACACATCAGGGTTTCTGACCGGCATAGATAAGGTAAGATATATCACTGTGCCTGACATTTAGTTATGAAATTATGCTTCTTATGTATCAAAGGATGAGGAATGAAAGGGATGTTTTTGACCCACAGAACCTGACAAGTTCAGAAATAGGCAAACCTTTAGACAATGTAGTGAAAGTTATCACATATGCTTATACAAGTGAGAATTAGACTTTGTTGGTTTCAACATTTGCATGCTTTTTACCACGCTTAATGTATAGGTAAGACTAGAATTTGTCCAAAAGGCTGGTTTTAGGGGTTTAGCATTTTCCAAAAATTCAACATGAGCAAGTCTTGGACCCAAGCTATCATGAAATGTTGATAAAGACGGAACAAAAATATAATAAAAAGTGATCTTCGTTCACAGACCTGCTCATACATTGATTTCCACTTGAAGTTAAAAATCTTAATTTTTTCATAATAGCTATACTCATGACAGAACTAAAAAACTTGCAAGTGTAAGAGAGACAAAAGACTTGTTTTTTCAACAATTTTACGATAACTTTTATACCAATATGTTCCTGTTAAGTTTACAAAATTTCCTGTAACTTTATATTTTCATATTTCCATTGGGCCCCAAATGCCTCTTATCCTATACCTCAGTCTCTCAATCATTGGGATATTCCTTTGGCAGAATATATTTTTTAATAAGTAGTTGGTTTAATGTTCGGTTTCTTTGTTGGGAAAGATTCCCGGGATGATACATTTTTAAGAATCTACAGAATTCTGTAATTTGGTCTTCACTGTGCATCCAGCCAAGATGCTCTAGACATTGTCTTGCTTTGTTTTTGTAACATTTTGTAAGATAGCAAAAGGAGGACTGTTTGACACTCTTTTCATCATGCAGGGGTAGATTTAACAACAAATTTGTATGAGCCATGTGCTCCTTTTCAAAGTTACTGGCCCTTCTTCAAACTAACTGCCCTACAACTAAATGGTGGAGGCTGTGGAGTGGCTGAACCTGAGGTCACGTAGCCACCTAGAAGGGCTGCGAAATATTTTGAACTCCTCACCTATAAGACGGCCTCCGTGGTCTTGTGGTAGAGCGTCCACCCGGAGAGCGGAAGGTCTGGGGTTCTATTCACGGCCGCGTCATACCAAAAGACGTTAAAATATGGTACTTGTTGTTACCCTGTCTGGCCCTCGGCACTAAGGGGCTAAAACAAGGACTGGTTGGCTCGGAGTCAGTATACTGTGTCTGAGTGGGATATTCATGTTAAACTGCGGCATGGTATCTCAGTGAGCTAAGACTATAAATCGGCATCAGTCCGGACTAGTACAAGCAGCCACACACACAAACACACACACACACACACACACAAACACATGCACGTCGCTATATAAGCGCAATAATCTTGGACGCAACGTTAATCCCAATTTCACCTCACCTCACCCATAAAATGTTTTTTTCCTGCACTTTGAGATTAAATCTTGGCTACCATTTACCTCATTGCGTAGTGATTTATTAGCAAATAAAGATGTTGTATACAACATAACATAATGACAGCCAGTTGTCATGGTGATGAGATGATCCTGGTAAAAACTAAAACATACATGGAGAAAGGTGAAATTTTGACTAGCCAGACGGGCCATCTACTTTACTTTTCAGCAAGCCCTTTGTAATTATAGCTGGCCACGGGCCATGGGCCAGCAGTTAAATCGACCCCTGTGATGATGAATATTTTCATGTTTCAGGAATTACTTCTACTTAAAGCAACATCCTCGGCTACAATCCTGTGCCTGGAGCAGTGCTTAGCTATACTCCAGAACACGCAGGCGGGACAGGTGGGTGCTTGTCTTCTTGTCGTGAGGGGCGCACGGTGGCCCAGTCGACTAAGGCGCCGCGATTCGCTGTGCAGAGTTGCGTCCCTTGGGCACGCCAGAAACCTATGATTGTGGGTTCGAATCCCGGTTCGCCCGATTATGTTTCTAGGTTAGTCAGCACCATACCCGTGCTCGTGGGTTTCACCAAAGTTGCAAACGTCTGAGACTTGCATCACTTCGGGCTTTCCTCCAACATTAAGCTGACACGCTGTGATATAACTGGAATAATGTTAAAAGGGGTATTAAACCCAACTCACAAACTCTTCTTGTCGTGCTGGTTGTCTAAGGTGCAAGAGGATTTCTCATGCTGAGGCTGTGGCCACCAAACTAATTGTGTGTCCTCTGATCCTGATGGTGCTGACTGGTCTTCATGCCATCACTCACTGGTTTGTACGGAAGCCTTTAAGGGCCACTTGTTTTTCTCTTATTTTCTTGAAATTTCAAGATGCTATGTTGAAATTTCAAGATGCTATATTGAAATTTCAAGATGATATGTTGAAATTTCAAGTTGCTATGTTGAAATTTCAAGTTGCTATGTTGAAATTTCAAGATGATATGTTGAAATTTCAAGTTGCTATGTTGAAATTTCAAGATGCTATGTTGAAATGTCAAGATAATAAGTTAAAATTTCAAGAAAAAAACAAATGGCCCTAAAATTCTTCTGTTGGTGTGTGACTGCAGACAATGTTTTCAGCTGTCATGACATAGGTGAACTTTTTCTTCTTGTGGTTTCAGACCTCTTTCAATGACTTGGCCAAAAGAGTATGACAAAAATGACTTTAAAAATTCATGAATAATACTGTATTTGACGTTATAAATGCCCCGCTCTAATAAGCGCCCACGGCAATATTTGTTAATATATTGGCTTGTGAACAATCCCAATTGGCACCCCTTCCGATTGATCAATGTACACAAGACTTATTTATTCGTGTATAATACTTGTGCAATTACATCCTTCATTATGGGAAATTAAATTCTGGAAAATATATTTGTCATATATAAACATTTCAGGCTGTCAGCATAAACACACGAAATTTACGACTTTCAACCCTGTTGTTTTTCACCAAAATAATATTCTAATAAGAGCCCCCTACTTCTAATTTTGAGAGCGCCCTGGGCTCTTATTATGTCGATTACGGTAATAGCAGTTTTTGTAAAAGTCTAAGACTGGTTTTCTCCACAGTTAATAATGTTTTGCCTTTGAAATCATTTAGGATCTGAGGTAAATGCAGTGTTGATGTGTACCTCCATCTGTTTGCAGTTCTCAGCTCCGCCCACCCCCCAGCCTCCGGAGAGAAAGCCGGGGTAAGCATGGCATTGATACTGGTCCTCCCACATGTTGCAAACACATTCTCAAGTTTGGGAGGCATTCTTTGTTTGTATTAGTTTGTTTAAACCAGGGGGCACGGGTGGCCCAGTTGTCTAAGGCGCCGTGATTCGCTGTGCAGAGTTGCGTCCCTTGGGCAAGCCAGAAACCTATGATTGTGAGTTCGAATCCCGGTTCGTCCCCATTATGTTTCTAGGTTTGTCAGCATCATACCCGTGCTCATGGGTTTCACCGAAGTGGTAAACATCTGAGACCTGCATCACCTGCTGAAGGTCTATTCTACCCTGGATTTTCACGGCAAGCATGGGTGGTAAACATCTGAGACCTGCATCACTTCGGGCTTTCCTCCCACATTAAGCTGACACGCCGTGATATAACTGGAATACTGTTAAAAACGGCATTAAACCCAACTCACTCACATTGTTTAACCACCCAATCCTCTTAGTTGCCTCTTACAACAAGCATAGTCGCCTTCTACGGCAAGCATGGGTTGCTGAAGGTCTATTCTACCCCGGATCTTCACGGCAAGCATGGGTTGCTGAAGGTCTATTCTATCCCGAATCTTCACGGGTCATGTCATTAAGTAAAGAAAAAGTGGAATGTGTAACAGTTATTTTGTTTGTGGATTTAGAAACATTTTCATGATAGATAAGAAGTAACGAAATGATAACCTTGAACAGTACAAGTTATGGTCCCCCTTTCTTTGTGGTCTAAGGATCTGAAAATGACCAATTTAAGAAGATTGTTCACTGATTGGGAACTTGTTGGGAGTCCAGGTCAGAATTGGTCCTTAGCAAACTATGCTGGTCGTAAGAGGTGACTTAGCAGATCGGATGGCTGACCTTGGTTTCTTGGTTGATGGCGTGTCATTGTGCACTGAATGTTGGATTGTTGTGCATTATAAAAATGATAAGACTCTCTGGTCCTAATTAGATTATGTACAGGCTGTTGTCTCACACACACATGCACGCACACGCACACACACACACACACACACACACACACACACACACACACACACACACACACACACACACACACACACACACACACACACACACACACACACACACACACGCGCGCGCGCACACACAGACACACACACACACAGACACGCACACTCATGCACACGCACACACACACACACACACACACAAAACACAGACACACACGCACAAAACACACACACGCGCGCACGCACACGCACACACACACACACACACACACACTATGAACAGTGTTACGATCGTCTTCCCAGTTGAAAGTGTTGAGCACCGGCTTGTGCACTTTGACCTGCATCTTCTTGTGTTCCTCCAGGCCTCTAGAAGGGAGTCGGTCAAGTGGTCAGCTGACTGTCCCCTCCCCCACAGAGAGCTTCACCTCGGCCAGTTCTGTCCCCTACACCTTCACAGACCAGAGGGTGGAAGGTAATAATAACAATGACTATGACTACGATTATCATGAGCTTAATTCCATGCATAAGTTCATACAAAGCGCTACACCATTATTACCCTGGTAATGGATCATTGTGCTTTCCATTGTTATTCTCAGCTCCCTGGGGAGTATACAGTACAAAGTGCCTAGGAGGCTGTAATAAGTTAATGGTCGTGTTACAAGGTACAGGGTATAGGGTACAGGGTACCTATTAATGAATGGAGGTGGCATATTCTTTTGCCTCAAATTTAAAGACATGATTACTATTTTTGTAACAGTCTCATTAAAATCTAATCTTTTACTCCTATTCAATATGTTGCGTGAAAATCGGAAAAGTTTGACCATCTAATCTAAATGAAGGATGTGCAGGTTCTTGAGCCAATCAGATGTCAGCTTCCTAAAATCATTCGGCTTCATTTTCTTACCGTTAGTAGTTACATTTGGAACTGGCCATTTAAGTTTGTTTTCAAAATGACTGTGTTGTACACAATGTATGGTGACTGCGCCAGGTCCGGTGAACCACGACGACGAGGTGGAGGACGAGGCGGAGTACAAGGACTCCGAGCTGGGCGGAGTAGAAGAACATAAAAGCATAATTTTACATCTCTTGTCTCAGCTGAAGCTGGGCATGGACTTAACTAAGGTGGGTGGACTCTGGATACCAGTCACAAGACTCTAGCCACTAGACAGGCTAGACACAAGACACCAGACACTAAACAGAGCGAGACACAAGACACTACACACATAACACATGACACTTGTTGAAAATGTGTAGTGTCTTACAAAGTAGAGACGATTTATGGATAATAACCTCTTTATTAACTGTAAAGGCAACATTTCGGTATAGGTCCTAATGTAACAGGTTTGATGCCATCAAGTGCCCCTGCTCTGGCTGCCCCCAAGATCCCCCCCCAAGATCCCCCCCCCCCCCCCTTTCCAACTGCTGAAATCCCCTGAAACTGAAGCAAACGATTCCAACAGATAAGATGAACAAATATTTTCACATTCCTGCTTTAATATAGTATGTCTGCGCATGCGTTAAACAATCAAATGCCTTACCCCAACGGTTTCTACAAACAGTAGAGACCGCCTCCGTGGTCTAGTGGTAGAGCGTCAGCCCGGAGAGCGGAAGGTCTGGGGTTCGATTCATGGCCGCGTCATACCAAAAGACGTTAAAAGATGGTACTTGTTGTTACCCTGTCTGGGGCTCGGCATTAGGGGCTAAAACAAGGACTGGTCGGCTCGGAGGCAGTATACTGTGTCTGAGTGGGGTATTCATGTTAAACTGCGGCATGGTATCTCAGTTGGCTAGCACTATAAATCAGCATCAGTCCAGACTAGTACAAGCAGCCACACAAACACACACACATACATGCATGTCGCTATATAAGTGCAATAATCTTGGACGCAACATTAAACCCATTTCACCTCACGTACAAACAGTAGAACAGGACTTCCATCTGACCTGATCAATGACTGGTATGCTTCAATCATGTTAACTTATGTGTTACTTTAGACTTTAACATATGGGATTCTTTAACACACAATACTTCTCGTGATCACATGATACAGTACTCAATACATCATCGTGTTGCTAGTACCTATCAGAACTAGCAAGACCATCTAAATAATAATTCACAACTGGAATGGACAACTTATTTCCTGGAAATATCAACCAAGATGAACAATTTCAACTTAGGAATACTGTAGAGAATTGTTATCAACATGAGCTGTTTCCAATACAAACTTTCAGGTAACCATGGTAACTGTCTGAAAACTATTCTGACATTATTAACTGTAAGATATTTCTTACATACAGTGGATAACCTTCATACACATTGAAACAGACTTACTTTCCACATTAATGAAATTATGAATACACTCATCAATGATAATTTCTATGACACATAATACTCTGAAGTTATTGATTAACTACAGTTGTTATATTTCCATAAAACTGCACCAATAAATGGCTATCATGCCTGACAACTGACAATAATTATTGATGAGTTATCTCCCTTTACATGATAAAATGCATACAAATACTCAAAATGTTTCATCAAACTTGATATCAAATTTATCAAACTTGACCTGAAGATATTTATCTTGATCTCAGAAATACTAATAACACTATCATGCACAAGATACAGAACCCTGTGCTTGTTTGAACACAAACTGAAAGAACATCTTCAGAATTATCTCCCCTTAATTGGAATGCAACTGGTATTCCTGTGCAAACACAATTATTTCTTAACCTCACAATTATTCTATAACAATGCTGAAACCCTTATACATGTATTTACAAAGAGACTACTGCACAAACATTGGTTGATTGGGTGGTCTGGCGTGAATTGGTTCACTGCATGTCATCATCATCAATCTGGTTTAGACTGGATTATTTTCAGGCCATCATATAATATTGATCTGTGTGATGATAAACAAACCACCAGTTCTGATTGTATCATGATTTTGTTTCAAATGGATGAGATACGGGCATCTTTGGCACCTGGAAATGACAAATTTTAAGGTTTGAAGATTGGTTATTAATGACATGTTCAAATTTTTTTGTTTACACTTGAGTCTTAGAGCTGTTGTCATGCTTGTCCTTTTCGTTAAGAAATCCCTCTGTTTATTTTCAGGTTGTTTTACCGACATTTATATTAGAAAAAAGGTCCTTACTAGAAATGTTTGCTGACTGTATGGCCCATCCAGACATATTCCTCAAGTAAGTGTACACATCTTATCTTACTGTGTTCTAGTTGCCATTGCTACCAAGGAAGTTTTGTGAATGCATGAAAATAGGAATATGTAGTTGTCTGAAATGCCACAATTTGTTGTGCAGAGTTGTGCCCCTTGGGCATGGCAGGATGTATGATCATGGGTTCAAGAGTTTTTTTATAGTTTTTATCAGCACCATACCTGAGCTCAAATTGGTAAATGTCTGAGACCTGCATCACTGTGGGCTTTCCTCCCGCAGTAAACTGACATGCTGTGATATCCCTGATATACTGTTCAAATTCACTCACTCACTCGTAAGGGGGCACGGGTGGCCCAGTCGTCTAAGGCGCCGTGATTCGCTGTGCAGAGTTGCGTCCCTTGGGCACGCCAGAAACCTATGATTGTGGGTTCGCCCCGATTATGTTTCTATGTTTGTCAGCACCATACCCGTGCTCCTGGATTTCGCCAAAGTGGTAAACGTCTGAGACCTGCATCACTTCGGGCTTTCCTCCCACATTAAGCTGACACGCCATGATAAAACTGAAATACTGTTAAAAGCGGCGTTAAACCCAACTCACTCACTCACTCACTCCAAAATAAGGATTGACTGGTCACAATGGCTTTTAATGAAGTGCTTGTTTGGGGGATTACTCAGGGAATTGCATTGCCGAATAGGTGCCCGGGAACCCATTCCTCGGTGCAAATTTAAATGGGGATCGTGTGGTCGCTAGGGGTGATCTGGCTGATTGTGTGTCGTCATGTCCTGTGTATATATTGCTGCTCTTTCAACCATTAGTTTGATTTGCTGATATGCCTGGAATATTGCTGTATGGCATAAAACAACACTCACTCATTGAATCATTGACTACCAGGGAATGTGCCTTCAACTCTGGTTGGTGGTTGCCCCTGGTAACCAGAAATAATGCTCACACTATTGACCACTGGTTTTGTCAGAATGAGGCGTAATCACTGTGTTGATACAGCACTAGAAATTGGCACTAGTATATATAGTCCTTGCCAAACTGCCCAATGGTAAAGGTATCATAAGGACGAGTAGAAATGTGCCCTTTTTAAGGGTTTTGCCATATGTTGTTATAAGGACTAGTGGACGAAAACTGTTAGTTTCTAACGCTGTTGATATGATTGTAAGATGGCTGACTACATCAGGACAGAGGATGAATGGGTGACCACATTGGACAAGTGGACTCCTTCAGGAATTGGTCCTGCCCCACACTATAACACATTACATGCGGTGTCTAATAATCTTGAACGTGATGTCAAACCCTGTTTCACCTCTCTTCCTTAACTTTGTCTGTAATGAAGATACTGTTCCACAGAATCCCCGACTTAGAAGAACCCGAGGACCGGATGCTGGCGGTTCTCGAGTGGTACCTGACTTCCTTCCATGCCGGCAGACAGGTGAGCCGTACTTCACGTGGCGCCATTTCGTTACACTTTCCTCAGACTGTTGAATTGGTGGTATTGTCTGAAATAGAACAATTTACATGTTTCAAAGGAGAAAGTAAAACATTTTGAATGATTCTGTACCAATCTCATTAAAATCAGATCTTAGTTCTCGCTACCGCTAAACAAAGATCTAAGGACATCTCATTACAGGTCAGACCGACCTTGCGCGAACTTTGACCAATCAGAAGGCAGCTTTCTTGTGCTTTTTATGGCTCTAATTTCAAATTGGCGACTACTCTTCGAAACATATTTTGACAAATTCTTGATTATGAATTTGAAACCTGAACAAAAGAACATTCTGGAATGGCTAATAGATGTTATAGATTGTATGGATTCAGTCGTTAAACCCGTAACTATCGTTCGGAACACCCTGTGTTAAAGTTTTCGAGGTTGCATGATTAAAAATCACATTCCGACAGTCACTTTCATAATCTGGTAGGCGACGCGCTGATGGGTCGGATGAAAGGTCGTTCTGACGTGACCCCTAATGGGATGTCTTCAGATCTCAGTTTATCGGTAGCGAGAACTAAGGCCTGATTTGAATGAGATTGGATTATGTATTGACTGTTCAGTGAACTAGGTTCCACTGCATGGGAGCTCTATTTGGATCACAAATACCACATTATGGCAGTCATTGCTCTGCACTTTGGTAAGCTGTTGGGCATTAAGAAAATTCTAGTTACTTGATAGGTCCAGCTAAAATCTGCTGAAAATGATGCCATGAGATATGTTCAGGCTTGTGGTTTTGGCACTGCAAATCATACACAGGCCTTTACAAGTAATGCCATTCTAACTTCTTTGATAGGCATTTAGAAGTTGGAGTACTAAGTAAAGATAAGAATGTATGGATGAACAACTTCTTTATTACAATGAAGAGCGACGTTTCGGTGTAGGTTCTAACACCGTTATCACTTGCTTGATAACGGTGTTAGAACCTACACCCAAACGTCGGTCTTCATTGTAATAAAGAAGTTGTTCATCCATAAATTCTTATCCTTACTTAATGCCATTCTAGTATGAATAACATGTTTCAGAGGATTATAGTTTAAAAATAAAAGGATGCAGATGGTTGCTGGGTATGTGGTCAGGTTGAAGTGTGATCCGAGTCCTGGCTGATGTCAATACTCTGTCTGTATACATTACGTTCTGCCTGTAAATGGATTGGGCTGCTTTCTGGTGTCATTGCTCTTTGTAGCCAATGTACCTAGCCATGATCTGGTTCCCGTAGACGGAAACCAGCAGGGGGAACCGATAAGCACCGATTATATTAACAGTATTTTTCATGCGACATCAGGCAATATCAGGCAACGGAGCAGGGCTCATTGGCCTCCAATGGTTATTCATTCAATTGGCTGACTGAAATTAGACAGTTAGACATACATCACTATAACACCACATATGGGGCGGTCGGGTAGCCTAGTGGTAAAGCATTCGCTCGTCACGCTGAAGACCTGGGTTTGATTCCCGACATGGGGACAATGTGTGAAGCCCATTTCTGGTGCCCCCCACCGTGATATTGCTGGAATATTGCGAAAAGCAGCGTAAAAACATACTCACTCACTAACTATCACCACATATCAGAGGTATGTTCACAGGCAATGGTAGACAGTAGTGTGTATACAAACACGTGAGTATTGACAATGTGTCATGGTTAGGGACTGGTCATTTATTTAATATCTGGGGGCAGCTTAACCTCTCCCTGTCCCCTGTATTAAATGACCAGTCTGTTAGTTGAGGATATTTCAGTGTTGACTTCATGCCATCCATGTTAAGCCTGTTCAGCCCTGTAGTTATTAAACAATTGTTTTAATTTCAGTTGAACAATGTGAACATGGCGGTGATTTTTTCAAATCCTTTTTATAGTCCATGTTATTATTTGATTGGCTCTAAGATTTTTCTGTTGTCGGATATTATTATTCTGCATCGTTTGTAGTTTTTAGTGAATTGTTTCTTTTTTTAGGAAGAACACTATTTTTGTGTAAAAAAAGACAGGGATTTTCGGTGACTTAGTTTATGGCATGTCAATGTGCCCGATGTCGGGGATCGGTGGTCATAATATCAGTCACAGGATTGTCTTGTCCAAGTTCAAGTACTTAGAGGTGTCACAAATATAAGAGCTGGGCGCTTATTACGTCGAATACGGTAGCTGGAATACGTTAAGCAAGAACATACATACACTGTACAAGATTAGATTCCTATTACAACAGGATGAAGTGTAAGATGAGGATGCGATGGTTTGATTATGTGTGGAGAGATCTTTCTTATTGAGCTCCCTTACTGAAGAACCCGTGAAGATCCAGGTAGAGAATTGGTCTTCAGCAATGACAGCATCCCTTGCTTGCCATAAGAGGCGACTATGCTTGCCATAAGAGGTGACTATGTTTGCCATAAGAGGCGACTTTGCTTGCCTTAAGAGGCGACTATGCTTGCCATAAGAGGCGACTATGCTTGTAAGAGGCGACTATGCTTGTAAGAGGCGACTATGCTTGCCATAAGAGGTGACTATGCTTGCTCTAAAAGGTGACTATGCTTGCCATAAGAGGCGACTATGCTTGTAAGAGGCGACTATGCTTGCCGTAAGAGGCGACTATGCTTGCCATAAGAGGCGACTATGCTTGTAAGAGGCGACTATGCTTGCCATAAGAGGCGACTATGCTTGCCATAAGAGGCGACTATGCTTGCCATAAGAGGCGACTATGCTTCCCATAAAAGGCGACTATGTTTGCCATAAGAGTGGACTATGCTTGCCATAAGAGGCGACTATGCTTGCCATAAAAGGCGACTATGCTTGCCATAAGAGGCGACTATGCTTGCCATAAGAGGTGACTATGCTTGCCATAAGAGGCGACTATGCTTGCCATAAGAGGTGACTATGCTTGCCATAAGAGGCGACTATGCTTGCCATAAGAGGCGACTATGCTTGTTGTAAGAGGGGACTAACGCTGACTTGGTTGATGCATGTCATCATATTCCAATTGCGTAGATCGATGCTCATAATGTCAAACTCTAGATTGTCTGGTCGAGACTCGATTATTTACAGACCGTCAAATTTCTGAGTGAGGTGTTAAACAACAAACAATCAAACCCCTTACTGAAGCTGTGACCATTATTTGTTGTGACCATCCATGGAATTTACAAGGAATTAGCTTTTAGAAATGTAACTAGTTTGTGACAGGCTATTTGGCATGGTGGCATGCTGAAAGTGGTGTCCTCCCAAAGTAGGAGGTTGCCTTGGGAAAGAGTCACTCAGGGTCAGAAAGTGTTTTCATCATGTTCAAAGTGAGACATTCGTTCATTTACCCAGTTGAGCACACTCTCATTTTGACCTGTTTTTTAGTCATTAGTTTCATTGTTCCTTGCAAACATTAGTTTATCATCCAAAACTGATGTCCACAGGAGATATCGCTTCAGGGAGGAGATATCGCTTGTCGGAGGAAATAAAGCGATCTCTCCGAGGATAAACTAACCTCTGAGTTTTAAACTTTTATCAACTTGATGATATATTTGATATCAAGAGACTCTCCAGAGGTGTGATTCTCCATGTAATATTTAGTCTGATTTTGTAGTGTTAGATATAGGTGGTGTACAGACTAAGTTTAGTCTTAATTAGATAGTATTCTAGCTGTATGGTTGAAGATTTCTCATTTTTTTTCTACATCCCTTTATACTTTAAACCCCTTTTCACCTCACCTCCATTTGGTATCTTTTTTTGTTCTGGAAAATCGAAGGAAAATTTAATAATAATCGTAATTTGTAAGGGGCATGGAGTTGTGTGGGGTTGGGTCACTAGGAAGGGGTTTCACCAAAGTGGTAAACATCTAAGACCTGCATCACTTCAGGCTTCCATCCCACATCAAACTGACACGCTAGGATGTAAGCAGTATGCTGTGGCATTAAATCTCGCTCGCCTGCCCACTCTGATGTGATGTTTGTCTTGTGTTATTGTCAGCAGTCAAGCATTGGTTACCTCCCCTTAGAAACATGTCTTTTAGTCACCCTTACACGAGATGGCAATGCACAGTTTTGAAGGAAGTAGACACGTTCCACGAAATAGCAAAAATGTGCATTTATTTCATAACTCTACACTGAAAAAGATAAAATTATGCTTCTATAAAATACGTATTTATGAGAATTTTGATGACCCCCCTGGCTAATTTGGTTCAAATTTTGCTCATTTTTGTCCAAATTTGACTTTGTAATTTTTTTTTCTTCACGTTTTCGTTTATCATTTGATAAAGGGTATAACTCTTAATAACTACTTAATTTTGTTTTATTATTTTAATAAATAACACTTGTAGACACATTTTTGTGCTACATGCACCATGGACAGGATCCATGGATAGGATGAGTGACCTGCCTCTCCGGTAGTCGTTTGTACGCGTAACTGGGGAACCATCTCACATACACATCACGTCACCTACTGGTCAGTGAGCACAGCCCTCTAGTTGAAGATCCGGAGTACAACAGGTCTTCAGCAACCCATGCTTGCCGTAAAAGGTGACTATGCTTGTCGTAAGAGGCGACTAATGGGATCGGGTGATCAGGCTTGCTGACTCGATTATTTACAGATCGTCGTCATATAGCTGGAATATTGCTGAGTGCGGCGTTAAACAACAAACAAAGAGAAAGCAATGGTACCATAAGTCCCCATGGCCCCGAGTCTGTTCATAGTGTTCTCTTTAAACTAGTTTTAAATACAAATCTGTGATGTCACAAGTTATGTTACCATCCTTTGATGACTGGGCTTTGCAAAATATACATGCATTACTTTGTCCCATCACAATATGACTGAAATATTGCTGATAAGACTTAAAATGTTAACTCATTGTGAAATCGGTGAATGTTATTGCTAGATTCTTTACCAAGTAATGACAAAGAGATTTCAATGGGGTTCTGTTTCAGGGTTCAGTGGCGAAGAAGCCATACAACCCGATTATTGGGGAGACGTTTCACTGTTCGTGGAGGATACCCAACACTGTGATAGCTGGTGACAATGACAGCGTTTCAGACATGGACGTTAGTGACACCAAGACAACATCATCTGCGACACAACTAGTCTACTGTGCTGAACAAGTTTCCCATCATCCACCTGGTAAGAATAAAGCCGAAAGAATATGTTTGCTTGGCGTATGATGTCTCCTGGTAGGTTGTGTTCATTGTTGTGCATCTGTTGTGCTTTGAAACAGTTTGAGTCTTCATTTGCCGATATGAATCAATGCTGCCAATGATCATCAACTGAAAGTCAAATCATCAAACATGTGAAGCATGTGAAAGAGGTAGAGCGTCCGCCTGGAGAGCGGAAGGTTCAGGGTTCGATCCGGGCCGCGTCATACCAAAAGACATTAAAAGGTGGTGTTTGTTGTTATCCTGCCTGGCGCTTCACATTAAGGGACTAAAACAAGGACTGGTCAGCTCAGAGTGTCTGAGTGGGGTATTCATGTGAAACTGGGTCAAGATATCTCAGTGGGCAAGCACTATAAAATCGGCATTAGTCAGGACTAGTACAAGCATCAAGCATCTCTCCCCTCGCACAAGCATGCTTGTCACTATCTAAGTGTAGCCTGGTGGTTAAAGCGTTCACTCGTCAAGCTGAAAACCCGGGTTCGATTCCCGACATGGGTACAATCTGTGAAGCCCATTTCTGGTGTCCCCCGCCGTGATATTGCTGGAATATTGCTAAAACGGCGTAAAATCAAACTCACTCACTCACTCACTATCTAAGTGCAATAATCTGGGACATGCCGTTAAACCCCTCACCATCAAACATGTTAAAGAAATGGCGTTTTGGTCAAAGATAAGGCATGGTCAAAAGCCAATCGATTTAATTACCATTTTGCGACATGTCCAGTATTGTAACTGCTGATGTGAATGTTCTTGTTTAACGAGAAAATCACACACAACAATATTACATGCCATGTATACATGATTCCTAGTTTCTTGGGAGCGATAGGTCCCTGGGGTTGCAAGAAGTAAATTGATGGATCAGGTGTTGATGCTTGGTACCTTGATTGATTGGATGTTACCTTACTTCAATGACGGGGGGCACGGGTAGCCCAGTCGTCTCAGGCGCCGCGATTTGCTGTGCAGAGTTGTGTCCCTTGGGCATGCCAGAAACCTATGATTGTGGGTTCGAACCTGGTTCGCTCCAATTATGTTTCTAGGTTTGTCAGCACCATACCCGTGCTCGTGGGTTTCACCGAAGTGGTAAACGTCTGAGACCTGCATCACTTCAGGCTTTCCTCCCACATTAAGCTGACACGCCATGATATAACTGGAATACTGTGAAAAGCGGCGTTAAACCCAACTCATACTTCAATGATGTGGATCATTGCCCATATTATGGCTTCTTTGGTTGGTCCAGACTTGGTCAGATTGAATATAGGTAGTTATTGTTGGTGTTCACTCACTCTGCGTGCCAACAAAGTCGCCCAAAGACGGTTTAAATTTTTTTAAATTGATAATTTTAGGAAATTTGAATTAAGTAAATTAATAACTTAAATTTCTGTAAAGTTTCATTTGTGCTTCCATTGCTGTGTTTTCAGTATCTGCCTTCTACTTTGAGTGCCCTGAGAAACAAATGTGCATGAACGCCTCCATCTGGACCAAGTCCAAGTTTATGGGAATGTCGATCGGCGTTGTCATGGTCGGCAAAGGTAGGTTCACCAGTCGGTCAAACAGTCAAACCCATGGGTGTTCCAGGTTAGAATAAGTCCCGAGCAAGCTATGCTTGTCGTATGTGGGTTGGATCGTTGCTCAATGTATTAGTATCACTGGACTCAATTATTTACAGGACGCTGTCATATAGCTGGAATATTGCTGAGTGCAATGTTAAACAACAAACACACACACATTATTATGATGTTTGTTTGTTGTTTAACGCCACACCCATCAGTATTCCAGCTATATGATGGCGGTCTGTAAATAATCAAGTCTGGACCAGACAATCCAGTGATTTTCATCCTGTGCAGCGATCCATGTAATTGGGATACGATGACATGCATCAACCAAGTCAGCGAACCTAAGCACCCGATCCCATTAGTCACGTCTCACGAAAAGCATATTCACCTTTATGACAAGCATGGGTTGCTGAAGATTTATTCTAACCCGATCTTCATGGGTGTATTATGATGTAGTTGGAGTACTGCTGACTGGTGTATGGCCAGTTTGTTCCCCAAAGATGAGATACCTTGCCCTGAACTCAAAGTGTTAAATGTCTACGACTTTCCTCTCACATTAAACTGATTTGCTGTGTGTGCTCCAGTGCACCTCCAACTGCTGAGTCACGGAGAGGAATACACCTTCACCCTCCCCAGCGCCTACGCCCGCTCCATCCTCACCGTCCCCTGGGTGGAGCTTGGGGACAAAATCAACATCAACTGTGAGAAGACTGGTCTCACTGCTTCCGTCGTCTTCCACACAAAGGTGAGGGTCCTACCAAGTTCATTATCATTAATTAAAGGGCTGTCTAAAGGTCTGGGGGGGCACGGGTGACCCAGTCGTCTAAGGCGCCGCAGTTTGCTGTGCAGAGTTGCGTCCCTTGGGCATGCCAGAAACCTATGATTGTGGGTTCGAATCCCGGTTCGCCCTGATTATGTTTCTAGGTTTGTCAGCACCATACCTGTGCTCGTGGGTTTCACTGAAGTGGTAAACGTCTGAGACCTGCATCGCTTCGGGCTTTCCTCCGACATTAATCTGACACGCCGCAATATAACTGGAATACTGTTAAAAGCGGCGTTAAACTCAACTCACTCACTCTAAAGGTCTGGCCATCACTCCTTAGGAGTTTGCGTCAGGTAAACTTTGTAATCAGCCGATCCGTGTTGAGGCCTGTTACATTTGTCTTACAGAACAGGGTGCCGTTTTACAAAGCGATCTTAGTGCTAAGGTGATCGTAACTCCCATACCTTAACATAGATTTACGACAGTCGTAGCGCTAAGGTTGTTTTGTACAACGACACCATGGACAAGAAACAGTTCAGTGTGTGGGCTCACAGTGACTTAGATGTGCTAAGAATAACATTTGAAATGTTGGTTCTGTGGCTTAGGGCCATGATGAACTTGTAAGTAAGACATGGGAACTCAAGTCTGGGTCAGGTTCTGAGACTTGGGTACTCAAGTCTGGGTCAGGTTCTGAGACTTGGTTACTCAAGTCCGGATCAGGTTCTGAGACTCGGGTACTCAAGTCTCGGTCAGGTTCTGAGACTTGGGTACTCAAATATGGAATGCAAATCTTAAGTCTCAAGTTTTACACTGACACAATGTTTTTCCCCATCTCAAAAAACTTCATCAGGTGATCACGTAACATCGCAAGTCAAGTCTGGGTCAGGTTTTGAGAAAAAGGGACTCAAGTCTTGATCAGGTTTTGAGAAAAAGGGACTCAAGTCTGGATCAGGTTTTGAGAAAAAGGGACTCAAGTCTTGATCAGGTTTTGAGAAAAAGGGACTCAAGTCTGGATCAGGTTTTGAGAAAAAGGGACTCAAGTCCGGGTCAGGTTTTGAGACACAGGTACTAAAGTTCTAATTTTGTTACCTGTCAGAGCCCCGAGAATATCCGATGCCTGTTAGTGGACACACAGTATTTTGAAAAAATAAATGAAATGGAAAAACAATCCCTGATTAATTTGTGTGACATGTTTTGTCTACCAGCCTTTCTACGGGGGCAAGCTGCATCGGGTGTCGGCTGAGATGAGGAACAACAACACGGGGAACGTCTCCTGGAAAGCGCAGGGGGAGTGGAACTCCAACTTGGACTTCTCGCATCTGAATGTAAGTGTCTCAAGTTTCCACACTGGGTGGTGGGGTAGCCTAGTGGTTAAACCTTTTGCTTGTCACACCGAAGCCCCGGGTTCGTTTCCCATCATGGATACAATGTGTGAAGCCCATTTCTGGTGTTGCTTGCCGTGATATTGCTGCAATATTGCTAAAAGCGGTGTAAAACCATACTCACTCACTCACTCAGGAGTCCATTTAAATCACTTCTTATGTCTAATTGTCTCAACTTTGACCAGTATTTCGGTAATACAACAGCATGTAAATTTGATGTGGGAGGAAAGTCCAAAGTCCAAACATTTACCCTGTGCCCTACCCCGTTAATTTCAGGAACGAACACGTGAAGATCTGGTAGAATAGGTCTTCAGTAACCCATGCTTGTCGTTAGAGGCGACTAACGGGATTGGGTGGTCAGGCTCACTGACTTCCTGGATGCATGTCATCGTATCCAAATTGCGTGGATCGATGCTCATGATGTCAATCACTGGATTGTTTGGTCCAGACTAGATTATTTACAGACCGCCGTCATACAGCTAGAATATTGCTGAGTGAGGCATTAAACAACAAACAAACAAATAAACATTTCAGGAATGGGTGTGGATACAACAGATTGTGTGACATTGTTCCCAACTACATGGATCGATGCTCATGATATCAATCACTGGTCTCAATTATTTATAAAATAGTTATCTTCTGTTTGTTCCAGGGGGAGTCGAAGTCAGTGGATGTTCAACAGTTGAAGATCTGGAGAAAGAGGGTGCGACCGTTGGCTTCTCAGGGCGAATATGAGTCTCGGAGATTATGGCAGCATGTGACGAATGCTCTGAGGATAGGAGACGTCAGCACAGCAACAGAACATAAACGATTTGTAAGTATAAGGCGTGATAATGGGTCGTAGGATATCAAAGTACTTCTGTGATGGTGTTGGGGCAGAGCTGGCCCTCAACTCCTCAAATGAAGTGTGGATTGTTTGGCTACAATGGCCTCCATGTGTGGTAGTATGGACCTGCCTGTGTGTACTGTGTGGTAATGTTGTATGTTTGAAGCGTGGATTGTGTGGCTACAATGGCCTCCATGTGTGGTAGTATGGACCTGTCTGTGTGTACTGTGTGGTCATGTATGTTTGAAGTGTAGATTGTGTGGCTACAATGGCCTCCATGTGTGGTAGTATGGACCTGTTTGTGTGTACTGTGTGGTCATATTGTATGTTTGAAGCATGGATTGTGTGGCTACAATGGCCTCCATATGTGGTAGTATGGACCTGTATGTGTGTTCTGTGCGGTCATGTTGTATGTTTGAAGCGTGGATTGTGTGGCTACAATGGCCTCCATGTGTGGTAGTATGGACCTGTATGTGTGTTCTGTGTGGTCATGTTGTAAGTTGTAAGTGTGGATTGTGTGGTTGCAATGGCCTCCATGTGTGGTAGTATGGACCTGTATGTGTGTTCTATGTGGTCATGTTGTAAGTTGTAAGTGTGGATTGTGTGGCTACAATGGCCTCCATGTGTGGTAGTATGGACCTGTCTGTGTGTTCTGTGTGGTCATGTTGTAACTTGTAAGTTCGGATTGTGTGGCTACAATGGCCTCCATGTGTGTTAGTGTGGACCTGTATGTGTGTTTTATGTGGTCATGTTGTATGTTGGAAGCGTGGATTGTGTGGTTGCAATGGCCTCCATGTGTGGTAGTATGGACCTGTATGTGTGTTGTGTGTGGTCATGTTGTATGTTGGAAGTGTGGATTGTGTGGTTGCAATGGCCTCCATGTGTGATAGTATGGACCTTTATGTGTGTTGTGTGTGGTTATGTTGTATGTTGTAAGTGTGGATTGTGGGTATAATGGCCTCCATGTGTGTTAGTGTGGACCTGTATGTGTGTTTTATGTAGTCATGTTGTATGTTTGAAGCGTGGATTGTGTGGTTGCAATGGCCTCCATGTGTGGTAGTATGGACCTGTCTGTGTGTTCTGTGTGGTCATGTTGTATGTTGGAAGTGTGGATTGTGTGGTTGCAATGGCCTCCATGTGTGATAGTATGGACCTTTATGTGTGTTGTGTGTGGTTATGTTGTATGTTGTAAGTGTGGATTGTGGGTATAATGGCCTCCATGTGTGTTAGTGTGGACCTGTATGTGTGTTGTGTGTGGTCATGTTGTATGTTTGAAGCGTGGATTGTGTGGCTACAATGGCCTCCATGTGTGGTAGTATGGACCTGTCTGTGTGTACTGTGTGGTCATGTTGTATGTTTGAAGCATGGATTGTGTGGCTACAATGGCCTCCATGTGTGATAGTATGGACCTGTATGTGTGTTGTGTGTGGTCATGTTGTAAGTTTGAAGTGTGGATTGTGTGGCTGCAATGGCCTCCATGTGTGGTAGTATGGACCTGCCTGTGTGTTGTATAAAAACACTCCAGTCTGTAGTCATCCTATTTCTTTATGGAAAACAAAATTATCTCAAAGCGATGGTGAATCTGGACTTGAATTTGCACCCAGTAATGTATATTTGTTGTATGAGGCCACTTAGGGGATCGAGTGACCAGGCTCTCAGATTTTGCTCATAATTTTAGTCACTGGTTTGTCTACTTAAGGTGGATTATTGACAATTTGCCATCATTACTGATCATGTAGCAACAAACAAACAATATGAATTATTTTGTATCTCAACCCGTCTCAAAAACACAAAATGCAAACACGTCTTTAAATATAGTGTAAGGTTTAAGTTATTATTATCAGCTGCTACTTTTTCAGCTTGAAGATCGACAGAGAGAAGGAGAGAGGCATCGAAAAGACACAAACACACAGTTCCCATCAAAGGTAAATGTGTTTATTTTTATTTTTAAAAATCTATTTAACATTGAATCCCACTACTCTGAGCTTGTAAGGGCCGAATACTTCAAATCCTATTGAAAGAGCTGAATACTGAATACTGAATACAAATCCCAGTACTCCATGAAATACTGTTCAATGTGGCATTAAACTCATCTTCCCGAGGCAAGTGAGTTAACTGACTATAAAAGTCCAGTTTCCACCAATGCCGAACTAGGCTGGTATTATGGAGTTAGAATTTGGCTGGTCTAACGAGTCTATGCATAGTCCAATCAAAATTGCGCAACGAAATCGAAATCCAGGTCGTAAACTGTCGTGCAGATTGCGGTCGATTGCAGGATTTGCAAAGCAAGTGCACCGCCAACTCATTGTTAACAGATATTTTCCAAACATTTTCATGTTTTTAATAAAGGTGCTCGCGTGATTTGATGCACTGCGCGATGTAAGACCCATTTCATCACAACATAGATCTTGATTATCGATCAGATCGTCTTGACTGGGCGCCGCCATTTTGTTTGAAACAAATACAAGTGATGGAATCGGATTGGTCCATAGGAGGACATAACTCGTAATAACCACTGGTGGCGCTACGATCGAGCCCCGGAATTCCAGCCAAGTTCGGCAAGGGTGGAAACTGGACTTTTAAAGTCAGTTAACTCTCTTGCCTCGGGATGATGCATTAAACTAAGCTCCTGAGGTCCGGGATCAATTCCCCACAAGGGTACAATGTGGGCAGCCCATTTCAGATGTCTAAACCGTGATATTGCTGGACTATTGCTTAAAGCTGCATAAACCCATGCTCCCTGACTCCTGTGACAGATTGCTTATTTCTACCCTGACTTTGTTCCAGTTCTTCCATCGAAGCGGTGACAGTTGGGTGTACAACTCGGTCCTACAGACGGAGCAGTCATCGGGCACAGTGTAGTACTTACATCGTCACGTCACTGTACGAATCACAAAGCTGACTTGGTGCAAGAAAATCTGTGATGTCTCCACCCCCTTGATTTCATCATAGTGTCTTTCTATACCCAAGAATATTCCACTTTCATAACTGTGCCGTGTTTTTGTCAAACATATTGAATCAGGATTTATTCTCCCTGCCAGGTCCTTGTTTTGCATATCATGAAGATATTTGAAGAATATTTTTATTCAATTATTTATTATTGATAGTTTCCTGTCAGAGCTGTTGGAATGGTTGGTTGTAATTTATCAAGATTTTCAAAGGTGTGTCATTGTGACTTTGTTTTTAAAACTTTGAGTCTTTTGTCTTCGTTTTCAGCCATCTTTGCAAATGGATGCCTAAATTGCTTTTTTCCCTACCTGAATAGCATATCATTTCTTCATAACTTGTAAGTGCTCAAAGTAGTGTTTAGAGACTTAGACAACATTTATGTTTATTTTTTTTATGTTGTGTCCCAGTTGTCTGGGGCCCCAGAATTTGCTAATCAGAGTTGCCTCCCTTAGGTGTGCTATTGTCATGTGATCATGAGATCCAATACAAAATTCACTCTGTAATATTTCTAGGTTTGTCAGCACCATACTTGTGCTTGGGGTTCAACCAACTAGGTAAATGTCTATGATCTGGTCGTGTAGGCTCCCCTTACACCATGTACACTGCTGTTACACCAGGGTATATCTGAGTAAAAAGTTCTTCAAAGCAGGGTTAAACCAACTCACACACTCCTTCTTTGATAGGCATTTAGAAGTTGGAGTACTAAGTAAGGATAAGAATTTATGGATGCACAACTTCTTTATTACAATTAAGAACAACGTTTCGGTGTAGGTTCTAACACCGTTATCAAGCAAGTGTTAGAACCTAGACCGAAACGTCGCTCTTAATTGTAATAAAGAAGTTGTTCATCCATAAATTCTTATCCTGACTTAACTCACACACTTGCTAACTATTTTATCTGGTTTGTATTTGTTTATAGACTGCACCATTATAAGTTTGGTGGCATTGTTATATTAGAACCCTGTTCTGCCATATGATTGAGAGTATATATTACATATTACAATTTTAGACTAGTTATTGACCTGCTAATTGCATTGTCCCATATACAACCAATTAACAAGCAACTGTGTGGTTGTAAAATGCAGTGAAAAAAGTGATTGCTTTTTATCCAAATGTGTGGTCATTTAATAATGTCATGTTAATGCTCGTATTGATAATGTCAATCATGTTAATAATGATTATATTATTTTTGGAAAATTACGAATTCAGATGCTATGCCATATATTCCATATGTCCCCAGTTTGGGCTCGGCGCCTCTGAGACTGGAGTGCGGACCTCTAACATGGATAACAATGGCTAGAACACTATTCACTCACTCACTCACCATGACTGACTGATTGTACTTGAATGATACGGAACTCAGGTAAATGTTTGATATTACCAAAGAATAGAAAGCGCCATGACCATATTGTAGGTTGTCCTAGTCTGCAGGGGTAGAGGCCATTGGTTATATCCAGCTGGTCTGCAGCAGATTTCGTATCAGTGGTTATGTAAAATAGACTAGTCCATCTAGATTGTTACTGGTCTCGGACTCCTGGACCAGTGGCTGTGTCTTTCCCCGGTGTTTGGTAGGAGAGATGGTTATCTTTCTAGAACCTGCGTTTGTATTCAGACTAGCCCAGGTGTGCTTGCCATAGTAACAGATCAGCCTGTGTCAGAGAGGAACGTCAGTCTAAAATTCTTCATAGACAGCCTGTGGTAGTTATAACTATGTGTAAGGTGTTGCTTGTACTTGTACAGTGAAACCTTGTAAATCCAGACAATAATGTTCCTTCTGTCCAGATAATCAGATTTCTGGTTTGATGAAGCGGGTTGCTGAGTAATGTCACTTTGTACACGTTACCCACTCCCTGCAGTAACCGTTGGGTTGCAGATTAACAGGTTCCGGACTATCAAGGTTTAACTGTTCTATGAAGAAATATGAATATTCAGAATGATATAAGTATGAATGTATCTGCTTGACACAATCAAGTGCATATACTGCTTTAAGATGTATGTATTGTACAAATGAACTTCTATATGAAAATGTAACTTGTGTTATGTCGGACTGATATTGTATGAAAGTGTAAAGGTGCCCGATTGTGATAATCTTGTACATATATACATATGCATTGTATCTGTAGCACCTGTATACATACACACCTTTCCTGGAATACATTGACAGGGCTTGTTTTCTGCTGCACATCGCAGGGACCGGTGCCCGTGGAACACCCAATCTCATTCAAATCTGATCTTTCACTTCGATACGATACCTCCCACCATCAGATCGCCTGTGTGGTGTAGTGGACAGAGAATTTGGTAGACGCTTTGTGGTTCGATCCCCTGGCTGCGTCATACCAAAACACATTAAAAGATGGTACATGTTGTTTCCCTGCCTGGCGTTCCAAATAAAGGGAGTCAGGTTAATGTGTTTGGGTTGGGTATCCATGTTAAACGGAGGCATGTTTTCTCAGGCAATCACAATGAAGCTGGTATTAGTCCGGACTAGTACAAGGAGATGCACACACATGCATGTTGCTGTATAAGTGTAATAATCTTGATGCGACAATAAACCCCTCTTCACCTCACCTTACCTCACCTCCGTAGAAGGTCACATCAAGTCATCCCTGGATGAACTTTGACCTGCCAGTCTAAATAAAGGTTGTGCAGGTTCTTGAGCCAGTCAGTCTAAGTTCATGCTGTTCTGAATGCTTTGCTTACTTAATTTAGAAGCCTACATGCTGATCGGCTCATTAGAAAATTCCCCTGCCATGACCTATGGAGGTGTTGTCAGATCTTCTCAAAGAGAGGTATCATATCGGTGTCAAATATCTGATTTTAGTGAGCTAGCTGGAAGATTATGACACAATCTCATTAAAATCAGAGTTCTTGTTACTGCTAAACAAAGATCTGAGGACATCCCATTACAGGTTACATCAGAACGACCTTTCATCCGACTAATCAGAGGATCAGAAAAGTGACAGTCGTAATGTGTTTTCTAATCATGCAACCTTCAGTTTTCACGTTTTTAAATGAGAATTTGTCAAAATAGGTTTCGAAGCGTAGTCGCCAGTTTGAAACCAGTGCAGTAAAGCAAGAGAAACCTGCCTTCTGATTGGCTAATATCGACTTCTTGTCAGTTATTCCATTGGTCAGTCAAAGTTCGCGAAAGGTAGTTCTGATGTGACCTGTAATGGGATGTCCTCATATTTCTGTTTAGCAGTAGCGAGAAATGAGATTCTAATAAGATTGATAATGACACAAGTGTGGTGTAGCGATTCCCCGAATTGTCGGTGCTTTGCAGTACTCTGTGCTGCAATATATATAGGTTTCAGAGGATTTGAAACAAGTATACATCATGGTGGCGTGTAAAGTCTTAAGTCACTGGTTTATTAATGGACTCAAACCGACTAAATGTTTTTATTGGGCTGCTATTCATTCCTTGATGATGGAACTGTTTTCTGTGTCACGTTTTCATGCATTGTGTTGTGTTTTGCTACTGTTGAGGGATGTATCATATCGCGGCGAAGTGCATCGCCACAGCCCTACCTCGAGGATGTGGTATGGAGGGTGTTCCGTGTGACTCATATTTGCACGTTCAGCATAATTCTGGTTGCAATGAGATTGGTACATGTGTACATAGGACATAAAGTAAACCAAGGTTCATCTGATGTTCCCAACATGCATTTGTGTACTTAACATCATTAGTACTGTGCTTAACATCATTAGTACTGTGCTTAGCATCATTAGTACTGCGCTTAGGATCATTAGTACTGTGCTTAGCATCATTAGTACTGTGCTTAGCATCATTAGTACTGTGCTTAGGATCATTAGTACTGTGCTTAGCATCATTAGTACTGTCCTTAGGACCATTAGTACTGTGCTTAGCATCATTAGTACTGTGCTTAGGATCATTAGTACTGTGCTTAGGATCATTAGTACTGTGCTTAGCATCATTAGTACTGTCCTTAGGACCATTAGTACTGTGCTTAGGATCATTAATACTGTGCTTAGCATCATTAGTACTGTGCTTAGCATCATTAGTACTGTGCTTAGGACCATTAGTACTGTGCTTAGGAACATTAATACTGTGCTTAGGATCATTAGTACTGAGCTTAGGATCATTAGTACTGTGCTTAGCATCATTACTGTGCTTAGCATCATTAGTACTGTGCTTAGCATCATTAGTACTGTGCTTAACATCATTAGAACTGTGCTTAGCATCATTAGAACTGTGTATTGTACATTACTTCTGTGTTTACATATTTAGTACTGTGTGTACATCATCAGTACAAGGGTGACATCATTAGTGCTCAGTTAAAATAATTACCTAATCTGCCGTAATAAGTGCCGCAGACGCTTAAACATTGACAAAATTGTGTGGGAACAAACTTTTTTTTATGATTTTTTTATGAAAGGTTACTCGGCAATTATTCCTCTTCTACACTGCTTTTTTTATAAGAAAAATGTGTAATATACACAAGACACTAATGGATTGTCATATTCCTACATGGTCTTACACAGTGGCACTTGTAAGAATACTTAGAGATTAGTTTAGAAGTATAAGGCACCTTTAGGAGCAGGGCGCTCAATACAGCGAATATAGTACTAATATGTTACTGTTAAGATCACAAGCATTGAAAGTACTGATGTTTACATATTTACCTGATGTTACTTAACATCAGTACTGTGAACATCACATGCTCTTACATCTGTATACACTATTGGAATAATCGAGAATCTCCATGTAGATAGCGTAAGCCAGACAGTGTCACATGTACCAGCAGTGTAGCAGAGTATGCCAACACCAATCTCCATACAGTGTTGTCATGATGATAGTGTAAGCCAGACAGTGTCAGATGTACCAGCAGTGTAGCAGAGTATACCAACACAAATCTCCATACAGTGTTGTCATGATGATAGTGTAAGCCAGACAGTGTCAGATGTACCAGCAGTGTAGCAGAGTATACCAACACAAATCTCCATACAGTGTTGTCATGATGATAGTGTAAGCCAGACAGTGTCACATGTACCAGCAGTATAGCAGAGTATACCAACACCAATCTCCATACAGTGTTGTCATGATGATAGTGTAAGCCAGACAGTGTCAGATGTACCAGCAGTGTAGCAGAGAATACCAACACAAATCTCCATACAGTGTTGTCATGATGATAGTGTAAGCCAGACAGTGTCACATGTACCAGCAGTGTAGCAGAGTATGCCAACACAAATCTCCATACAGTGTTAGTGAAAGAGTAGTAATGTCAGAAGTACAAAGCAGTGTAGCAGAGCATAGACGTGTATATTCCTAGTTCTGTTAGCATGGTGTGTAGAGGTGTGTCCATGGCTATTGTGTCGTGATGCATTAACAAGACGGATACACTGATTCACAAGGGTTGTCGTGATGCATTAACAAGACGGATACACTGATTCACAAGGGTTGTCGTGATGCATTAACAAGACGGATACACTGATTCACAAGGGTTGTCGTGATGCATTAACAAGACGGATACACTGATTCACAAGGGTTGTCGTGATGCATTAACAAGACGGATACACTGATTCACAAGGGTTGTCGTGATGCATTAACAAGACGGATACACTGATTCACAAGGGTTGTCATGATGCATTAACAAGACGGATACACTGATTCACAAGGGTTGTGATGATACATTAACAAGACGGATACACTGATTCACAAGGGTTGTCATGATGCATTAACAAGACGGATACACTGATTCACAAGGGTTGTCATGATGCATTAACAAGACGGATACACTGATTCACAAGGGTTGTCATGATGCATTAACAAGACGGATACACTGATTCACAAGGGTTGTGATGATACATTAACAAGACGGATACACTGATTCACAAGGGTTGTGATGATACATTAACAAGACGGATACACTGATTCACAAGGGTTGTCATGATGCATTAACAAGACGGATACACTGATTCACAAGGGTTGTCGTGATGCATTAACAAGACGGATACACTGATTCACAAGGGTTGTCATGATGCATTAACAAGACGGATACACTGATTCACAAGGGTTGTGATGATACATTAACAAGACGGATACACTGATTCACAAGGGTTGTGATGATACATTAACAAGACGGATACACTGATTCACAAGGGTTGTCATGATACATTAACAAGACGGATACACTGATTCACAAGGGTTGTGATGATACATTAACAAGACGGATACACTGATTCACAAGGGTTGTCATGATACATTAACAAGACGGATACACTGATTCACAAGGGTTGTCATGATACAGACTACACTAAACCCTCATGTAACTAGTAGTCCTAGCAGAGAAGATGCAGGTCCAATGTTGAATAGTGGAATATTAAGAGAGAGATTACTTCATTGTTATTTTGGTTAGGATTTTTAAATTTATCTTTCGTTGGACAAATGGGTTGCCTTTATAAAATTACTTTCTTCAGGCAATTGTAGACTTTGCTATTATGATATTATTTTCTTCATTAGACTCATTTCCCTGGGTTCTGCAAAGTAATCTTAGTGCTTAGATGATTACATGTCTGTGTTAACGAATGTGAATTGAAAAGACATAGCCATAAGATCACTGTGTGGAATGGGCCAAGGCCTGTTCTTAGCACTGACTGGGGGCACAGGTAGCCTAGTTGTCTAAAGCGCCGCAATTCGCTGTGCAGAGTTGCGTCCCTTGGGCATGCCAGAAACCTTTGATTGTGGGTTTGAATCCCAGTTCGCCCCGATTATGTTTCTAGGTTTGTCAGAACCGAAGTGGTAAACGTCTGAGACCTGCATCACTTCGGCCTTTCCTCCCAAATTAAGCTGACACACTGTGATATAACTTGAATACTGTTAAAAGCGGCATTATACCCAAATCACTCACTCACAGCACTCAGATTATCCTAAGCCTGTGTCAAGGAATAGGAGAGAAAACTGTCACAGTGCTAAGGTTGCTTGCTGGAGTCAGTCTGTGTTAAAATATGGACGTTTTATTGTTAAAGCGCTGCGATCACATTGTGCACATAGGCCCTGGGTGATGTTGTACAAAGCGATCTTAGCGCTAAGATGATCGTAACTCCCATACCTTAACATAGACTTACAACAGTAGTAGGGCAAAGGTTGTTTTGATCAGTTTTATTGTTTTTGCCCTTTTCCTAAATGAATGTCTTTTAAGAAATCTGTAGTCCAAGTTAGCATTCGAGTTGCATCTTCTAGATGTCCAGTGCCAAGAGAGATTAGTTGCCATAGCATCCGGGGATACTTAGCATATATACTGTACATTTCCCACGTCATAATACACATGTTGTGTCAGTTTCACAGTCCTCATATCATGTTGAACTATGCAGACCTACTGATTGTGTTGTATGTTTCCGGTCAATGTAAATAATGATGTGACGATGTACAGAGATTTAATTTGTTTCTTTCTGTCGACAGCTGAACATTTGACTGTCATTTGGGGAATTCTTTCTAGGGTCTGTTTACGACAAATTCAGGTTTCCATATATGCAATAATTACTCCAATTGTAATCATTTCAAGATGGGTTCTTTTTACCATGTAGTGGTATTTTATATGCCAAGAACACCTGATTTGAAGTTTTTTACAATATAAGCCTTTTAAGGACAGGCAATTTTCTTCTTTTTCCTACAGATGAGCCATTAATTTTTGTAAACTTCACAAATCCTATGTTAACTGGAAAGTTCATGCCTGCCTTGGATGTGTGCTCGTTGTCTTCGTGACTTTTATTTTATTTTTTAAAGTTTTAAAATGTCTCCCTTATAAGCAGTTTTTTCAAAGAATATCCCGAATTCAAATTTCAAGTTCTGTTCTAATTTATTGAATTGAACTTTAGGGAGACTTGACCATTATTTTTCTTTTGCTATATGTACTGTTGTTGGTGAAACATGTTTTAACAAAAAGAACAATTGGGTCGATCCTGTCGTGAAATATCACCTTTTTGTAAGTCTCTATAATTTTGTACCCTACCCAATGTGGTACTCATATATAGTATCAGTGATACAACCGTGATATCAGATACATGAACCAGTGATATATATATACTGATTAATATGTAGCTGAGGAGCCCTGCAGCTGTTCATCGCTTACATCAGTGTTTCTGGATGTCATTACTGGGGGGTAAGGATCGTCCTTCAGAAAACTCTGCCAATGTACAGTGTAGGATTTACAGCATCTACATCTTCAGTTGGCTACGTATCATAAAATATTTGTAAAATCTCCATGCCAATCTCACTTTATTCACTAACCACAGGTCTGTTTTTATTGTGTTGGGGGGTGGTTGGGTAGCCTAGTGGTTAAAGCGTTCGCTTGTCACGCTGAAGACCCGGGTTCGATTCCCGACATGGGTACAATGTGTGAAGCCCATTTCTGGTGTCCCCCGCCGTGATATTGCTGGAATATTGCTGGAATATTGCTAAAAGCGGCGTTAAACCATACTCACTCACTTTTATTGTTTGGGAGGCATTTCTTAGAGGTTGATGGAGGACAAAGTAGACCCAGACAAATATTGATAACAACTTCTGCGATGAAAGAAAATATAAAGAAGACAAAACAAATAATTATGGATATGGATAACAACTTCTTTGTTATACTTTGATTGTGCCGTTTGGGTATAGATTCTTATTCCCAACCAAGACTGAATAATGAACATCCTACAGAATTAAACATGGTAGGTAAAGGATTAACAGTAACACCAATTGTCATACGTGAGGGGGATTAACACGAGATGGGTGTCTATATTGCTAAAAGCGGCGTAAAACCATACTCACTCACTCAATCACTCACTATCATGTATGATAAATGTTTTAACCTCATTGATAGGCAGTTAGAAGGAAGGATAAGAAGCAAGTGATAACGGTGTTAGAACCTACACCGAAACGTCGCTCTTAATTGTATTAAAGAAGTTGTTCATCCATAAATTCTTATCCTTACTTATGATAAATGTTGTTACCTACCATGTTTAATTCTGTACCATGTTCTTTTATCAGTCAGGTCGGTGGGGTAGCCTAGTGGTTAAAGCGTTCGCTCGTCAAGCCGAAGACCCGGGTTCGATTCCCGACATGGGTACAATGTGTGAAGCCCATTTGTGGTGTCCCCCGCCGCGATATTGCTGGAATATTGCTAAAAGCGGCGTAAAACCTTACTCACTCACTCTTTTGTCAGTCTTGATAGAATGGAATAAGAATCTATACTGAATCGGCATGGTTACAGTGTAATAAAGAAGTTGTTATCCATGATTATTGTTTTGGTCTACTTTATTTTTTTATTGAAGTTTGAATGAGGATTCCAAATAGGCAACAAAAACCTGTGCTGTACTTGTGGGGCCGCCATTGTGTTTAAAAAACTTGACTGCTTTTGTTTTTGATCTGGACTCCCTATTCAAGACCACTGTTGGCCTAACCCCTAGTTGTGATGTACAGAACAGTTGATTGTGAGCTTTAAATGGATCAGGGGCTTCTAAAATGTTAGTTTGTAGTCTGATAAAATATTTTGTACAAAATATATCCTATTGACCTGAGAACTTTTAGTTCAATTGAATTAGAAATAGGTTTTGATGAATATAATACATGTACGCTATATATACAAAAGCATAATGTATATTTGGTAGTGAAATTGTTTGATAGATTATACTGTGAAATCATTTAATTATGGAATATTTGTAATTTTAATCAATTTGATGTTCAAGTTAAGTGACATTCATGAAGGATTTTTCATAACTGGTTCAAAGTTAAATGAACATTGCATAATTTAAGGACATGTTGAAAAAGGTGTAGTGGTGTCAACATTTCTGTACAGAAAGTACATATGTACTGCATGAAGATTCTTGACAAGGGTAAGATAAGGCTAGATTAGGTATGTGTTTTTGAAAGGACCACTGACCTATCTTATGCTTGTTCATTAAAACTAAACAATGGTTGTACTAATGAACACGCTAACTAATAGGAAAAATTACACTTAGATGCTCTTAGAACCATATGTGGCGCTGTCCCGGGTACGAGTCATCAGAAGATTTACAATGAAACAAATTGTAGGTCATTAAAAGACAGAAGATTCAATTTAAAACTGGTAATGTTTTACAAAATGAATAACCATTTATCCCCGGAATATCTTTGTAGGCTTATTTCTAATACAGTTTCGGAAAAACACAAATTATGACTTAAGGGATAAAACTAATCATCATACAGTGAAGTGTAAAACAAAAGCTTAAGCAGATTCATTTATACCAGCTACAACACAACTTTGGAATATGTTACCAGAAACCGTTACACAATTTAAGAATTTGCTTCACGTAAAGGGAGATAATGGTTTACACTGGGATTTAAATTATGGAAGCAGAATATGCCAAATCATTCACAGTCGCCTCAGGCTTGGCTGCAGCGATCTTAACGCAGATCCGTATAATAGATATATCTTTGATACAAAAACTTGTTCCTGTGGATGTCATACCGAAGATGCTCTACACTTCTTTTTGTGTGTACAAATTACTATGTTCTTTGAAATGAAATGTATTTTTATCATGGTTATTCTTTACAAACAATGCTATGCAGAAATTCAAATTTGATTAAGGAAGAGCAAATGCTAATATTAGATTCTATTCAACACTTTATATTAAAAACTGGCAGATTCTCAGTTAAATGATTGTTTAAAATATTATATGTACACATCTAGCTTGGCATGTACAATTTATTTGTTACATCTAACATCACTGATGTATTTATTGTAATATGTCCTATGTGTAATGGAGTGGTATTGACATAAGCGCTTCGCTTGTTTACCAATCCATTTTCACACTTTTGTGAAATGAATATGTTTAAACCACAATGTTTAAACATACTTGCTATATATAACAGTTTAAATTGAATCCAGATTTATACAATTACAGGCTGCCGTCATATGGCTGGAATATTTCTGAGTGCTGCGTTAAACAACAATCTACTCTTGCATGTTACTGACTTTTGCAATAATATCAAATGTAAATATATAGGGTGTTAGAGAGTTTATTATTCTAATTGATTGTCTCAGTTCTGCTGTAGCGACTGTGCTTGTCGTAAGAGGCGACTAGCGGGATCAGATGGTCAGGCTCGCTGACTTGGTTGATGCATGTCATCGTATCGCAATTGTGAGAATCGATGGTCATGATGTCAATCACTGGATTGTCTGGTCCAGACTTGATTATTTACAGACTGCCGTCATATAGCTGGAATATTGCTGTGTGCGGCGTCAAATAAACAAACAAACAAACAGTTCTGCTGTATGTACACAGATATAGATTATGGCTTTACAACTGCGTTATGTTATTATTATGATTTTATTATGCTTCCATGCATTGTTATATTTTACAACCAGCTTTACCTGCACTTCACCAGTTGAACAACAGTGGACGTGGTATGACAACAGCCCTTCTTGGCCTGCTAGAAATGGCACATTTGAATTTACAAGAAACTTGAAATATTAGGCGAGTTATAGGACATAATTATTTATATTACTGACATCTCTCCATTTTTATATCAAATGCAAGTTTTTCATGAACAGAAGTAAATCCGAAAAGGCGAAAGGTTTCCTTGTCATCTCATTTCACACCTTATATTTACAATGTCTGAACCTACAGTACATTGACTGATATTCAGATAATTGAAAATACTTGTTGGAAACATCTGTAAATATCATTTTTACCAATTTGAGTATCATGTCTAAATTACAGCCAGAATATGGTCGTGTTAAGAGAACAAAGACTGATTCTAATTCATGTGAATTCATCTGATTACATTTATGACCGATTCCTGAAAGATTTCCTGAAGATTTCTTATTAACTTATTTCTTCAATTATGCAATTCTTTCGGGCCCAATATTGTTATCATGCCACATCCTTTCTTGCACCGATGCAGCACTTCTAAACAAAGTCAGTTTGTAGCAGCCATTTTGCCCCGCAAGATGTTGACCAAATATGTGTACATGACTGATGCATGGTAGGCCGAGCATACTTCCTACTTTGTAGATGGATGGATGGAACAGTTCCAAACATGCGCTGTGCAGAGTTATGTCCCTTAGCTGCAACAGGAACGGATGATCGTGGGTTTGAATCCCGTTCACCCTGAGTATGTTTCTATTTATAGTACCCGTGCTCATGGGTTTCACCAAAGTGGTAAAAGTGCATGACTTTGGGATTACCTCTCACATCAATCTGACACACAGTGATATAACTGGAATACTGTTCAAAGCAGGTAAAACCAAACTCACTCACTTGAAGTCAGTGACCAAGATATTCCCAAGTGATTGTTTACCGAAATTTATCACATGGAATCTTGGAGCCTCGAAAATGTCTTTAGGTATTTTTGTTTTTGAAGAAAGTATGTGCAGAGTGAAAATGGGTCCATATTTGTCTCATTTGTGTATGTTATTCATCACATGCTTTCATATTTCAGTTTCTGATATCCCACAATGAATAATGCTATGTGTATATAGATGTGTTTTCACCAATATCATCTGCTGTGATAAACAATTATTCACGTGACTTTGTCTTTTTTTTATGTTGAGTCCTTTGTATGGACCAACTCCTACTGCAAGTATCAATGTGGGGTGAGAGGCCAGTAATCTTAGTCTCCACTTTCACATCATGCCTGGTTCGAGGGTACAATGTCTGAAGCCAGACAGGGTAACAACAAGTACCATTTTTTAACGTCTTTTGGTATGACGCGGCCGGGATCGATCCGAACCTTCCGCTCTGGGGCCGACGCTCTAACACGAGACCAGAGGCGATCACCGGAGTTTGAGCTTTCTAAAGCAACTTTAACTGCACACTGCACACATCTACAGAATCATTTAAAAACAAGAATGTTGTAATCGTGTATTTATTATATATTTTGGAATCTATCGCTGAATTCCAAACCTTTACGAATATAAATACCTAGTACAAATATACAGAACCTGACACAATACATGAAACATGTGTAATATATTCACAACAAACAACATGCATTTGCCATTGGGAGAAGGTATCGGTCATTCTTATATCTCGCGTTCTTAGAAAACCACAAACTAACCCATCCATTCTGGCAAGAATATAGGGAGACTCGGCCAAGTCACAAGACTCTGGTCTCGTGCATGTACAACCGAAACAAACGTGGACAACAACGCGGTATTTTTATACAGCTTCATCAAGCAGGAATAACCACCAACAATATTCTGTGGGTGAGGTGAGGTGAGGTGAGAGGAAATGGGGTTTAACGTGCGTCCAAGATTATTGCACTTATATAGCGTCGTGATACCGTGTCGATCACAATGTGAATGCTCTTTGGGTTCGTCGAATGGTCATCAATACTTCACGTGTCTGTTTCTTCCATCACCCGTGAATACACAGTCGCTATGTGGTGTATTGATTCATGTCTGTTTAGTCATTAACTGACGCCAGGAGAAAAGGGACATTATGGGTGCGTGGATACAATAGCGCTGTGACGTCATAAGACCTTTGTCGTTACTTTACTTCCGTAAAAATCGCCATGTATGATTTGTTTGGTTGTGTGTTTGTTGTTTAACGCCGCACTCAGAAATATTCCAGTTATATGACGGCTGTCTAAATAATGGAGTCTGGACCAGACAAACCAGTGATTGACATCATGAGCATCGATCTACGCAATTGGGATACGATGACAAGCATCAGCGAGCCTGACCACCCGATCCCGTTAGTCGCCTCTTTCGACAAGCATAGTTGCTTTTTACGTTGGTTGGTTTGTTGTTTAACACCGCATTCAGCAATATTCCAGCTATATGACGGCGGTCTAAATAATGGAGTCTGGACCAGACAAACCAGTGATTAATATCATGAGCATCGATCCACACAATTGGGATCGATGACATGTGTCAACCAAGTCAGCGAGGCCTTTTACGGCAAGCATGGGTTGCTGAAGACCTATTCTCTACCCGGATCTCCATGGGTCCCCATGTTTGAGGACTACAAAACTATCTTTTTTTCTCTTTTTAGTTCGCAATGTAATAAAAACATTATTTCAAGACATTTAAGCATAAATGTCTACTTTCGATTAATCAGTGACAATATAATAAATATTACAACGATTGTTATTTCATGACTGAAAATGAGATTTACAGAAAATTAGTCCAAATGTTTGATGTCATGTATCTCGGCAATACATATGAATTGTTGCTGTGAATTGCATTTTTATGTTCCTAAAATACTGTAGTTTTAAAATATGTAAGTCGAAATGTGATTTTGCTCCCATAAGGTCCCATGTCTTGGTGGGTCACATTTAATGAAATGAGGCCGCTCATTACTCACAGAAGTCAAATTAGTTCTACTACGTTGTCTGACATTGAAGCGATGTGTAGAGTAGAGGCCGCAAGGTTATGATAGCACACTTTGCACAAGAAACATTGCCGATGTACTCGGCAATCCACGCATATTGTCTTCTGTGAAGGAGGATCCACAATCATTTGGGGGACCTACGGACTATTTTCACAACGTCTATGATATCGAGTGACAGTGTGCTGAATGTAAATCTGAGAAATGTTAGCATTTGCGGGAAGGAATTATTTTAAAAAATCCAGTCCCAGAATCCTCCGAGAATATCAAATGTTCGGTTATAAAAGGTAAGACATCACTGAGTCTCTTCCTGTCAGCTGTTAAATTTCAAATAATTGAAACGAAGAAACAACTCCTGTAATTATTTCAAACAGTTTAGTTGTTAACCGCGGGAATGTTCTTTTAAAATCCTTTTCATCTGGAGGCACCATGAGCGGCGTAAAACTATACATGCTCACTGAAACAACCTCAAGTCCAGTGTTTTTTGACTGGAATGCCAGACACAAGGCAGATTGCGAGGTTAGTGTTTGAAGTGCCTATTTTAGTGTTGTCATCAAGTCCTGACACAAATAATTTCAAGAGATTTACGCAACAACCGTGCATCCATGTTTTGAAATACCAATACAGTTACATCTCGTTAGACTGGACCCCTATAATCCGGAACACTGGATTGTCTGGTTCATCGATCACTTGATTGTCTGGTTTGTTTACAGGCTGGTTTCGCATGGCAGGAGTACAGCTGTGCAGCGTCAGGCAATAAATATTTACTTTTTTTATGCAAATTGTACGAATGGGGGTGTTACCTGTAGGGCAGGACATGCTTACCCTTTTGGCGAACACCTGGTGTCATCACTGATTTTCAGTGGCCCATTCATATAGTTTCCTCAGGTATTTTGACCTTTACGCCAATTGGAATCCGTTTCGGTAAAAAATCTAGGCTGGTTATTCTCTTACACAGTTTATATTTACGGATGATCTTGTTGGGAATTCAACAATGTATCCTAAGGTATATTACGCCATGATAAGTTATTCCGGAACTGTTATTCCGGACGATTTCAGTGAGTACGGTCCCGTCCTGATTAATGAGGTTTCACTGTATTTGGTCACAGCTATTTCGCCAGACATCTACACTGTATTTTGCCGTAAATCGTGTCATAAAGAAAATATACCAGTTGTCAATTGTTTCAATTTCTTCACACTTTGTTGTGTTTAGTGGGCCTAATCATACCCCGTCCTCTGTAAAACCAGAGACCATATACCGGTGTATGGTCTCTGGTAAAACAGGGGGCACGGGTGGCCCAGTCGTCTAAGGCGCCGCGATTAGCTGTGCAGAGTTGCGTCCCTCGGGCACGCCAGAAACCTATGATTGTGGGTTCGAATCCCGGTTCGCCTCGATTATGTTTCTAGGTTTGTCAGCACCATACCCGTGCTCGTGGGTTTCACCGAAGTGGTAAACGTCTGAGACCTGCATCACTTCGGGCTTTCCTCCCACATTAAGCTGACACGCCGTGATATAACCGGAATAATGTTAAAAGCGGCGTTAAACCCAACTCACTCACTCTGGTAAAACATATACACTGCTAGCATAGCGGACTCTGATAGCCAGCTGTGGGACTACGCCATCAGATAGCGTGTACGGCAATCATCCAAAATACCTATAACCGTATCAATCTATCAGTGGCGGAGTAAACCCGCGAACAGCTGTGGGAATGTATCCGCGTTCAAAGTATAACAATGCATGTGAGCGTAGTGTATGCTTCTCAAGAGATCTATATGGTTGTTAGTAACGGATATCGGCCCCGGGTGGGAAACATCCCTCCGGTCCCCTCTCCGCGGCTGTGTTTTCACGATTCACTCAAGCGACAATTGCGACAGACGGGGCACCGAGGATGTCAGAACGTCAGAGTGGATCATTTGATGATGTATTGTCTCAACATAAGATGGCACCAATATGTGTACGGTATAGACATGACGAGACTAGCACTATCTGCCATCTTTACGTCTAGACAGGCCACGTGAACAGTTCTCATCGTGTGGTCTAGATTCGCGCTTTTCTTAAATGTCAATATGCCTGCCGTCTAGACACCAGCTGTTCTCAAAGTGCTATTTTCAACTGTCAGTACCTGTCCTCAAGACACCAGGTATTCTCAACTGTCAATACCTGTGGGTAGCTCAACTGTCCACAGCTGCGGTCTAGACAAGGTACCTTAACTATCCACACACGGTCTAGACACGCATTATTTTCAACACCTGCGGTCTAGACATGACACCTTAACTGTCAGGCACTGTTCTCAACCGCCCACAGCTGCGGTCTAGATAAGGTACCTTAACTATCCACACACGGTCTAGACACGCATTATTTTCAACACCTGCGGTCTAGACAAGGTACCTTAACTGTCCACGCACTGTTCTCAACCGCCCACAGCTGCAGTCTAGACAAGGTACCTTAACTATCCACACACGGTCTAGACACGCATTATTCTCAACACCTGCGGTCTAGACAAGGTACCTTAACTGTCAGGCACTGTTCTCAGCTATCCACAGCTGCGGTCTTGACATGCATTATTCGCAACACCTGCGGTCTAGACACGCACTGTTCTCAACAACTGCGGTCTAGCAACGCACTATGCTCAACACCTGCAGTCTTGACACGCACTTTTCTCAACACCTGCGGTCTAGACACGCACTATTCTCAACACCTGCGGTCTAGACAAAGCGCCTGAACTGTCAACAACTGCGGTCTACACACGCCACCTCAACTGTCCACGCACTGTTCTCAACTGCCCACACCTGCGGTCTTGACACGCACTATTCTCAACACCTGCGGTCTAGACACGCACTATTCTCAACATCTGCGGTCTAGCAACGCACTATGCTCAACACTTGCAGTCTAGACACGCACTTTTCTCAACACCTGCGGTCTAGACACACACTATTCTCAACACCTGCGGTCTAGACAAAGCGCCTGAACTGTCAACAACTGCGGTCTACACACGCCACCTCAACTGTCCACGCACTGTTCTCAACTGTCCACACCTGCGGTCTAGACACGCCACTGCGTCTGTCCACGCACTATCTGAACGGCGCCGCTGTGAGGTACGTCTTGCCGAAGCTGGAGAAGCCTGTGCCGGTGGAGTACATGTCGTCCTGGTAGACCACGCTCTCCTGTCTGCTGTACTGTCCCCCTGTTGGGGCGATCTCCATGAAGTTGCCGCCATAAGACCCCACCGGCAGTGAAGACCCTACTGGAAATACAGAGTAATAGTTAATAATTATATGTTCAGCTGATCTATTCATTGAAGCAAGCAATTCTGTAACAGGTGGCGTGTTAGCATTCAATCAGGCATTTGATAATTGAATGGTCACTCGGTATATGTAAATTACTTATCAAGATGGTATGGTGACAGATAGATATGGATGAAATACTGAAACACAAGAATCAGAGCAGTATATAACAAATCAATATTCATTGTTGTTGTCTCCAATGGGCGCGGTAGCCTAGTGGTTAAAGCGTTCGTTTGTCACGCCCGGGTTCAATTTCATACATGGGTACAATGTGTGAAGCCAATTTTTGTGTCCCCAGGCGGAAGAGTGATGAATATTTAGCTACCTCAAAACAGAGATCTCAGGACCTCCCGTTACCGGTCACGTCAGAACTACCTTTCGCGATCTTTGAAGACCAATGAAATGACTCGACAATAGCCAACCAGAAAGCAGCTTTCTCAAGCTATACGGCACTAGTTTCAAGCTGACGACTTCTAGACTACGCTTTGAATATATTTTGAAATTATATTATAAACTTCTCGATACCAAATTTGAAAACTGAACAAAAGAACATTCTGATGATTGTCTAATAGAGGGCCTAGAATGTATGGCAGATCTTCCCACGGGTTATTCAAAGTCCAAATGTTTATCCCATTGAAGCAGAGATAGACGACGATTTTCACGGAGTCAGTCGTAAAGCCCGTAACTGTCGTTCGGAATATCCCGTGTTAACAATTCGAGGTTGGATGGTCAGAACACACATTCCAACAGTCACTTTCCTGATCTGATAAGCGGGGGGCACGGGTGGCCCAGTCGTCTCAGGCGCCGTGACTCGCTGTGCAGAGTTGCGTCCCTTGGGCACGCCAGAAACCTATGATTGTGGGTTCGAGTCCCGGCTCGCCCCGATTATGTTTCTAGGTTTGTCAGCACCATACCCGTGCTCGTGGGTTTCATCGAAGTGGTAAACGTCTGAGACCTGCATCACTTCGGGCTTTCCTCCCACATTAAGCTGACACGCCGTGATATAACTGGAATACTGTTAAAAGCGGCGTTAAACCCAACTCACTCACTCACTCTGATAAGCGACGCTCTGATTGGTCGGATGAAAGGTCGTTCTGACATGACCTGTAATGAGACGCTATCAGATCTCTGTTTGAACCAAGATTTGATTTTAATGAGATTGATTTCTAAAGCGGGGTAAAACCCAACTCACTCCAATTGTACATAAAAACTGGAATTAAACAATTATATTCTCTGTTCAGCTACGAATTCATGGAGTTGAATGAGTGTTTCATTTTATTGACACACCTCAGAGATCAAACAGGTTGATCAAACAGATTATGCCCGCTGTCCCATTATTGCATGCTATTAATTTCCTACAGATGGTACCCACACAAGTCCTTTTCGATGATCCAATGTACTGTGACAAATATCTTACAATCATAATGTCTCTAGCTCATAGGCTTTACCTGACCTGTGACTGGACGGCTGGCTATCTTTCGCGTCGCCTATTCGAGTGGGGGTGGGGGGTGGGGGTGTGGGTGTGGGTGTGTGTGTGGGGGGGGGGGGGGGGGGGCTCAAAACGAAACAATGGTGGAGGGTTTCATAATATAATGAAGCTATGATACTCTGGGTAATATGGGATGGATAAAGATCAGAATTGTATTTTATCATTGACACATTGATGTCTTATATTTTGTGTTTTGACTGCTTAATGATTGCAAAATGTGTTATTATTACAATTCGCCAACCCCTCCTCGATATATTCTGATGTTAGAATTTTCGGCCGATATACATACTTGAACTTCCCAATTGTTTAACGCCCGATTTTTACTAGGAATTTGATAAGAAAATAAATATCAATCAGGCATTTCTAATCAAATGGAATTCTAAATTTTAAATACATTATGAGCAATTTGTCATATGATTTAACACTTTAAACGAAAAAATAAAGAATATCAGTCATTCCTTTCTTCAATTAATTCGGCAAATTAGTGAGTGGGTTTGATGGGCTTACTCTTTGATCATTATCTCAGTTACATCACGGCGTGCCTGCGTGATACCCGACGTGGTGTAAGTCTCACATGTTTACCTCTTTCGTGAAACCCACGAGCACAGTCATTTGTGACCAACTCGTGTTATTCCGGGACAAGCCGAATAGCGACTCGTGCCCCTTTCATGGCCATTTTTGCGACCGGGTTCCGTCTTACCGCAAACGGGCATACCTAAAACAATTGTCAATTCCTTGCGAAATGGTTCACATATATTTCCCCATGTATTACGTATATTTCAGATGCAATTTAAAGCACATCGGGACGTGCGGAATTATATAGTATGACTGAACACATGTAACTGTCTTGGGTATATTTTTAGATGCAAGACATACGTAAAATCAAAAAATATTTCTGAGGGATTCTTTGACGAAGAACCTGAAATCATACGCGCAGTCTGATTGGTTTGTCGTTTTTTCGCACATAACATTCATCATTAGGGGGACGGAAAGAGGCGAGTGGTGGGCGCGAATGGAGCACGGTGTGGCGCTGACAAACGAATTCAAACCAATTCGTCACCACTCGCCCCTTTCCGTAACATTCGGCTTGTCCCGGAATAACACGAGTTGGTCACGAATGATTCGAACCACGAAGGTACACAACTCCGCACACCGAATTGCGGCGCCCGAACCACAAATACATCATGTGGGGTTGGTTAAATACGAACCTTGAAAGTTGTCTTGAGGTCTGGAATAGTATCCTCTTGCTGAGTCAAACGCCGACCTGTTGAACGACTCCTGGTAAACGCTCCCTCGTATCAAAGACCCTTTCTTGTAGCTGTCGTAAGCTGGCGCTATGTTGTTATAGTTGTACTGGCCGTAGGGGTCGGTGGTGAAGGCCGGATGTGTTCGGCTTTCTGACCAATAGGAACCCGGACTGTGAGCCAAACCTGATGCGATTGGCACAGAGGGAAATGTCTGAGCATGCGCATGAGAGTCTGGGTAGGTCTGGACCCGTGTTGACGTAAATGCATTGTTGTGTGTCACGTAGTCACTGTAAGAGTTAAGACCAAACTGAGGCAAGTAGGAGGGGCGGTCGTACGACGTTCCGTTAAATGACGAATAGTGCTTTATGGGTGATAGAGGTAATGAAGCGTGGTTGAAATTCCCGCGCGTGGCATCTTCGTGTAAGGCGAAGGACGTCTCCCTGGCAACGGCTGAAGGCGTAGGTCTAGAAAATGCTGTACCATTCAAGGGCTCGTAGCTACCGATGTGGGGATGCGATGGGCGGTTTTCGTCTGTGATTGGGTTGGTATCATGCTCATCTGTATCGAAAGGTTATAGTACGTTATGCTTTAATTGTTATCATTGACAATAATAATAATAATAATAATAATAATAACAACAACAATAATAATAAAGCGACAAAACCCTTTCCATATCCAATGGAAACCACAACATCAAATCCACCACTGGTAATTCGGCTGTAGCAAAGTCAAAGTCAATGTCGACACCACCGCCATATAAACAATTTAAATTGGATGACTTCCACAGAGAGTGGAATTCTAAATAATGACAATGAAGTATAGCAGTGTGGAAGACCAGATACTTTGTCATCATTTTGGCAAACCGCAATATTAAAAATTAAAACTTTATTTTTTCTACGATAAAAAATGAAACATTTCATTTGACTTTTACAAACACTTGAATTCCTTTTCAAATATATCATCACTGCCTGTGTGTATTATTAGCTTACCGCTGTTGCTGTCGTAGTGATCCTCGGTGTGTTTCCGTTTCCGGTTTTTGGGAGAATTCTGGGATTTGTTTGACGATGTTCTCACTTTGGCGTGCATCTTTATCTCTTCTGAGGAAAAACAGAAGCATAGCCTTAAAATGCAGTCAGTTTGGTATCTTAAATTATCTAAAATATTGCAAATAACTAATAAGTCTATATTTCGATTATGGCTCAACAGCAGAGGTAAGTCAAACGTACGTTAAAAAATTACCCGTCAGTGATGGAAAATGAGCCAAATAAAGCAGTACGATCCACGTCCCCGGGGTGCCATGTCAAGGGCGGATCCAGCATTTTGAAACGAGACCCTCTGGATCCGCCTATGCATGTGTCAGTGGTTAATGCGGTCTTACTGTAGCAGGTAACCAGCGGGAAGATACGTTATGAGGGAGCGTTTGAAAACTGTTCCATTCATTTCATGGCGTGTCAGCTTTATGTTGGATGAAAGCCCCAAATGAAACCACGACAACTGGTATGGTGTTGATAAACCAAGAATCATAATCAGGACTAAACAAGATTCTGAGCCTGGATAATATATTTCGCAATTTGCAGCTTGTCAGACAACTGGACCATCAGTGTCTCCCAAGTACGTTTTGTTTGTTTGTTGTTTAACGCCTCTCTCAGAAGTATTCCAGCTATGTGAAGGCGGTTTGTAAATAATCGAGTCTGCACCAAACAGTCTAGTGATTGACTACATGAGCATCGAGCTACGCAATTGGGATTCGATGACATGCATCAACCAGGTCAGCAAGCCCAACCACCCGATCCTCTTAGTCGCCTCTTACGGCAAGCATTGGTTGCTGAAGACGTATTCACGGTCAAATACGTTATGAATTAAATCAAAGTTCAAACATCCTATGCTAATTTTATTATTTTGTTTAAAAAACAAAAACAAAACATACCTGCATTCTTCATATGTTTCTGTACACTTTTTTGTAACTGCGTCTCACGTGACATCTCGTTCTGCGTCTCCATGACGAGAAAAACATACTCGTCTAGCATCATGTGAATGAGGTGAAACGATCCTGGAAAGGTCAAGGTCATTTATCAAGGCGGCAACACATACGTACAACGTCCAATCTCATTAAAATCAGTTCTCGCTTCTGCTTAACAAAGGTCAGAGGACATACCATTACGGTTCACGCCAGACCGATCTTTCGCGAACTTTGACTGACCAATGGAATGACGGACATTAGCCAATCAGAAGACAGCTTTCTCGTGCTTTACGGCACTAGTTTCAAACTTGCGACTACGCTTGGAAACCTATTTTGACAAATTCTCGATTAAAAATTTCCAAATTGAACAGAGGAACATTCTGGAATGGGTAGTAGATGGCCTAGATTGCATGGATTCAGTCGCAAAGCCGGTAACTGTCGTTCGGAATACCCGGTGTCATTCCGAGTGTCACTTTCATGATCTGGTTAGCGACGTTAAGATCTGATTTTAATTAAATTGGTAATGTCGTGAATTAGGTACGTTAAATAACTTCGTGCATCATTACTTTTTGGGGAAGCTTTTAGCAAGAAATATGTTGCGATTATGTACACCTACCAAAACTGGAAGCACTATTCAAGGTGAGATCTCTCATCACAAGAGAGCCAATCAGCGCCCAGTTCAACAGGAACTCGGAGCTGACCAATGCCAAAGCACACTTCTTCTCTCGACACGGCTGTAACAAAACAATGTCAAAACAAGTCAAGTAAATGTGCATATGCATACTGGGCCAGAATAACAACACATCATGCTCAAATCGCTACGTTATACTGCGATCAGTGTGCACTTGATTTTAATTCTCAGCTCCCTGTGGAGTATGTAACCCGACGTGCCGGTGGGGCGCTAGAACGTTGACAGTCACATTACATCTCATACTACCGGCGGGTTCGATTCCCGACATGGGTACAATGTGTGAAGCCCATTTCTGGTGTCCCCCGCCGTGATATTGCTGGAATATTGCTAAAAGCGGCGTAAAACCCCACTCACTCATTCTACCGGACACCCTTTCACTGCTGAGTGAACAGAGGCATATATCAATCAAAGTCACTTAATTCCCTAGGGAGACACCATATGGGATACATGTGCTTCAGTTCGTAAAGCTTTGACCGGTACGTGTATATATTTGAGCAGCACGTGTATAGCTTTGACGAACACGTGTGTGCCTTTGACCAGCAGTCCTCCTCTCGAACCAGGTGACCATCTTCCCGAGGCAAGGAATTTAACTGACTGTAAAAGTCCAGTTTCCACCCTTGCCGAACAAGGCAGAATTTTCTGGTTTCGATCGTAGCGCCACCGGTGGCTGTTAGGAGTTATGTCCCTTCTATATCCCTTCTATTGACCAATCAGATTCCACCTCTCATATCACTTGCATTAGCTTTAAACAACATGGCGGCTCCCAGTCAAGACGATCCGATCGACAAAAAATCAGACAAAGTTATTCTGATCAACATACTCAAACGATATTCATGTCGCCGGACCGAATGCCAAGTTTTACAAATTTGGAACTGTGGAATAAAATGACATTTGTCTAGACAACTGAACAAAGTGCATAAACCCAGTAGATTTCCCTGTCACAGCACATTTAACGGCATTCTCTATTGATTGGTAGTGTAAGAACAGAAAGTATATTTGCAGTAATTGCACAATATTGAGAAGTCCCCGACCTGAAGAACACATTTGTCAATTATATTGTCCATCCATTCCGTGTAAGCTTCTATTGGTGCTTGCTTGCCCAGAAGGTTTTGAAACTCGTCGAAATCTGAAACAGATGTAGATCTGATAAAAAAGACGATTTCATGTGTAGGTGAGGTGAGGTGAGGTGAGGTGAGGTGAGGTGAGGTGAGGTGAGGTGAGGTGAGGTGAGGTGAAATGGGGTTTAACGTCGCATTCAAGATTATTGCACTAAAAAGCTATGTGCATGCACGTGTGTGTGGGGCTGCTTGGTCCGAAACTATGCCGCTTTCTGTCCACTAGACCACAGAGGCGGTCATTTCAAGTGACAAGTCAATAGGACACTTACTTATTGTCATTACAGATCCTGATTGGACAGGACTGGGCACATTGTACGTACTTTCTAAGATAGCATCCCTGTGCGCAAGCGCTCTCTCGGGGTCGTGGTAGCCAACCTGACAGCATAGTTCATCAATGTCAAGGTCAGCGAGGTCTTCCTGCATCACACAAACACAGTCGTGGTTCACCAGCACCGACCTTGCTGTCTGAAAGTACAGAGTGAGTGAATGAGTCTGTTAGTAACGGTGAGTTTCGATCAACGCCGTCTTGAACAGTACTTCAGTTATATTGCGGCATCTCAGCTTAATGTGGGATGAAAGCGCGAAGAGAGGCAGCCGTAGACGACGACTTTGGTGAAACCCACGAGCACCCACTAGTCCAAGACATAGGACATCGTTGGGCCGAGTGGTGTGCCTAGACGTGCCAGGAACCTTTGAGACCCGTGAAGATCCGCGTTAGAACAGGTGTTCAGCAACCCATGCTTGTCGTGAGAGGCGACCAACGGGATCGGGTGGTCAGACTCGTTGACTTGGTTGAAGCATGTCATTGTACCCCGATGGCGTAGATCGATGCTCTTCGTGTCAATCACTTGATTGTCTGGTCAAGACTCGATTATTTACAGACCGTCGTCATATTAGGATACGATGACATGCACAAAGCGATCCTGACCACCCGATCTCGTTAATGGCCTCTTACGACAAGCATGGGTTGCTGACGACCTATTCTCTACCCAGATCGTCAAGGGAATCCAAATACGTAGCTTCTCTCTGCCCTTATATATACGAGCTGAACATCGGGAGAGAACCCCGCCTGAAATTATAGATATTTGCGAAAGGATTTCCGGGGACGAAAACGCAAATATACCACTACTGTTCAAAGCGGCTTTAAACCAAACCTATTCACATGTAAATCGCTCGATGAAAAACATATGACCACACGTTCACCGTCAGCATACACTAGTGAAGTGTCGGGGGATAAATGTTTTAATCTGAGGGTGATTTTGTTATCTGGACGAAATAGTTTCTTGTTCCAACATTGTTGATCTACAGTAAAAAATACTATTGTGAGATTTCACTACACTACTACAGCATGTATAACGCCTACATATTCTTGTGATGTTCTGATGTGCAATCATTGGTGACACATGAACAGAAGACACACCCAAGGCGAGCTTCGATTTCCGCACAATTGAGAGTTATATACATGACGTTGGTGATATTAAACACTATTATCCCCAAGCAAGATATCTATTTAACCGTCAGCGTATTGATCAGGAGTCAGAGGCCATGGCCTGGGTTTACCTGAGCAAGGTGAACAAACGAGACTTGTCTCCGGACGCTCAACACAAAGCCACGTGCCACTGAAACGAGAGAAGTCGGTGTTAGTGTTGAGGGGACAATGCCGATGTTCGTGGGCAGAGAAGAATGGCCAAACACGGCACAGCGGTGGGATAATCCATCGGATTAATGGATTGAACGTGAGATGATGGAACACTGACATGGATCAGAAAATTGACAGGTCAGGCGCCATGACTTCTTGGCACCAAGATCTGAGTCACGTGTGTGGCTGTTGACTGGGCATGGGTTTGGCCAGGATCTGTGTCCTGGTATGGTGTGGAACTTGGCATAAGGGTATGTGACCCTGGATGTTCAGCTGGGTAGAGATCTAGGCAGGGTATGTGTGGTCTGTGTCATTGTATGACGTTGGAACTTAGCATATGGTGGAGAGGGTATGTGTCCCTGGATGTTTGGCTTGGTAGAGATCTAGGCAGGGTATGTGTGGTCTGTCCTGGTATGATGTGGAACTTGGCATAAGGGTATGTGACCCTGGATGTTTGTCTGGGTAGAGATCTAGGCAGGGTATGTGTGGTCTGTGTCATTGTATGATGTGGAACTTGGCATAAGGGTATGTGACCCTGGATGTTCAGCTGGGTAGAGATCTAGGCAGGGTATGTGTGGTCTGTGTCCTGGTATGATGTGGAACTTGGCATAAGGGTATGTGACCCTGGATGTTTGTCTGGGTAGAGATCTAGGCAGGGTATGTGTGGTCTGTGTCATTGTGTGATGTGGAACTTGGCATAAGGGCATGTGTCCCTGGATAGAGGGCTGGGTAGAGATCTAGGCAGGGTATGTGTGGTCTGTGTCATTGTATGATGTGGAACTTGGCATAATGGCATGTGTCCCTGGATAGAGGGCTGGGTAGAGATCTAGGCAGGGTATGTGTGGTCTGTGTCATTGTATGATGTGGAACTTGGCATAAAGGCATGTGTCCCTGGATAGAGGGCTGGGTAGAGATCTAGGCAGGGTATGTGTGGTCTGTGTCATTGTATGATGTGGAACTTGGCATAATGGCATGTGTCCCTGGATAGAGGGCTGGGTAGAGATCTAAGCAGGGTATGTGTGGTCTGTGTCATTGTATGACGTAGAACTTAGCATAAGGGTATGTGTCCCTGGATAGAGATCTGCCAATACTGTGTACTTCACTTGACAGAGGGTTGGAGAGGGTTTATCATCGTTTTGATACTTGACTGGGCAGGATCTGTTTTTGGTGTGATCTGTGATAGGACAGTGACTGGACAGGGTCAACCATTGATGTAATGTTGGACTGGACAGGGAGTTGGGCGATTAGGTACCTCACTCCGAGAGTGTGGGTTCCAATCCCACAAATACACTAGAATTTTTACTTTACTTAGAAAGTGTTTTCCCAAATATAACATGTGTTACATTTAAATGGCATTGCGTATTCACTATACCTTCTTGTTTTCTGTCCTGGATGTCCTTTGGGGCATTCTCTAGTGACGATTCCAACCAAACAGGGAGACGTTTCACGAACACTTTGATTTCTGATCCTAGACTGCCGAAAGGATCAGATACATTGATAATGTAGCATTGTGGTTATGCAAATGTAACATTGGTGTAGCATGTATGGAGGCACACTTGCAAAATGGAATTACGTGTAATTATAACAAAAGCGATTCTTATACAGTAAACTACGGTTATAACGAACTCAAAGGGACTACTAATGTTAGTTCGTTATAACCGTAATTCGTTATAAGCATATATACAGCATAACCACAGCAAATAGTCGGGACCAAAAAAGTTTGTTATATCCGTCATTTCGTTATAAGCGTGTTCGTTATAACCGTAGTTTACTGTATTTGTAAGTTCGTGATATGCAATAAGCTAGGAATAAAATCCCCAATTGGTTAATCCTCATCCTTTCTAATAAGAAAGTACAAACGATACTGGCAAATTAATATATGGAAATACCATGAATGCAAGATATTTAGAGATATAAGTATATGTATTTTAAAATTGTAGCAAATAACACTAAATGTAAAAGTAATCGCAACATAGGAATAACCATATTTGGAATCATTAAGAAGAACATATAGCGGAGAGGCAAACCTCAGGTCGTGTGTGCCTAGTTATTATACACAGCTTTTAGCGTAATATTTGGTGTCATCTGTAGAGCATAGGTATCAAAAGGAACAGAAATTGTCTGCACAAAAAAATGTTTAAAAAAAAGTTATTTTTGCTCAAAGTTCTAATTTAAATTTTTTTCTTGTTTTGCAGCTGTAACTGAACAAATATCCAGTCTCATACAACATCTTTAAGTGTGACCACGCTCTCCGAATAGCGTCCTTCGGGAACAAACCTTCACAGCTTGTCATAGGGACTAATTACTACAAAATTTTGCGTCGGCAGGATACATGGCGGTAGTTAGGCCTGATACAGATCGAACATGGGGTAGTAATACTTCTCACGTTCTCGCGTTGTCCCGAAGCAGGGCGAGAAGATGCTTGCCCTCCCCTTGTATCACCCGTTGCCTTACAAAGCCGTGGCCCCACATGGGGCAGGACGGGAGATATTGGCTTGTTTGTATCACTGTGTGGCGTTTATCTAGTGGCGGTTCCTTTGATGTTTTCTTACCTGTCAGGTAGATCTTGTATGGAGGATGGGATGAGCACGTCGACAAGCACCTGGGTGAGGGGGAGGAGAAGATAGCGTCAAGTACTTTGAAGCAAGGTGGTAGAAAAATAAAATTCATTTAGTGAATCCTTTTATTGTTTCAGTGCATGTTAACATGTGCACATACCGGTTTATTTCGGATTATAAACGCCCCCACAAACGCACAGTCGAAACGAGCAGTGGGGACCTAAACTGATTGTTTTAATCCGCTAGCTTAAGGTTGAATTTTGTCATGAAGACACTTGGTCATGGCGTGGTATTATTACGTGCTAATGCATATCTCCGTAGGGTTTCCGGATAAGAAAAGTTCCCCGCCGTGATGGTCGTAAGAAACGACCTAATGGACCGGGGGGTCAGGATCGGTGACTTGGTTGATTGGGTGTAGTCGTACCAGACGCCGTGGATCGTTTCGTAATATGAATCATTGGATTGTCTGGTCCAGACTCGATATTGTACAGGCCGCCGTCATATGACTGGTATATTGTTGAGTGCGGCGTAAAACAACAAGTAACAACAAAGCATTGAGTTCTCTGGGAATCTGGTATTTTCAACTCGATTTTAAACTTCTTAGCCCACCTTATACAAGATGGAGTCACATAAGGCGATGACGTCAGCAAGCACTTCGGCTTTAAGAACCTCTACCAGGTGCTCCGGCATCCCTTGCCAAAAATGCAGCAGAAAATTCTGAACCTTCACAAAGAAAAACAGTAATGTATTATTCTTAGATTAATTAATTAGAATGACAAAGGGAACTAAATGTCCATGCATTATCAAAGACTAAAATGACACAGTTGTCATGAGATGTTTACAAAACTAGTATCTTAATTATTTCCTTTATCATCAAATGTGTTCTTCCATACATCTGCATTGAAGTTGACATATCTATTCATACAAGGGCGACCCGTGAAGATCCGGGGTAGAATAGATCTTCAGCCACCCATACTTGCCGTAAGGGGCGACTATGCTTGTGGTAAGAGGCGACTAACGGGATTGGGTGGTCAGGCTCGCTGACTTGGTTGATGCATGTCATCGATCCCAATTGCGTGGATCGATGCTCATGATATCAATCACTGGATCGCTGTCCAGACTCGATTATTTACAGACCGCCGTCATATAGCTGGAATATTGCTGATCAACAAATAATACAAGGGCACAGTCGTCTAAGGCGCGACAACTCGCCGTACAGGGTTGCATAGCGTCGCTGCGTCAGAAATCTAAGATTGTGGGTTCGAATCCCGGGCCGCCGCGATTATGTTTCAAGGTTTGTCAGCACCATACCCGTGCCCGTGGGTTTCACCGAAGTGGTAAACATCTGAAACCTGCATCACGGGTTTCTTCCCACATCAAGATGACACGCCGTGATGCAACTGAAATATTGTTCAAAGCGACGTTAAACCCAACTCACTCACTATTTACCCAGGCCATAGCTATTATAATTAATGTTATATCATGAGCGAGTGAGTGAGTTTTAATCCGATTTTATCAATATTCCTGCATTTGTACGGAGGGGGATATCAGAATATGAGCTTAAAACATTGTACCCATACGAGCGTTTTATCCAGAAGGCTACGTCGCCTGTCAATAATATCGCGCGGCCTAAAAGCTGCCGTACAGAATAACATGTTACATTGTCAATTGCCATTAATGAATAAATGTGTATTGATATCGATCAAATCATTTTGACAAATAAGTCAATCTCGGGCAATTGAAGAGAACATTTAAAGTATAACCACATGTTCGTGTGGAAGGCTTAGTCATCACTCAACTTCTTCAACCATTTAACAGGTGTTAAAATCATTACTCCACTAAGCCTGGATTAACACAATGAAAATAAATTACCAAACCGCGTTATTATTCAAGCACGAATTCTCCCCTTGCGGTGCACGAAAAAAGGACACTAATTTATCAACTTTCTCTCGGCCTATACTGCAGATTAAAAGACTATGGTTGTCCTAAACCAGGCAACCTTTGACCTCGGACTCTCAGCCTGCTCGCGTGTTATGCTGTTAGTGTTCGCAGAATACGCGCGTGTTATGCTATACCCGTACATTCACTCCTTGGGGTTATCGCAAATGACACATGGGGCTCTCAATGAGAGAGGACGATACCTGGCCTCTGTGTGGTTGCTAGCCACGTGCTTTCTAAATACGTGATCGACGCACGTGGGATGAATAAGATCGTGTCAGCTTTCATTAAATTGGCGTTGATAGTTTGGACATCCGTGTACTCGTTGCCCGCGGGACGTGGGACATTTCAAAGTTATGTTTGCAAACAGCAAGATAAACTGAAGACTCCGTAAGAAACTTTGTTTGAGCGTATATATCCACGTTCTAAAAAATATATTTCACTGATAAAAGGACAAACCGACATGCCGTGGATAACGGCGCTCAGTTGAGATGCTGTCAAAGCATTGATTGTTTGGTTCTTGAATTTATGACTGATTGGATTAAATTAATGATAGTATGATATTGAAACAATGTCTGTTACTTATCGTTAATGATATACAAAATTGGGAATTGGGTTAGTAAATGAGTATGATTTTACGCCGCTTTGGGTAATACTCTAGCGCTATCGTGGCGGGGGACACCAGAGATTGACTTCACGCTTTAACCCATTTGGGGAATCGAACCCGGGCCCTTGACGTGACGAGATAACGCTTTAACCAGTGGGCTACCCCATTACCGTGGACTTGGTTTACCGTGAATTCTTTTGGTAAGTATGTGGATCAAGGAATATATTATTACCGCAAGTGCGAAGGCCATAGGAAATAATATAAAAAATATAAGTATACTATATATATATACTATATATTAAGTATACTGGAAGAAAATTCTCTCTTTTAAAAATAAGTCCCGTTTCCACTCTTGCCGAACTAGGCTGGACTAACGAGTCTTTGCATAGTCCAATCCAAACCGCGTAACGAACTAGACATCCGGTTCGTAAACAACATGGATTCCAACGTGCAGATTTTGGTCGACTGATGGATTTGCAAAGCATATTAACCGCCAAATGGGCGTCGACAGATATTTTGCAAATCTTTTAATGTTTTTGATCAAGGTGCTCAAGTGATGAAATTGGCAGGAAAAGATTACAACATAGATCTTGATTATCGATCAGATCGTCTTGACTGGTCGACGCCATTTTGTTCGAAGCATATGCAAGTGATGTGAGAGATGGAATCTGATTGGTCAATAGGAGGGACATAGAAGGGACATAACTAGTAATGGCCACTGGTGGCGCTACGATCGAGCCTGGATCGAAAATTCCAGCCAAGTTCGGCAAGGGTGGAAACTGGACTTTTATAGTCAGTTCACGCCCTTGTCTCGGGATGATGTCATTTTCAAGAATATTTGCAGTTGATGATTGCGGTTGCCTTGGATTGGAATTCATTGTGTATTCTGCGATGGGCTATATAGACTATATCAAATATGTATAACTTAAATTTCGAAAGGTGGTACATTTGTTTGAGATTCAACATTTAATAGGTTAGCCCGATTTTATATGACATTTTGTCAAACATCAGTAACATGGCTATCATACATACCTCATCAAAGTTAGCACTTATTACTGTGTCCAGTATACGTTGGCAGTGAGTGCGATACATCATAATAAATGTCTCCATCTGCAACAGCAACCCATGAACACTCGATAAACATTATTTGTATAATCGTATTATTTTCATGTGATATATCCAAATTCTGTTTGTGCGCCAGATTGTATTCTACATTCAGTGTTGAAATTAAGCGCTGTCTAGGAATTATGAATACGGGTTTTTAACAATGTGATACATTATATGTGGGCGAATGTGTACGTTTGTACCATCTGCTTTGGACAAAACACTTCTGATGAAAAAGGGTTCGGGTTGAAAACATCCTCGAGTATCCAGGGTCGTATTTCTCCATGCTAAATACCCTGAACCCATTCGCCACCACATCTTCGTCTCGGACATGACGCCACCACCTCCAATGGCCCTTTGTGTCACGTACTGCACAATTATTTTTTCTTGTGAAAAAAAACTTTCGATAATCATAAGAAATCTCTACGAGTCCGACTACACCATGAGCATGTGTTTATGAATCACTATCGAATGGTGATGATACCAGGTGTTCGAGAAAACCCGTTACAAACCCGTTACAAGTCAATTGTTCACCTAAGCACACACGGGAGCATGTGATTCAAGTCAAACTATGGAATTGCATCGGGCATCTTTTTGGTCACTTATGCGTCTAATTTGAAAATGTCCTCCACATATCTACCAACTTTTTTAAAAATCTTTACTGAGGCCTCAAAGGTTGTAACCTTGATCAAACAACTTTTGAGCATTAGTCGGAGGACGCTCCTCGAAATATTCGTAGAATTATTCGATTGTACCTCAAACGTTGCGAAATGGTAACACCAAAGACAAGAACTGCAGGAATATTGCTCGACATAAATGAAAAGTTGACTATTGGAAAGTTGAAGTTAGCCCTCTTGGCATACAGCCTTGTGGAGATTTGTTTTGTCACTCTGAATCTTTATGTATAGATCTAAATATGAAACAGATGCGGCGGTTTTACTGGTCTCCTTTATTTAAAGAGAATTGGCTATTCGAACACCATTTAACGTTATCAGGTAATCAGTTAATTCGACTGGATGAGCGTGGTGGTTTCAGGGTATTCAATGGAGCAGGACAATACCCCCATGTTTATGATGCTCAATGGTGCAAACAAACACGGCTCACCTTCTCTCTGTCGATATCCTCCGGGAGTATGAGGTTATTGGCGTCCGGGAACTCGGGAAGTAGTGTTCCTGTCTTGGAACTGAGAGAGTACTTCCGGTTTGAGCCCTACAATGGAATATGATAAGTATATACATACATTGTTAGAGGATGTGTTTCTATGTATTTTTATTGTTTCGATTTGTGACTACTTAGAGGATTGAAGCACACTCCTCATCGTAGGATAGCAACTCAGTCGGTTTGAATAAAATATGTTGTAATTAACAATAATTTATCAATTCACGTGCTTAAGGTGCTTTTGAATTACATGACCCGTGAAGACCCGAGTAGAGAATAGGTCTTCAGTAACCATGCTTGCCGTAACAGGCGACTAACGGCATCGGGTGGTTAGGCTCGCTGACTTGGTTGATGCATGTATCCCAATTGTACGATCGATGCTAATGATGTCAATCACTGGATTGTCTGGTCCAGTCTCGATTATTTACGACCGCCTCCGTGGTCTAGTGGTAGAGCGTCCGCCCGGAGAGCGGAAGGTCCGGGGTTTGATCCCCGGCCGCGTCATACCAAAAGACGTTAGAAGATGGTACTTGTTGTTACCCTGTCTGGCGCTCGGCATTAAGGGGCTAAAACAAAGCACTTGGGCTCGGAGTCAGTATACTGTGTCTGAGTGGGATATTCATGTTAAACTGCGGTATGGTATCTCAGTGAGCTAGCACTATAAATAGGCATCAGTCCGGACTGGTACAAGCAGCCACACGAACACACACACGTACATGCATGTCGCTATATAAGTGCAATAATGTTGGACGCGACGTTAGACCCCATTTCACCTCACCTTGATTATTCACAATTTGTCGTCATATAGCTGGAATATTGCTGAGTGCGGCGTTAAACAACAAACAACCTTTGTGAAAAACGGCATAGTCGCTAGCCTAAGATGACGCCATATGTGACATCTGCTTCAGTGCATAGTGGGAACAAAGCACTAGATCTTAAATCACTTAATCATTCCATAAAGGTATTTGCATTGACCTTTGTAGACATTTAGAAGGCACGTAGAGACGAGTCGTCTAAGGTGTCGCAATAAAATGTGCAGTTACGTCCCGTGGCCACGCCAGGATCCTTTGATCGTGGGTTCGAATCCCAGATTAGATCAGATTATGATCCTTGGTTTGTCAGCACCATACCCGTACAACCGGTGTCGCTGTGGGTTGTCCGCGACACTAAGCCAATCGTAATATAAATGAAATATTGTGAGTGAGTGAGTGAGGTTTTACGCCGCTTTTAGCAATATTCCAGCAATATCACGGCGGGGGACACCAGAAATGGCCTTAACACTTTGTACCCATGTCGGGAATCGAACCCGGGTCTTCGGCGTGACGAGCAAACGCTTTAACCACTAGGCTACCCGACCACCCCTACTGTTGAAGACAATTCACTGTGTGTATGTGGTGTATGTGGTGTATGTTGACTACGGGATATCATAGTGATGCGAAGTATTCCACTATTACCACCATATCTGTTATTGGCGTATTCCTTCGCCAACTGCGATGTGAATGTTATCTGTACTGTATTGATTACCAGGACTGCAATACTTCTGACTTAGCATTGGCATAGTAAATATACCTATTCACTTTGACGTTGTACAAAATATAATAACGCACAGGTCAACCTCCTCCCCCCTCCCCCCAAAACCCAAACCCCACACACCTCAAACACACACATACTGAGAGGATTTTGATATTTGGGACCCCTCCCCGTTAAAAATGCTGGATCCGCCCTTGTGACGAAAAGTAATCGATAAACAACGAACATCAGTAACACGAGGGCAACAATACTTTTGCATACAAAAGGAATTGCATTGTGTTATAATACAAAATTGGAATAACAATAAAAAGAAAGAAATTCATGTTTAAAATTCATTGGTCAACACCATAAAACCGTGTGTGAGATGGTGGGACATCGGTTCAAGGAAGCATAAATCATGTGCGTCATATTACCATTTGTATACGCAAACAATCTTGTTTGTGTTGTTATTACAGTTTGAACTAATAATAATTATAATAATAATAATAATAAAATAATAATAATAATTATTATTATTATTATTATTATTATTATTATTATTATCAAAAAAATAATAACAATTATAATACATGGCCCTTACATTTTGATTTGTTTCTGAGCATTGCTAAAAGGCGACTTATTTAACTCAAATTCAGTTTTGCACCGGAATCCGACTTTTTGAATCGCGAGACCTAGGAGGCGTGGCCAATATGGTCACGTGGTATAGGAATCTACAATACCAACTCCCGACCAAGCGAGTTTTGAACAAGTCATGAGAAACATACATATTTTTTAACTGTAGATGATAGACAAGATGTGTACACAACGACGATCAAACAACTCATCACATTTTCAATAATTGTCGCTTGCTTAATCTGTGTTTATTTCCAAGTCATCCCTTATAGATAAACTCGCGTTTGTTTTCTGATAGCCGCTAAACGTCCTCACACATTTGTTTCCTAAACGGCTAATACCACAATAGAGATTTCACGGTCGGGGCAGAGAATATTTTCCCAACGGATATCTCCAGGCTGTGCGTGACCGTAGACAATACTAAAGGTAAACAAAATGGCGGAGCGAGGTCGCGGTTACCCTGAAAGAAGGAACGCACATGCTAATATCGCTGTTTGGTAACCTGGCAACCATCCTTACCCCAGCACCGGCCCTTCACGAGGATGGGGGGTCGGGCAGACGAAAGTAGAGGGCACCAGTAATATGTATGGGGTCGGTTCTCTGTTTCATCTACTTTGTAACTTGTTCAAGGAAATAGTTTTCTATATTAGATTTTTTCCCCCTTTCGTCATCGATAACGAATGATTTGCACACTAGGCGAAAACGTATGCTTTTAAGTGTAAAAGTATAGATATATTTGTCTGAATATTTTTACATCCTGCCTTTATCCGGTTATAAAACTGATACACTGTTATCAAACTGTTACTAGTAAAACATACAAATAATGTCATCTTTGAAAAAAGAACACATTAACATTGCGAAAGAAATATATATATCAAATATTCATGTAGTTCTTTCCCAACTAATAATTAAATAAAAGAAAATTCCATTGTGAATTTGTATCGCTTATTTTTCATTTTATAATTGCTCAAATGTGCTGAGACCGTGATAGAGATACGTTATTACCCCAGTCAATGGATCGGCGAGCACTCGATTTTCATTCTCATCTCCCTGGGGAGTATACAACCCAAGCTGAGAATGATAGTTTTAACGTTTACCTGGAGTTGGCCATTTGGTATTTTGGATAGGAGGGGTCGTGCCTGCGAATTAAAAAAAATGCAACCTGTTCCCGAAAATGCTTGAAAAGACTGATCCCACCTCTGCTGGATGTTGTGAAAGATATTGTTTTGTGGGGCCCTATCATTATTATTGGTCCAACCGTTCAGAGAAAAGCCCCCTCCTCCACTCCCCTACCCCCCCCCCCCCCCCCCCACACACACACACACAAAAAAAATATATATTAAACGGTCGGTGGTCCCTAATATAAAGTCTAGCCATCCATATTTCATTGCAGCAATTAACATCCGCAATGTCTCGACATAAGACATATTAAGTACTATCAAGTAAATCCTTCGTAAACACATTAATTATCACAACAACTTTTCCAACCGAACGTCTGAAACAAAAAGCCTCATTATCCTATACAAATATTAAAACAGTCGTGTCGCAGAGAGCCTTTATCAGAACTACCAACCCGCGGACCCATGCTACGGTGGGTCTAAGTGGGTCGTGAGATCCAGCGTAAAACCAACACCCACAATCAATTGTTTCTCGGGAGGCCAAACTATGCCAGCCCCGGTAATGTTTGACGTGCTCTGCGCGTCCCACAAGGAGATGTTCTTGGTCCTCATTTATTACAACTATCGACGCATGTGTCACTTGGGCCGAGCCTAATACAGACACGCAGGAATGAAGGACAAGTTTTATCTCCCGGATTTCGGTCTTAATTCCATGCATTAGATGTAACCGATAAGGGCTTTTAAAAAGGTCCCCTGTGCCTACCTCTGTCTTAATCTTGATCCCCGAGAATCTGCGAAAGAAAGAAAATTGAAATTATAATCTGGGATTTCTTGATGGAATAATGGGCGTGGGTGTTCATAGCTCGTATATGAAATATAATTGAGGTTATCTATATGAATGTGTAAACTATCTTAACTTAATCGTGAGAATTGTTATTCGAAAGGTTCGTCGATAACAAAGGAACTTGAGATTCACTTTCACATTGCTTCGTCGGCGACAGGGTAGGAATTCAGCATAGCTTTCTTTTATTTATCACAAGTACGTAGAATCCAAATTAGGTGACTTTATAAAAAGGAGGATTTGGCTTGATCCATGTTAAAAAAGACGTGACATGGTACTTTTAACACAACAATAGTTATGAAATCTTCATGCAAATTTAACAAAAAATGTGAGGCGAGGGGCGTTATAATAATAATAATAATAATGATAATAATAATAATAATGATAATAATAATAATAATAATAATAATAATAAAACAACTAATAATGATAATTTACTTGAAATTCGCCTCAAGAATAAAATAATTTGAATGAACGGTGTAAGATTTTAAATATGGTTGATTCCCATGACCCGAAGAAAAGTTATAATATGTTGTATCTTTAAGCTTCTAATGGCAAATCTAATTGGGTGTCTAAAACTAAGCGCCTCTTGTATAATATTGGATTGACTATGTTTGGGAAAAACAGAAAATAATAATAATAATAATAATAATAATAATAATAATAATAATAATAATAATGTACGGATTAAAGTAAAAAATGCAGCAAAAAGGGTTTGGTGATCCTGGCACATACTTTTATTATTTATGTACATCAATGAACGTTTTGGAAGGATTAGGTCTACAGTGTTAAAAAACCTCAAAGCGATTTTCTTTGTACATACTTTTGGTTAATAAAATGTTGTGAACACAAAAAAATCATTCAAAACTTTGAAATGAACCAAATTCAGCTGTGAGAAAGTTGCATCATGATATATTTGATTTCTTTAAATTTTATATAAAATTATTTCATTTCCAGTTCATAAGATAATAGACCAAATCAAGTTAACAGCACATACAGTATCAATACAGACAGTCATTATTTTTGTTTTTGTATTATATATATGTAGACAAATTCTTAAACTGTTTTCGGTTACAAATATATACAATGTTGACAGAAAAAAATGGTTTTTGTAGTCAAATAGAAGACCACTACACACTAGATACACATACCATGATAAAACATGAACAAGGTTTGATAACTACATTTTCGGATGTAAAGACATTCTTTATAATGTGAATCTATATAAGGTTGAATTAATTATTTTAGTGTTATCAATGGTTATTAAGTAGAGCCCTGATTCAGTGAAGGTCTGTACGAATGGTGTAGATGTTGCTTTATCTTTTAAAATTAGACATTCATAGCTTTTATCTAATATCTTAATTTGTTTCTCTGCAGTTAGTCTTTCCATTTATGGCACACGTATTCTATCTAAAATTAACTGAAATTTGGCTGAATTCAAAGTTGTATTTGTGACAATGGATACAGAAATAAAATTGTGAATTAAAAAATATCAAAGCCAAAAACAATAAACTCAGTCAATACATGTTGCATGATATGCAGACGTGATAGGTTGTTGACAAGACGTATAAACTATAATATCTTAATGTAGGCATGTATTCGTATGTATATTTACCTCGTAAGTCCTTTTCCAGAATACACAGAATGGTAGTATATTGATGTCTCCTTGATTCCGATACCGTAATAATGATATCTGCGGCAAAAACAAACAAACAACATTAGTGAGTGAGTGAGTGGGTAAAAGTTTAACGTCACATCGGCAATATTTCAGCCATATCATGACGAGAAACAAACATTAGATAAAATAGTGCAGACAAATTACCATCACACCAATCATGTAATGAATTTGCCAGAACTGTCATCACGGGCCCCAGAACCAATGTGAGGGGGAGAACAAGGATTGTGTTTCAAGGTCATTGGGGAGGGAGGTGGGGATGTTGTATGTGTTTACCTCATTGGGATGGGGGCGGGGGCGGGGGCGGGGGCGGGGGCGGGGTGGGGGGGGGGGCGGGGGGGGTGGGGTGGTGGGGGGGGGGGGGGGTGGGGGTGGGGGGGGGGGGGGTGGGGGGTGGGGGGGGGGGGGTGGGGGGGGGGGGAGCTGGGGACGCTAGCCATGACACGCGTATTTCTTTTCTGTATACGTTCAGGGTGTCATTGGTTGAGTTTCTTTAAGTTAACATTGAAATCCCATCTATTACAGGATAAAGCTTCTGATCCTAACCAATGATATGGCACCACTTTTCTTGGAAATCAATAGGAGTATTGGAGTGTGCTCTATACCACCGGTCTGGTACCCTCATGTTCACGCCTTGGATCCTCAAACATTATAGAAGAAGAGTGAGTGAATGTGGTTTTACGCTGCTTTTAGCACTATTGCAGCAATATCACGGCGGGGCACACCAGAGAGAAGAAGAAAAATGAAAAAAAGAAGAGTTTATTCAATAACAATATTCATTACAGAGTTTAAAATATCCATCAGCATCCAGCATCCAGACATTCTAGCTTATAAGACTTCATAAAATTCTCTGGTCTCGAAACTAGCTGGATCCAGGAAAACCCATCACGTCCAGTACTGAATTACAGTTAATCAATTAACCAACTTCAGCCATAACGTGACACACGTGTATAGTAATACTAAAGTAAACAAATGGCAATTATAACAAACATTCCGTCTCCTACCCCTTCTCTCTTCCCCAAAGCCATGTCATTCCTTCCTAACTGAACATTACCCCGTGTGCGAAGAAGCATGGAGGTAAAAGAGCTCCCTGGCTTGTCTGCCATGAAAGGCGAGATGTTATTTCTCCTTCAGACTGCACGGCCGGGTGTTGACTTATAACATACAACTGGTCAGAGATACCAAGTTTAGGGTATGATTGCTTGTAATTGTTGTATCTAGTGGTGCAAAATTCTTCTTACCGGGTGCCGGGTCTTTCATTTTAACATTCGATACCTGGAGGAAGGCATGGTTGAGGACGATCAGACATGAGGGAAATTAGGCTCCCGGGGAGCCGTATTATTTTACCATGACTGATGAATGTGTGTCACAACGATATCTTCTTGTAACTATATTTCGTGCTTATTGCGGTATAGGGGGTTGTGGGGTAGCCTTGTGTTAAAAACATGTGCGTCGTCCTGGGTTCGATTTCCAACATGGGTAGAATGTGCGAAGCTATTTCTGATGTCCCCGCCTTGACATGATGGAGTATTGCTAAACGCGGAGTAAAAACTATACTCACACACTTAGTGTAATAGGGGGTTAATAGTTGATATGATAAACGTGCTTTTTGGACGTCGTGGAAGATCAATATTATTTATAAAAGGGAAAGCGATGCGTTTTTTGTTGTTACAGGAATAACCTAACCGAATTTTATTTATTCTTTAGTCAACAATATGTTTAACTATATGTAATTCATTCATCCCTATTTCGACTTGTAGCATATGTACCGTGTGTGTTCAAGGCGAAAACTTGAGGAGCCTTTGCATGTGTTTGTGACGGGTGCCTCCACTGGGACAGGATGCGTTCACCTTTTTTAGCGAACACCTGGTATCATCACTATTTGATAGTGATTCATATATGGTCGGATTCGTACAAGAGACTATGCTTTTAACAGAGATATCTTAAGATTATCGAATTTTGTTGTTGATTTTATTTAGAAGAGAAAAAGAGCGGTTCGTTGAATACCAATAACCTTGCAACAGTGTACACCCATTAGCAATAAACTTACTTTGATTGCCCACGTGTACCAAGTCTTCGGGTTGTGAGTTTCGGAAACTTTTGACGTATAATCTGAAAAGCGAAAGACAATACACTATACTTTGATAAAGACATAAGCCATGTATTAAACAACACGGTTGTGTCGCAGGGGTATCATAACGACAGAAACTCTGCACATGAAAACACATTGATTTTGGAAGACAGGAAACACATTATCAATAGAAATACAGCATCATTTTCATAAAGGGATTATAATATGACCATCGCGAATCAAAGGAATATTTAATTCAGTGAATTTGGAATATATCATTTTCTGTTCATCATTAATTCTGGAATGTGAAATTCGCCAACAATTGACGACGCTTATAATTGCTCGATTAAAATGGAGTATATCTATGCATGGGCAGATACAGCTTTTTAAAATGGGGATGCACAATTAAGATCTATTTATTGTCTTTGGTGGTAATTTATACAGAAATAAAGATCCCCCCCCCCCCCCCCCCCCACACACACACACACACAAACACACACACACACTCTGTATCCGCCCATGCTATGTGTAAAAGGACACCTTACCTCCCGAATGTTGCAGCACCTGCTGGGGGTAAACTTCATCTTCTTGCAGAAGTCGAGGTAGTGGGTGTACAGCACACAGCGAGGCAAACACACGCCCTCTGCGCGCTCGTAGTTCTCCGACAGGCCTGGGTGTACCAAAAAAAACAGCATTGAAAACCACGTAAACTGGAGACTTAGACCACTTAAAGGATCTTAATATGACTTAAATGTATACTGTGATCAATTTAAATGTATACCGGTAAAGGACTGTTCATCAGTGGTCAGGTTCGGCACCCATTATTATTTATAGATTAAAATAAACAAATGCAGCAAAGAGGGTTTGTGTGATCCTGGCACAGTTCAACAGTTCGTCAGCTCAGGGCCCTTGCGGCAAGCGAATGGAAATTTTGATAATCATTATTCCTTGCTGTAGATACAACTCAACTGCGCGAACATTCACTTTAGAAAACCTTAAATAAGAGCTTCAGACCGTACAACGCCCGCAAACAATGTACACGTTGTTCCCCATGAACACAATTCTCCTCTTATTAACATCATTCCCGTGTATTTTGAATTTACGCATGCTTGTACATGCAAGTACAGATATGTCTTTATCATTGTGTACAGATCAAAATAATAAATGCAGCAAAGAGGGTTTGGGTGATCCTGGCACAGTCTGGCTGGTTAGGCTCATCATCAGCTCAGGGCCCTTTCCCCCTCTACACGCAGCCCAGACAGCGAATGGAACTTCTCCCAGGAAGCGCTGCCTAGTCAAACCCACCCAGAACTTTTCGGAGAATGTGAAGACTCCCCAACACTGCAGCCTTCTGCATTACCCGGATTGTCAGAAGGGCTGTATTCCTGGTAGCAAACCCGGGTACTCTCCCAATGTCAGTCAAAAGATTGGGAGGTACCAAACCTAAGGCACCGAGAACAATTGGGAGTCGGACAACTTGGTACTTGGAATGCAAGCGTAACATTTCGAAAGCGAGGTCCGCATATTTGCCATGTTTTTCCTGAATCTTGTCAATCACATTAGTGTCAAAAGGGACAAAAATTCAATAATATAAATGATCTCATTGGATATATAAAAAAGGACAAGAACAGGTTTGTTGGCCTGGATACGTCTGAGGCTGTATACGGACCTATTCCAAAGAAGTTTGTATTTATTATCATTATTATTTACAGATTAAAATAAAAAAATGCAGCAAAGAGGGTTTGGGTGATCCTGCCACAGTCAGGATGGTCAGGCTCATCATCATCAATAATATAAATGATTTCATTGGATTTATCAAAAAGGACAAGATCAGGTTTGTTGGCCTGGATATGTCTGAGGCTGTATACGGGCCTATTCCAAAGAAAACCACAAGCATGGCGAAGACGGTAATAAAATGATCGAGCCATCCCATCATATCGCTTAAGGTACTGTGTCGCTGCCAAAGCTGGGCATCCACTCACAATGTGTTGGACAGTTACTACTACTACTGCTACTACTACTACTACTACTACTACTACTACTACTACTACTACTACTACTACTACTACTACTACCTGGACCGTCACATCGAAAGTCAACACTGTTTTCATTCCTGCTTCAGCTTCAAGATGTCATCCAAGGATGTACAACATCTAATCAAATCACATCAAGGAAACGTCAACATTAGTTTGCACAAAAGGCGGTGGGGTAGCCCTGTGGCTACAGCGTCCGCGTGTCTAACCGAAGGTTCAGTTTCGATTCCCCACAGGGTGAATGTGTAAAGTGCAATTCTCGTATCCATCATCTCGATATTGCTGGAATATTGCTAAAAGCGGCGTAAAACCACACCCACTCGCTCAGTTTGCACAATCAATAATGAACTCGCTGAACCGTTGCACAAAGCGACTTTAGTGACGCTAGCAAATCTATGTTAAAGTATGTGCAAGTTAAGGTGGTCGTAGAGGTGATTATTTTATATTATTAATTTTCATAGTTATTTCCAATTTATAACTGCTCAAATGCGCTTCGACCATGATAACTAGGGTTCGGGTTAGGGTTAAGATCACTTTGTGGAACAGTTCTGAGCATTATTGTCAATCGATCTGGACAGTGGACTGATTGGAAAACCTTGTTGGCCAGTTGAACAGCAAGGAACACAAAGTGGTTTAATTCTCCCTCGGTGTAGAGCTATCCTGCCGGTTCTGGGGACTAAAATATCCGTCTTACAGTTGAGCGCAAACATAGAACACGCCGCGATGGCCGATAACATTGGATGAACAGGAAAATCGAAATCGCGAACATAAACTAGGTGTGTGCACATCTGGAGATAGGCGATACCCTTGTATGTGTGCACACAATGTGCTACACTCTAGCAGTATCAAAAGCCGTATTACCTCTATATATATATGCCAATTGTATTATATGTATCTTTTCAATTGTTCAAAATGTAGAATAATTATTGATACCTATTATACGCCACGCTTTGTTCCTATACTTTTTATTTAACAAATGAATGTTTTTTTTGTGCATCATGGTTATCATGCCTCATTTACATATTTTCCACATAATTTGATAGAAACATATTGAACTAAACCCATACAAACCTATCTATTGTAGCAACAGAGAAGGCCAATTTGTGTGTATTTATATACGCGAGTGGATGAATATGATTTCACGCAGTATTCCAGAAATGTCATGAAATATCCAAAATAGGCTTTATGTTTTCGGATTTTTTTCAAATTAAATCAGTGAGCAAAATCATCCAGCAAAATTGTCGGTCTCTTATATTTGCTGTTTTAGATACATGAATTAAATAATACTTTATTTCATAAAATTAAGCTGTATCTGATTTTGAACTGAACATAAATATTCAAGAAGATTATATCGATTCACGTTACTTCCTATGTAGGCTAGAATCTGATAGCTGTTTGTTTTGCAATGTACATGTGTCAATCAGCTGTCAGATGTATGATTGGGAGTTAATTTATCAAAATAATAACTTTCAGAATCCACGGGGAAATTGTCTTTCGAGATTTGTAATCGATGCTAATTTCATTATAAACTGCTGAGCAAAAAGAAAGTGTTAACTTGAAAACTGTATTTGACCAAAACATTTCAAACGTTTTCAAAACGTTACTAGGCTGAAAACAGTTGCCGCGGAAACACAGCAGACTTAAGGTCCAAAATCACAGCTGTGGTACTCCTATCAAACACAACATCGAACCACCATTCCTGTTGTTTGGCCCGACAGTGTACATCGTCCTTTAACAAATTTTGTTTTATTAAGATATATGTTCCTGAAAATCTTAATAGACATACGTGCAAATGAATAAATGATCCTGACAGCACTATTACATTGGCTTTAATATGCAGATGCGAGTTTAATGCTTAATCTAAGAGTTTTGACTAGGCGCGCATATTAAAATTAAAATTATTTTCATTTATTCAACAACAGCTTTTTGTTTGAATATCTGCGACAAAGCATTTAAGATATAATTATTACAAAGATTCCAAGTTGAATTGATGAGTGAGGATTCGTGAATATCAGTTTGTTTTTAAATTTTCCCAGTTTTCAGTGACATATATGCAAATATAAAAACTCCTAAGGTTTGCAGTTGTTTGTAATACACTTGTGTGGTGTAATTATCATATCACGCTATTCAAGGGTTATTATCACTGTGTGCAAAAAAAGACACAATTTTTTGCGATCATTCTTAAAATGGTTACGAATTCTTGTAATTCTATGGTTACTTATGGAGTTAACATCGTCCTAGGATGAAGATGTCTTTGATGGACCGGCCCCAGAATCACGACACTCTGTATGTTGTTTTATGAACAAAATGTGAAGTTTGTTCTTTAATTCTGCTTAAATGTTTATCTAAAAAGTATCAAATTATATAAACACATTTTTTTCAATTGATGCATCAGGTCTATAAAACTTAAAGTTGATATCCCCTTTAATTGATACAAAATATCAAAATACATATAGGACGGCGAATTTTAACTAAGAGTAGAAGAAAGTACATCTTCCTTTAGGCAATTTCTGATAACAATTTGAGTTTAATTGAAATATATGTTCCTGATGATCTTAATATATATACGTGTGTATGGATAAATTATCTTGGCAACATTATTACATTGGCTGAAATATGCAGATGTGGCTTTAATGCTTAATCAAAGAGTTTTGACTAGGCGCGCATATTAAAATTAAAATTGATCTCAGTTGTTCAACAGCAGCTTTTCATTTAAATATCCGGGACAATCCGTTTAAGATATAATTCTCCGTGTCACTTTTTGGTAATTTAGGAAGGCTGCTCCAAAAGTTTACAAAGGAAAAAATTAGCGTCATCAGCATTCACTCGGTGATTAGAATTTGGCGCATTGTAAATACATGTTTTATTATCAAAATACATTCTAAATACAGTCACGATGATATGACGAAATGATTGGTCGAATACCAGATTGTCTTTATATTGTCATATTTAGTTTCAATCCAACATATTTAATGTAAAAAAAAGAAGAATTTTATGAAAGGGATCCATTTCCGAGATTCTCTCCTTAGTACGGAGTGTAGGGTAGCCTAGTAGTTAGAGCGTTCGCTCGTCACGCCGAAAACCCGCGTTTGATTCCCGACATGGGTACAATGTGTGAAGCCCGTTTGTGGTGTCCCCCGCCGTGATATTGTTGGAATATTGCTAAAAGCGGCGTAAAACCATACTCACTTACTCACTTTAGTATAAAATTGTATTGGTATTGACATCTAGGAAATTAACACGTTTGGTTTTATGATGTCAATACCAAATATATGAATATACAATGCACAGTGGAAAGTATATGTAACATTGGATAGATATAGTGATAATTTAAATAACCGTATGACTTTTATAGGTTACTTTTTGTATTTATTATCTGTTGATAAAAAGATACATGTTCAAATGTATGATTACAATGTACGCTATGATTATTGGAATCGTTTTGTGGCTATATTCGACATATTTAGTGTGGCTGTGTATTCAAGGCTCCAGACAATCTAAGCCTTTGAGTATTTACTCACAAAATATCATTAACATTGGCTATTGTTACTTTAGTTTTCGTTGTGAATTCAATGTGTGTGTGCTCCAGTGGCTCCGGGCTATTGTGTATTTTTAAACCAGTGAGTAGACATTTTGTTTAATTGCTGCTTAAAATGCTGTTTAAGGTTATTTTTAATGTGTGTGCAGCCCCAGCGTGTAACGTGTCTCATGTGGTGGTGGTGGTGGAATGGGGTTTAACGTCGCGTCCAAGATTATTGCACTTATATAGCGACATGCATGCACGTGTGTGTGTTTGTGTGGCTGCTTGTACTAGTCCGGACTGATGCCGATTTATAGTGCTAGCCCACTGAGATACCATGCCGCAGTTTAACATGAATACCCCACTCAGACACAGTATACTGACTCCGAGCCGACCAGTCCTTGTTTTAGCCGAGCGCCAGAGAGGGGAACAACAAGTACCATCTTTTAACGTCTTTTGGTATGACGCGGCCGGGGATCGAACCCCGGACCTTCCGCTCTCCGGGCGTACGCTCTACCTCTAGACCACGGAGGCGGTCTGTCTCATGTACTCACAACACCGATATACAAGTTTAATTGACAACAGGTGAGACGTAGCGCTTTGCTGCGTTTATTCTTTTGACTTGGGTCATTACGCAGTGTTGTTATAATATTGGATTTATTAAAAACATTCTCGAGCAACTAGCTGGGGATTTATTGTGCCTACTTTACGCAGGTATTTAACGATGCAGCTGGTCCGGAGCTCTGATTTAAGGTTTTCAAAAGTGAATGTTTACGTAGCTGAGTTGTAGGTACAGCAAGGAATAATAATAATCATCATTTCCATTCGCTGTCTGGGCTGCGTGTAAGGGGGGGGGGGGGGGGGACAAGGGCTCTGAGACGAAGCAAGAAAATCAGGGTATTGAAACCCTCACACTAAGAACATGTCAGACAATAGATCCTACTACTACTACTACTACTACTACTACTACTTCTACTACTACTACTACTACTACTACTACTACTACTACTACTACTACTACTATTACTATTACTATTACTACTACTACTACTACTACTACAACTACTACTACTACTACTACTACTACTACTAATACAAATACTACTAATTACGAAAAGTTCTGGGTGGGTTTGACTAGGCCGCGATTCCTGGGAGAAGTTCCATTCACTGTCTGGGCTGCGTGTAGAGGGGGCAAGGGCCCTGAGCTGATGATGAGCCAAACTAGCCTGACTGTGCCAGGATCACCCAAACCCTCTTTGCTGCATTTTATATTTTAATCTGTACACAATAATAAAGAAATATCTGTACTTGCATGAACAAGCATGCGTTAATTCAAAATACACGGGAATGATGTTAATAAGAGGAGAATTGTGTTCATGGGGAACAGCAGTGTACATTGTTAGCATGCGTTGTACAGGGTGCGTTAGGGGGGCCTAGTTGTTACATCGTACGCTCGCCACTGGGGTCGGTTACAATTCATCGCATGGTTAAAGCATGTGAAGACTATTTCGCTGTGATATTACTGGACTATTGCTAAAAGAGGCGTATACTCACTCACTCACTCACGGAGATGAGTTACATTCTTAGTCCTATATGTACATAGACACACAGACACAGACACACAGACACAGACACAGACACAGACACAGACACACACACACACACACACAGACACACACACACACACACACACACACACACACACACACACGGCGCTGGGGTATCCTAGTGGTTTTCGCTCGCCACGCCGAACACCTGGGTTCGATTCCCCTCATGGGTAAAATCTGTTGTGCCCATTACTGGTACCCCACGTCGTGATATTGCTGGAATATTGCTACCATACTAACTCACTCACTCACAAACACACAAACACACAAACACACACACACTCACAAACACAAACACACAAACATACACACAAGCACACAAACACACAAACACCCACATCACCCCTGGGGGTAGCGACCACAAGGGTGCACCTGACACGCACCCTGCTCAAAGACACCTGTGACAGGCATGTTTGTCTGAAAGCCTGCTGACAGAGATAGAGGGGGTGAGAATACCTCACCGTGTACACCCCCGGGGACACACGTCACACATGATGAAGGGGACGTTATCAGGAGAGAGACTTGTTGTTGCAACCCAAAGACATCTCTCTGCAGTACTCGGATTAAAAGGGAGCAAGTTTACAAACTTGGGAAATATGAATTGGTGTGTTTAAAACTTGAAGATTACTCGCGTCAAAAGTCGATAACACTGCCGCTGCCATGCCCCCCTGAACGTATAGACCCATGCAGCTGCAGCCCTTGATGATGGTTTAACCTAGAAATCATTGCTTGGTTAAAAAAGCGATTCCACTAGTAAAATAATATAACTTCATTAACTCCCAATATAACGAAATCCACAATCAATTCGACACACACATCACAATTAATTTGACTAACCCGAAATGAGATGTTCAGGCACATCTAAAATAATTTGATATACAGTAAACTACGGTTATAACGAACACGCTTATAACGAATTTTTTTTTTGTACGGGCAATTATTTAGTATATCCAAATTCGTTTCGAACAGTCCACTCTGGTTGATATCTCCGAAAATTGCCGTTCAAAAAACCCAGTCTATTCGATATATCCGAAATTAAGTTTTCAGATCAAATATCGCATCATCATTAGTTCTTCCCGAATATTCTCTTCTCGTGAATATCCTAGCCGTTTGATCTATCCAAAATTCGAGCACCACCCAGCCAATTATATATACCCTACTGTTCAGGGGTATATACTCCGGGCTATAATATCACGGGCACCAAAAATGGGCTTCACACATTGTACCCATGTCAGGAATCGAACCCTGGTCTTCGGGGTGACGAGCGAACGCTTTAACCACCAAGCTACCCGACCGTCCCTGCTGTTCAGGAGGACCACAATCAATTCGATCAATCCGAAAATCGCAATTTTTAAAAAATAATGGGCCCCCTATCTAATTGACTTTTTACAGTAACCTTTCAACTTATTAGTCCACAAATATATCATATTCTTGTAAACTATGGGCGTTAAATTGCATCGTAGTTTAAGATCAATTGAAATTTCAAATCAAATTATTGCTTGTTAAAAGCCTTGAGAACAACATCCGTAACAATTGGCCCTTTGTAATATAACTTGCAAGAGTCATATACGTTGAAAAGAACCTCGCCAATTGCCATGGTCGGGCGGTGGGGTAGTGGTTAAAGCGATCGCCTGAGGATCGGGTTCAATCCTCACATTCGTATAATGTTTGAAACCCGTTTCTGGTTCCCCCGATCATATTGCTGGACAATTACTAAAGCGTTAAGCCATACCTACTCACACATTTACGCAATGTTTGTTCACAGCAACATCCAAAAATCGTAAAACCCATATTTAAACTTATTTGAAACGTTAGATAATGTTATATTGTAGCAGGCAGGCATCATAGCGATGGATGGAGCTTCTAAAAATAGTCCCTACTAGGTAACCTCATTTGCATATTTATCGGATCGTGATCGGATTAGTTATCGCATTGATAACACTATCATTACATGACACAAAGAGTTATCAGGAACTGTCCAAGGAAGCAACAACTGACCATTTGAGTGTAGCCGCCACTTGGGACTGTTTCTGGGACTGGTCAGCGTGTCGGTCAGTCGGACGTTCGCCCAGGTCATCTTCCTCCTCCGGCCATTCTGAGGAGAGAAAAAACTACATTCTATAAAACAATAGTAGAAACGCATTATCAAACATTCTGTATGTTTTCGCCGCATGTGAGGCCTGTTAAAATAGTATAGTTGTTTATCGTGATTAAAAACTGACTGTTTAGTCAATTTTAAACTCAACGTTCATTGACTTTGATACTGAATTGTGAATCATTCAACGCTAGAGGAACTTATATGGCAATGCTAACCGCCTTGCGTGAGAGGCACTGCATACTCGAGAGTATATATTATATTGAATACCTAATAAAAGGAATATCAAGGGCAGATGCAGCATCACTGATTTTCAGTGATCCGTTCATAAAAAGTTTCATTACTATTTTGCTTTTTACTCCGAATGGAATCTGTTGACGTTTGGAATTCCACGGTAGTCACGATGCCCGTCTAATTGCACTGGTCACATAATTCACTCTATGGTCACCGAGAAGACAAGGGCAGATTCAGGATTTTTAAAAGGGAGGGGTCCAAGATATCAAAATCCTCTCTCATTCATAGGGGCCTCCCACAACATAGCGCATTTGAGTCTTTGATTTGGTTAGATTGTTTGTTGTTTAACGCCGCACTCAGCAATATTCCAGCAATATGACGGCGGTCTGTAAATAATCGAGTCTGGACCAGACAATCCAGTGATTGATATCATGAGCATCGATCCACGCAATTGGGATCACCCGATCCCGTTGAGTCTTTGAAAGGCAATTAGAAGAGATATACATAGAGGATTCATCACGAGTGTTTTTTAATATGGGAAATATCAACCGAGTCTTAGTTAATCGGTATTTGCCGAGCCTTTGGCGAGGCAAATACTGATTAACGGGACGAGGTTGATATTTCCCATATTAAAAAACACGAGTGATGAATTCTATTTATCATTTTCACATTTTTGCTTCCCAATTAAGGAATAATTGCATTAAAAATTAACATCAGCAACTTGTCGAAATCTTACGTATAGATCGTGCGTAGTGATACATGTTTTCCATAGCCGTGTAAACCAAAATAAACTACCTCTTAACTCCTTTATGACATATTCCTTCGCTGAGAAAAAAAGTTCCTCGGATTATTTTAAACAAAATACTTAAACAGAATAATTTTGCAGAATAATTGAAATAATGTCTCCAACATCAAAGGTATCCATGTTGTTTGTAAACACCTACTCACGTGAATCGGCGAAAAAAGTCCCACTTCCGGTTATCTAATTTGCATATCTAATTTGCATACTTATGTCATTGGGGTATGACATACATGTTTTTATGTCATAAGCTTATGTCATGGATAAATGCTTAAGTTAAATGATAAATAAGGAGAATAATTTATGGATGTCAACTTCTTTATTATGAGGAACACAACGTTTCGGAGTATATGCTTACTCCTTCGTCTGAAGAATGAATAAGCATGTATATATTTTTTATACTCCGAAACGTTGTGTTCCTCATAATAAAGAAGTTGACATCCATAAATTATCTTCCTTATAGTACATTGGTTTTCAAAAAGGTGTGTGTGTCCCCCTGAACCTATCCTCTGGATCCGCCAAGGCCATATCGGGTTACTAGTCACCAAATACATCCATACAAAAATCTTCCCTACAATATATGTTCATGGTTAATACTTTATTGTTGTTTAATGAGTCCGTCCCATCCGTAATTACATGGGGCCGCTTTACGGTGTAGTCGTTATTTATAACCCATCAAGCCACGTCCTGGCTCCAGCATGAAGAAAGTCGACCAGCGCCTTGATAACATCGCACACAAATTAATGTTTCTCGCTTGATAGCACCCAGATTCACTGGCAACATCCCCGTGCAACATGTGCCTTGCCTTGCGGTTTCTATCGTCGCTTCAATATCAGGCAATTGTAGTTGATGCGCAGAGTAGCACGGACCTTTATTGTGTTTTAGCTCGCGTATGGCGGCGTTTGAAAACAGCATACAGTAAACTACGGTTATAACGAACTCAAAGGGACCACTATATTTAGTTCGTTATAACCGTAGTTCGTTATAAGCATATTTACAACACATATACAGCAAATGGACAGGACCAAAAAACAGTTCGGTATATCCGTCAGTTCGTTATGAGCGTGTTCGTTATAAACGTAGTTTACTGTAATTGAATAAGTTATAGCGTTTAGAAGTATTGAGGTATAAACAGAGGACTTACAGGATTTCATTATAATTGATCAGAAAACACCGCCTTTTCTCTATTAAACATGTTACTAAATTTTTATATGTTTGGCCTGTTGCGATACTGAATATGTTTGTATGGTTTTGTTTAACGCTGCACTCAGCAATATTCCAGCTGTATGACGGCGGTCTGTAAATAGTAAATAATCGAATCTGGACCAGACAATCCAGTGATTGACATCACGAACATCAATCTACCCAATTGGGATCGATGACATGCATCAACCAAGTCAGCGAGCCTGACCACCTGATCCCGTTAGACGCCGCTTACGACAAGCATAGTCGCCTTTTACGACACGCATGGGTTGCTGAAGACCTATTCTACCCCGGATCTTCACGGTTGAATATGTACAATGTTATGGTAATGTCAATAGCCGTGAGACATAAATGTCAGACAGAATGGTGTTGATTTCCTACTTCATCGAGCTCACTTAAATTATTATTTCCTTTCTGTGAGTTGGGCTCCTTTGACGTACGTGGGTTAAACCCAACCTCGTTTCATTTCCCGACTAACAGAAAACACGTGTTACTAAAATATGTATTCACAGATAAGGAGGAACAAGGCGACCTGGGAAGAAATGACTTCCAATTGACAGTAAAAAGTACGCCAGAGTAGAGAAAGGGTTGAGAATTGAACAGTATTTCATACACGAGGTGAGAGAGATGAAATTTGGTTTAACGTCGCGTTCATGATTATTGCACTTATATAGCGACATGCATGCACGTATGTGTGTGTGGCTGCTTGTACTAGTCCGGACTAATGCCGATTTTATAGTGCTAGCTCTACTGAGATACCATGCCGCAGTTTTACATGAATATCCCATTCAGAAACGGTATGGTGACTCAGAGCCGACCAGTCCTTGTTTAAGCCTCTTAATGCCTAGTGTCAGGCAGGGTAACAACAAGTACCATCTTTTAACGTCTTTTGGTATGACGCAGCCGGGTATCGAACCCCCGACCTCTCGCTCTACCACTAGACCACGGAGGCGGTCCATGTCAGCATGATGTAGGAGGGGAGACCAAAGTGATGCGGTCGTGGACGTTAGCAACTGACGGAACTCATCATCATGGGTGTGGTGCTGACAAACCAAGGGTCATAATCAGATCGAATCTAACGGAAAATTACGTCAGAAGAAACAATGACGTTTTCTAAATACATCAACACTGAGATAACATAGCAACGGCGGCGCTTCCTTAGCAACGTTATGGCACATTTATCAGACGATATTTGAACCCAAATTCACGTCCTCCCAAGGATAAGAAGGTTGATGTGATCAAGAATGATATTAAATGTCTTTTACATTGCTTTTAAATCCGGATCCATATACATTCAGAATGCAGCTTTTATATTGTCTCAAATCACGCAAGTTACTATCCAGTTTCCTTTCGAACAAAGAACAATTACAACAATTCAGCATATTTCGTCCCAAATGGGCTCCTGATAGGCAAAGAGTCTTACAGTGGGAAGCGACACTAAATGAGTCACACTATCAATACATTTATCAGCACTGTGACACGCCGAGAAGTCCAGCCTCTGGCCTGAAGGGGCTGAAACATCTCTGGTATGGGAAGAGAGAGGGTCTGGAGTGCTCCTCAAACACAAGGGATGGGGGAGACAGCGGGCTGGCTGTGTCTTATCGCGAGGCCAGATCTCTGTGAGAGGGACGCCAGATGAGGGACATTTGTGGGAATGGAGGTTTTGTGTTCATATCGTTCTCTGAATAAATGTTATCTTCAAACGGTTCGTGTTGCTGGCTCTCTGTTGTTTCGTTTGTCGTATTTATATTCTTATAAGTCAGTGTTTGGGAGTTTAGCAGTATTCTAACAACGCCAAATGTAGCGACATAATCATTCATTATTGTTAATATTATTGTTATTATAACTACTACTACTACTACTACTACTACTACTACTACTACTACTACTAGACCCAGTCCGTGGTCTTGTGGTAGAGCATCCACCCGGAGAGGGGAAGGACGTTAAAACATGGTACTTGTTGTTACCCTGCCTGGAGCTCGGCATTAAGGGTCTAAAACAAGGACTGGTTGACTCGGAGTCAGTATACTGTGTCTGAGTGAGGTATTCATGTTAAACTGCAGCATGGTATCTCAGTAGGCCAGAGCATTACAAAATGTATAGTTAGTATTGAGTTTCAGGATAATCACATGAACACCACTTTTATTTGTTTTTATTATTTTGCTTACAAAGCTAAACTTAAACTAATTCCACACCCGAAAAAAATATCCCTGTACACTGCTGGATAAACATAATACGTGATTGAACGTGGTGATGACAGTTTGGGAAATAACTTCTAGTAACCGCGATAAAACCACTGATGGAAAAGATACATAATGCTAAAAGCATTGATTTGGACTTTCAATGCCACATTCTCTAAAACTCGTACACTGAGGAGCTAAAAAAAGCTATACCTCTCCGTTGATTTTATCATGTTTGACTTTCAATTGAGTTATCGATATAACATAAAAAATAGCTGTAGTGCGCTTAGAATACGCCTATGTGGTTGTAGTTTTTAATGATATAATTTGAAATAAAACGTAAATACATTGCATAATACACAACTGCTAATGGGTATCTTAGACATCTTATCTTTGAAATCGATAAATGTGGGTACAAAGTTGCAACATTTCAAACATGGTCGGGGTCATGTGGTTGCAATTCCTTTTACACAACATTATCCAGTATCAGATTACTTTTTAAGCGTTAAGCTGTTGTGGGAATGAATGGTGGTAAAATAATCATAATTAAATCAATACTTTCAACTTTCAATGACAGAGACGAC